TCCCTTGTGCGTTGACGTCCGCGCCTTTCTCAAGAAGTAGTTTCACGGTTTCGGAGTGCCCCCCCCATACGGCGGCTTAGAGAGCATTTCCATACTCGCCCCCTTGAGCGTTGATGTCCGCACCTTTCTTAAGAAGTAGTTTCAAAATTTCGGTGTGCCCCTTTAATGCGGCGGCCTAGATAGCATTTCCATACTTGCCTCCTTGAGCGTTAACATCCGCGTCTTTCTCAAGAAGTAGTTTCACGGTTTCGGGGTGTCCCCTCCATGCGGCTTCGTAGAGGTCCATTAGCTACTACTAGATATGCCAATTGTTCGTGTAGCGAGACTTGCGTTAAAGTGATGTCAAAAGGGGTAAGGCGGTTCTTGTCGAGAATCCGGAAAGGTAAATTAATGTAACGCTAGCGCTGTGAATATACCGTACGACCTAGTGTGGCCAGGACCTATCAAGAGGAGTTAGATTGACGTTCTCATCTATCTACGTGTGATGGGCATAAGTAGACTTCTTAAGGGCATAGCTATAAGGCAGAAATTGATTAGTGCTAAATGAACCGTTCCTAGCGGTGAGGTGAATTTTTGGCACATCATCTCTAATGCCATACACGAGGAGGGTGGCTATGTGTAGATCAAGGGGTCGGCTTAGGTAAAACGCTTCCATCCAATAATCATAAGGATAAATTTAGTTTAGGGGGTTAGTGCGACCCTCACACGACTCGGGATATTCGCCTAATCCCTCACTCTATCTATTGGTATTCATCTATATCACCTAGAGACACCCACCTCGTTATTATCCGCGAGCGTAAGTGTTTTTGTGATGGGATAAGGAATATCTAGTAGAAGTAGGTAGTTATGGAGCTAATCTATTAGTGATTTTTTCGTGGTGGCGTTAAATGTGATATAGTGGGCTATAAGCAATTGTATGGGCTTTAATCGGGGGATTAAGAATAGTAAGAGTATTAGCGGGATGGATAAGTTGCAGGGTCGTATTATGCCCCAAATTATACTATACGCTAAAATTGTTTAGAACAAAAATGATCTGTAGCCTAGCCGAGTCTAGCCTAGGCGGTTGGACCATCGTCTTGGCGGTGGGGCTTGAGGTGGTTTCTCTATGTAAAATATAGAAGCCAAATTCGAATATTGCTATATTTCTATAGAGCATTAGGTTCAAATTTTCTTTGAATGCCCTAGGCAATTATTGTCACCAAAACTTCTTTACTCCGTCTCTATCATAGAAGTATTATAATATGATTTTTGGCGGCGCAAATGTCTTTGACTTCCTTGCTGTGAACTATAACACTTCTCGTATAGCTTCCTAGACTAGGGAAGGGAAAGACCAAGGCGCTAGTCGCACTAGCAAGCCCTGGCTAGCAGCGAGATTGTTCAACACTTTTAGTAGGTTTGTAACTTTTGGGTATAAGCCATTAATTTAGCAGTGAATTCTCTTTCTGATCTAGGTGATAGTAGCCAAGGTGCTGGAACAGCTACTTAATCGCGAAAGACTTCCGACTCGGAGCTGAAACTGAAGGAAAAGAATAGGATAATATCAAACGTCCCTTGAGAATTCGCGATCTCCTTGCTTAATCCTCTGGCACATCTTTATCATAAAGGTTATTCTAGAACATCATATCCTAAAGCTGTTGTTCCGTCAAATTGGCATTCATGAAATACGCTCGTTGTGGAGTTCTTATACGACGGTGGACTTCTTCGGCGGTCTTCCAGCCAAAAAATCTAGCCATTTCCTAGTCAATAAGCCCCACAACTGTGCCATTATCAACGATACAGTTAGACTTAGTAAAGTCGTTATACATAAAGCTTATATCTGGATCATGATTGGTGCTCGAAAAAAGGATGTCCCCTTCTAACGGATTAATTCGGCCATTAATAAGTATATTGGGGTCCGGTACCACATGAGAGCGGGCTTGAAGTTTCTTCGTCGGTTTGATTTTATGAAGCTGATGAAGTATCTTCCTAGCCTGTTCTTTGAAGGACTTCTTTTGGTCTATTGAGAGATACGGCCATACGACAGAGAGACCAACACCTAGAAGCCTTTCTTGGACGAGCACTTGGCGACCATTAATCTGCGTGGATATAAGGTATTGAACTAATAAATGAGTGGCATTCGTAGGTACCTTGCCAGCAAAGTAAATTTCTGGAACTTTGACCTCTTTCAAAACGGACTTTGCAATAGCAATTGCTTAGACCTTATTTGCATCGGCGAATGAGAAGTCAATCTCCGTACACTGAGCGCCCTTGCTCGCGTGGAGATGGCTAGACTTCACGATCACGCTTCCAAGAGCAAAAACATCACGACCGCCTTCATCAGCAGGGTAAATTTGGTTATCCTTAGTACAGAGCTTAATAACTAACGCCTAGTATTTTAGCGAGTCTGTGGTCTGGGAATTGATATACTAGAGGTCAACGCGAAAGTCATCAGATCTCGGGTAGTATCGACCATAAAAGGGCACATCGGCGTATATATTAGTGGTAGGGATTTTTTCTGGGTTCGCTTTATAAGGGTTCGCCATTGTGTTTGGGGGGGGGGGGGGGGGAGATGATAGGGAGAGCCAGAAACTTATAAAATATAGGAGGGATAATTTCCTATTTCAAGTTTGTGTGCGGTGTGTTAAGCGATTTTCCTGACGCATAGGCAAGAGCCGCAACGGGAAACCTTGGCAATCTGCCTGCCATATCTATCATCAGTAATTGCCTAAAGTCTATGCTGCCCAGCAAGCCTGTGCCCCTTGTTCGCGGCGCGTAGCAAGGACGTAAGTAAACCAAAGTATCAAAGGTATGGTTGGCTAGGCCGTATATACGGGCGCTTTATATGCGGGCGCGTGACAGGGACCGTGCGGACATCCCAGCATTTCCCCTTATACAACAGTCATGAGTGGTTGCTCGATTCTATTTATAGGCTGCCTGCTCGTAATAATGCGCGAGTGCAATATACGGCGTAATGTCCTGCCGCAGTTCGGCTATTTCAGGCGAATCAGATAGTTTTTTTTCCCGTGAGAGATTGATTGACAACCGTAAAGCAAAGTGATATAGACCACTATGCGCAAACGAACGTTCGACTAGCTCCTGACACAGAGCTATAGAAAATGCATAAAAGGCCTGTCTGCGTCTGATCCGTTTTGAAAATCATAATCATTGAACCTCTAGGAATCACTCAAGTGCCTTAGCCAAATCATTGTCTTTCGAAACTACAACTTTCACAAACGCCATGGCTGTTCGATGCTCTGCCTATGGCTAATGGATCAAAACGACTAGAGGAGCTTATAATTGTCCTGGTAGTGGCAAGGCTAAAGCGGACCTACCTGCGTTTCTCGAAGACAGGAACAAGGCCATTCGATACTACGGTGACTATAACAACGACTACCACAATAAAACACCTTTGCTTCCTTCTATTGCGTCCGTCTCAGCATTCTTAGTGAATTTGCTATGAGCCCCCCAAACCATTGACCTCGTGATGATAATGATGCTGATCCAGTGTTAAAAGAAATAGATACTACGACGATGTTGACGAAAAGTTCTGTGAAGTCCTTTAAATCCTGTCTAACCGTATTACTCTCTACTGACATTAATTATTTGATAAAGATGCTAGGGAGACACTTAAAAGAACTGGATGGACTTAGCCGCCTAGGATACAGTGTGATATTAGTCCTCGAGACTTACTGTAAAGAGTTTCTGTCTCGAATATCTAGCTCTCCCTATCAGAGACGCTCGCTGAATAACACATAAGATGGAATAAGTCACGATTAGGTTGAAAGTCCCTTTTCTTGACCTCCCTATGTCAGTGAATAGTAGAGCATCGTAGATAGCATTAATTTATATATAAAGAACCAACGGTTGCCCAGTCTGAGAAGTACCAGTGTTTAGCCACCGAATCACAAAACTATTTACTTTGTTGAACATAACTATAAGAAATACTTTGAGCAATGTAAAAGCAAGGCCTATGTTGGGTACTCCTACGTACCACAGACTCTGTATTCACATGGTCCCCGCACTAAAATGTGAAAGCAAATCTTGATAAAGCTAATCATAATATCAGTTCTCGATCCTGTACACATAAAATAAAAAGCTAAAGTGTTCGTAGAGGAGTAGTCAAGATAGGCTTTGGAGAAATTTATAGCACTGCAGTTGGTCTAGTTAATTTTAAGCTATACAGAATAGCTAACCTAGTATCTAATGACGTTATAGACTTGCCATCAAAAATAGTCGTCAACGCTATATCCCTTATACCTTACAGTAAATGAACCAAGATTCAACGGCACTCTATAAAGGGCAGGTCATCTCGAAATGTCTCTCTTTTGTATAACTGGAAACGTCGAAAAGCGGTTTTTGGAGAGAGCTTTACTTCTAAAAGCCTTAAATGAAGTGAGGGGAGTTCCAACAACGCATAGACTGGACTGGGAAGAATGTGTAGGTGTTCATAGGACCCAGCTTCTTAAAAGGAAGTTCCTCGACTCCTTTGCCTTGGTGTGTGCGAGCTACAAAGGTGGCGATAGTGTGTCGGCAATATGCTTAGAAGAAAATCAGCCTAGCGGGACAATAATTAGTATTGCTTGCAATAGTGGTGTGAAGAATGGTGTTCTCTCGTGGCTAGAACCTTACTAGAGAAGAAGTCGCTCTCCGGCCCGCGATATATATAGTAAAAACACTCCTGAGTGCTCAAGACTCTGGACCAGGATGTCGCCTCGGACGCGCAGAGAGTCGAGTGAAGACTGATTAGTCTCTTGCAATACCTATAGCACGCCATAAGAACCAAAAGCGTGGTTGCGGAGCACAAAAGCACAAATATGCGCTGTCAGCGGGCTTTAGTGTTTCGTATGCCTCAGCAGACTCTTTACGTCAAACTTTTAATACCCGCCGTCAATTCACAGCTTTCGTTTGAGCATACATCTATCGCCTCTTTCTACAGCATGTTTTCGTTTTAGGCTCTTTGTGACGACTATATCTACATCAACAGCTACCTCCGAGGCGTTATAATTATATAGAATATTTAGTTAGAGCAATGTGCGCATAAGCCGATGCATGAAAGTTTCAAAGGGTTTAAACGGAATTCTTCTTCGCTGGATGGTCGGCCAACCCGCGGAACTCGTAGTACTTAGGTTGTCAAGCATTCTAAGAATTTTAGACGAGATCTATATTTCATAAAGATGAATGAACTCGCTGTCTAAAGCGTTTATCACGAGCAGACGCGACTTGACCATACACGAATTAGATAGTGATTTAAAGGAATACGAAGGAGGCAGAAGACAGACGTACAGTATAATTGTCTTATAGCGAATCAAACAATCGTTCTTGAAGCTATCCAAAGGACAACATAACACAAATAAAATATAGGTCGAGCGTCCAATCTTTTAGGGTTATGCGATATAGCTTCTTGCGGAATAGACCAAGCCCTGTAGCATTATCTCCTCCGCCTAGATATTCTTGAGGTTAAAGCATTTTTTGGCGACATTAGTTGATATCGGAGTATTCCAAGTATCCTATTAACGGTTCTAAAGTAGAATAATTGGGCTAGGCAGGCTACTGACGACCACAAAAAGTAACGCAACGAGGCTAATGAACAGCTTATCCAGCGAAATAGAAAACGGTTTCGTCGCTACGTATAGAATTCGTAAGTCATAGATACATGATTCTGTTGGTAGACGCATTGCTTACCCTAGTTTCTCGAATAGACTACCCTCACACTCCATGATATAGATCAAAGCGTAATGCTTAACGCGAGGCGCACGGCTCCTTGCAAGTCGTTCCGCTTAAAGACGTGCCCAGTCTTCGACGTTAGCTCTACCGGCGCAACGTCGGTTTGCAACGCAATCGTCAGATCTGGAGATTGTTGGCAAGGTATAAGTTTCTTGAAATTGGCATCCCACCACTTCCAAATAGCGAAAGGTCTATAGCAAAGGGTCAACAAGAAGGCCTTCCTAGCATAAAAGAGTATAAAGCCGTGGCCGGCGAGAGCTAGGCTACATACTCAAAGACGTTGGCTTCGTTCGTGGCTGGACCGCGCAAACGCGTGAGGCTAATTTTATATAATCACGGAAGAACAGTTTCGCCGGGCTAACCTCCTTTTCCCGGGCTAGGTAAGAACGTCAACCAGTTCCGCTCCACAGTATGGCCAACAGTCCGTATTTTAGCAGTATTACTTCTCTATCTATCTTTAGGACTCGTTTTGAGATCGAGGGGGCGAAAACATTCCCTCAACTTTACGATGTAGCTATAAGTGATTAGGGTCGCGAACACCTTTTTGCTTGTCGTGTGATTCGCCAATACGCCCAGCCTAATATTCTCCTAATTCTCGCAGAATTTTACCACCACTCCGACCTTATATGCTCGGCCAAAATAGTGAAATTTATTGAAGGACCGAAGTCTACCTATGTGACGCGAAGCGAACACCATCTTGTGCGAGATACTGAATATAGTATCTCCCTTAGTTAGACTTAGGTAGCAATAGCCAAGCTTAGGGCTGAACGAGATAATCCGAGGAGAGAAATACTGATTGATATAGAGGATGGAGATAAAAGTGATGATGACAGAGGGACTAAGCGACTTAGACGTCGCACTCTTCAAGACGACGGCTTCATCGACTCGAGTATAATCTAGGTTAGATCTAGCAGTCCATTAGCCGAAGGTTCTTAGGGGACGTCATCGGTGGGATATATCGATAGTGAAACGCATTTCTTCCTGAATTCGCTAGAAGATAAGACTTTACGGCTAGCGTCATCTATAATACGCCACATTCTGTACTTTGCACCGCCTTAAGACTCGGTGGTTTCGCCGATTGTTGTCGAATTTCGAGATACAAAAGCAAGACTTTCTACATTAACACCTCGGCTAGGACGGAAACTAATCGCAACCGATGATGGAGGACTTTGCTTACGGGAAGAATCGCATAGCGCCTTTAGGGTTTCCAAGAACCACGTAGCGATTCTAGAAGCCAAAAGGCACTTCCAATGCTTAGAGCATAGCCAGCCAATTGTTTCGGATAAGTGTTTCGCCCAAATAACGTGCGAGGCTCTAGTAGCCAGACTAGCAGATCCACTAAGGGAGCTGCAACATAATAGGTATCGCTCGGAGAATTTCTTATCACCCACGGAATAGATATATACTTCACGGAGTCTAACAAGAGAATACAGTGTGCTGTTGATTAATGCGACGCAGAATTATATATACTTCCTACATTTCGAATTCAGTGTTAATTATCTTCAGGATTTTGAGTCAACTGCCCCTTCCTCTTTTCTGCATGTGACCTCAACGCCATGGTTCGATATCAATTCCAGAAGTGGAAGAGAGTAGGTAATCTTAAATATATACGGAATCATGCGCTAGGCGAGGATTGTGTGATCATATAGGATATTGAGCCTGCTACGGTGGGGTTTGAAAAAGTTGTAGTTAGATGAGACACTATAAGCGAACATTGACCGAGTAACTCTTATAACGCGCTTTCAAAGAATGAGTAAGGAGTATACCATTCGACCTACTTCGAATGGAAGATTAAGGAATCCGGCATACGCAGAATATTGATGCGGTTGTTTAAGCTCGTCGCTCGCATTTTGCTGCGTAATCGGTTTGTGCATTTCAAATCGTTTATGAAGCTTCTCTAAATGTCCAACACCATAAGGTTGCTATATAGGTGCTAATAGATTGGTCAAATACTTTTGAATGGAAATGGAGATGCTTATTACTACCCAAGAATTATGGAGAGTCAAGAGTTATCATTCTCAAGAAGGGATGATAGGCATCAAGGATAACGTCAATTATCATGACCGTATTCTTGGGTTGCAGTAATCCCGAGACGCCTGTTAGCTTTGCTAGGATTCTTAATATAGCAGAAAATCCTAAATATATATAAAATGACGAGGCGATACAGTAAGATGTTTGAGGGAGACGTCTGCTTAGGGATAAGACTTCGGGACGGTGTAGTGTTTATCCTATCGGCGGATGCTTTATAGGTTTAGGAATTTCTTAGATCATGACTAACTTAATATGTTGGCGAGTGACAATTACTAAGCAAGATAGCTAGTTATCTTAGGGTCCCTACTATCCGGCCTCTTTATTAACTATAGACCAGCACTTCAAGACAGTCGGAAAATCAGCCGAGACCAAGGGAACGAAGAACCAGGTCTTCAAGCGTAGCAGCTTGTTTAGACTAAATAGAAGACATCTGGACCTCCATAAGATAAGGGCTACGAAGCTAGACTTTTCCTCTGAATTCGGGCGATAAAATCAAGATGGCTCTATAGTGATTTTTCGGCCGAAGGCAGGGTCGCTAATTTGCTTCATATACAAAGACGAGGGGCAACTAGAACGGCTACTCGGAAAAGAACGATAATATATATATAAAGCAAAATCATATTCTGGTCTAGAGTATTCGATATTTTTCAAACCCGCGACGAAATTCAAAAGACAGGAACTAACTAAAACTGGAGGACTCAGTTTCGGTCTTAAATTGAAAAAAAAAAGCTAAATACCACATCCAGAATTAGAAATGATTGGCCGTCAGTACTCTGACGTCTAGAACCATCCCAATATAGGTTTGGGAGAATCCATGCCCTTTGCTTCTAAGGTTGAAAAGTGTTTTTAGGAATAGCAAAGGGCTGCATTAGAATAGAGATTGTGTGGGCCAGCCAACCAGTCGTTGCGTCTCCTCGTCCACAAACCCTTTATTCGTGACGCGACCTTCTGGAATTTCGCTGCAAGAACCTACCACCAGACCCAAAAAGTGCCAGAAGCTTTCATATACCAAGAATGTCTCGAAGTAAAGGCTCCCTAAGAATAGTGCTAAGTCTTGGATTATCTTACGTGGCCAATGCTATTTATTGCGTCCTTTGCCGACAGTGAGGAAAGCGAGGTCATCAAAGGACCACATTATTTTAGTTGTCTTCGGAGAGTAGACATATAAACTTGCATTTTGTGATATCCTTATATCAGGCAGAAACTCATTGGCCTCGTGTTGGCTCAAAAGCAACAAGTTATAGTTGTGGATATTAGATAATATCCAGTGAACAGGCTTCAAGAACTAGTCGTCCACTGTGTTTTTGGCCCATTTAACTGTTTCAACAAAGTCTTCCGACGTATAAAGGCGAGATCCCAAGGATCGTGGTAGATTGAATTGCCCAGCAGAGGTCTTACGAAGGCCGTCAAATGCCAAACAGGCTATAGTTGTGCCCTTGTCCGGAACTTTCCTATACTTCACGAAATGACGAATATCTTTATATACACGATGAAGAAGGGGGCTTTGCTTTGGCGGGCGATAGACCTGCTATTCTCTCTACACTTCGTGAGTAATTTAACGCTCCTACTCTTCGTGTAGAGTGGGGCCACCCGCATTCCCACTAGTAGCTGATGATTGAGCCATAAGAAGCTCACGTACGATGAGATCACGTAGATCTATATACTCGTTCAGACTTAAGGTCCTAGGAATGTCCGATGGATCATAAAGCTAAGACAAAGTTTGCGCTTCGGGTTCCTGAATGCATAAAACAATATCTTGGGCAGCTTTACCGCCCTCAACGAGGATACTCCATAATTTATTTTTCTTATAATGCTATAAGCCTTGTGAAGCCCAAAGCGGTTTCAAGCTTCTCAGAGTATCGCAAGTTTGCATAAGTGTCCATCGAATCACGTCGAGCGAGGTCATTAGACTATTCCCTTGTATACTATGGCTAACCTCAGGGGGAACTAGAAATACGACAGACTAGCCAACCCCAAGGCCACGCATTCTGCTATATGCTTTACAAAAGTCAGAATATTGAGTCCCCATTTTAGAGACGCACTTACCTTGAACAAGTCTATCTTTCGTCAAACGAGGCCCGATGGTCACGGCGGCCCGATAAGTAGAGGGAAGTTTTAAATCAACACCGCGCGCGTGCTGCTAATCCAAAAAAACCAGACATCTATGTATCCTTTACCGAAATGGGGAGCACAGCAATCTCTCTACGTGGCCCTCACGATCAACCACAGTAGGTTCGTTATCTTCATCGAAGAATATAGCCCTATCTATATCATCAGCAGTGGAAAGCCAGTGAGTGGCAACCCATTAGTTGCTGGACTCCAAAATCTGCGCCCCGACGTTAATTATAATACGTACTGATGGGCACTAGGTCTTGATCAAAGCAATGAGGTAGGTTATAGAAAGTTGTCGGCCTCCCCGATCCTATGCTAAAATGCATAATCGATTTTCCTCCCTTAATAGACAACTAAGGACTATGGCGTTTGTATGGAGTAGGTGAGGTAGATCACGCTAAGGTGTTGACCTCGGTAGAAGAAATCGGTTGTCATTCGTACCACTAAACCTAGTCATAAGTGGTTAGCCCTTTTGCGAAGGTACGTCCCACGTAGAAGCGTAGAGCTTCTACGGAAATTCCTTGGCCTCCTTTGGGAACACGACCTACGAGAGATAGAAGTCTATGATACCCTTCTGATACCTCAGATGTAGGTAGAGGATTCCGCAGAAAGCCTATATATCCTGAAGATTCACTCTAGTAATCACTCTCAGCGCTAGGGGAAGGGTAGTCAGGCCGTTGGAAATCTAATCGTGATATTGTGCTGAAGGGTCGTTCTCCTTGCCTAGTAGCGTGAAGCAATGCCGTACTTGCTTGGCGGTGAGCCCGTGATAATAATAGCTTAGATAAGTCAATGTGATAGCAACATTAGGATGGCCAAACTCCGTATTCTCGGAAGGGATACCTTTAGCTCGGAATGGAACAGCCATCAAATAATGGGACGTATAAAGCCCATAATCGACTAACCAGCGCTTTCCAGCCAGCGTAAATTTCAAAATGTTATGAGCTAGCAGACCTCGCAAGATAAGCAGCTTGCGCAGGAAAACGCCATCCTAGAATGTCTCACGAAGGATGTTCCTACACCCATTTATAATGTTAATAAAGTGAATAAAATCTAACGCACTTCTACGAACTCGCCTAGTCCACTGATTTATTGGAAGGCCTAGTAGACCCTCTTTATTAATAATATCCAAGATCTTCACAATTATTATATTGGCTATCTCTGGTCTCGGAAAACGTAGTATTGGGTAGCGAGCGCCACTACGTTCAATTTCCAGACAATTTAGTTCTTCCAAGCGTATCTTTTCGGCTTGCCTATCGACCAATACAAGCAAAGTTTGAATGATATCCCATCGATCGCTATGCCCGTCTACTGTCTGCTGGCTACCGACAGTATACACGAGTTGAAACTTAGGGTCGAGGACTTTATCGCTCTCGTCGATAATGTTCCGGCAGTTAGATTGAAGCCATCATTCTAGGCCTATCACTTAAGGAGCTAGAACAGGATCTCTGTCCATCAAATCTAAACCGACAAGGCGAAATGATAAGACCTCCTCCGGTAATACTATCAAAATCCCTCTTTGTCTCTGACATTCAACATAAGTTTAGCGTAGTTAATCCACAGTGGTTGTGTCCAGAGGGGTGTCTCTTACAAACGGTATATGGTAAATGCGTCGACCGAGCATTCCACCGAGGCGTTAAGAGAGAAGATTCACGCTCTGCCATAGGAGAGGCTTCAAGACAAAAATTCGGAGCAGGTTTCCACTATCTACGAGAACTAAAGCCACTAATAGTGTTATAACCGAAGTTTTCCCTTCACCCATATTTAGTTGCATAACCGAATTAGACTGGAGCTTAGGGCTAATAATACTGAGAGTAACATCTATCTGCGGCTTCCGGATGGTGAGATTATTTTCGATCTCAAAAAGTAGCTAATCCAGGTAGTCTAAAGCCTCCTATCCTACCTCGCTAACACTCTCTGCTTCTTTGAAAAAGCCATCAATATCATGCCGATCATAACAACTTAAGAGACGGTCAGCCCGGCGTAAAGAATTGACACTTCTTGCAAACGTCAAAATGCTTTTTTTCCATGCCTTAGGTACCAGTTACCAGCGTTCCCTCGAGAGAAGTGACAGTATTAAGTGACTAGTAAACTACGTCATCAAAACGGTTCCAGCAACCGCTTCCCATCCGTGTTCAGTCAAAGTCAAATTCTCTTTAATCGCATTCCAGATTGCGTCTCTTTGCTTCCTTTGGAAGTCAAAATATCCGACAATAACGCCTCGGTTCACAGGCAGCGACGGGGAAGAGCAAGGTAAGTTCTTTTTTTCCAGAGAGTCTAAGCTTTCCTCAAGCCCTTCTCCAAGCTCGCGCTGACACAAATTTAGATTGTTCCGAAAGTCAGATATCAAAGAACGAAGCTCTATATTTGTGCCGTCATTATAGCGTTATGGGATACATTGCTGATGGAATATAAGAGGTGGACTCTCTATCGGCAGGTTGGTCGGATTGGACGATAATAGAATGTCCAACAGGCCGGGAGGCAGAAACGGATGGCTATAGATAAACGAATCTCGTGGTGGTGTAGACGGAACTTTTAAGTCTGTTATAGGCCCTTCATTTTTAATAGTATTAAGCCTCTCTTGCACCGAGCGAAGAAAGGTTAAAAACTGGCGATTTTGGTACCATTAAGCGCACAGAAATGAATATGCTTACGAGGCCCCCGTTTTATTGACCCTTTCAATTTCCGGCAACTAAGGTATTACGTAGGGCTATTGGTTTTTGACTGCCTCGGAGAAAGTCTTTATATTAGTCTCTTTCTACAGATCATATTCCGCTTTTCGTTCTTTAGCCGCTCGCTTTTGTGCTTTGGAATTTATACCTACAACGGGATGCAAAAAATTACTATAATTTCTTTCTATCGCTCCGTTAATCATTTCTTCATCGAAACACTCGCCTAGTTGCAAGTTAAGGACTTTTTGCTCACTGGGAGGAACAGGGAGGTCCTCGAATTGGCTAGAAAATGCGACAGCCAAAAGCGAATAAATATATAGTTCCTCTTTTCCGGAAAATGCAATTATGCAAAAGAGAGACATAAGGCTATACAAGTCTCTTACCTAGTCGCTAGACCGGCAAAGCTCATACAGAGAACCCTATACGTCTCTAAAGGATAATCGCAGAAGTTCTATATAGCTGGCCTCCTTTAAAGAGGGTCCTAATGGCCGGACGCTTTTCCAACTTCCAACGCTTCCGAGAAGTTCAATGCAGTGCGATAGACACGGCCGCCAGCTTTTCACAAGGGTTGCAATTTTGTAGACGCGCTAACTTCGCTCACTCTGGAACTCGCGATCTCGATAGCGATACAACGATGGCTAAGGCATTCGATGCACCGAACCACCTCCAAGCTCAGAGTAGAAAAGTTGCGAGTTTCGAGAACGGGCTCTTTCGAGAAGATAAAGATCCCCACGATTCTTATAGCAGTTGGCCATCGTATCGCGCTCAGTATCACTCTGCCTATAGAGTATACTAAATCTGCTAGCATGCTCCACGATTTCTTATGTAAGTGCTCGAAAATCGTCGTGTTAGGCCAATTCTCCAAGCTCACTATTCCACGAGACTGTCTGCATAGATTTCAAATGGTCAGGATAGTAGCGACGCCTAGGAGTAAGAGCTACAATGTGTTTCAAGAGCGCAATTATTTCGGAGTTGAGTGGAAATGAGGTTCTTAGACATGCCTATCGTAGGATGCGAATAGCCTCTGCTGTTCCTGATCGCTCCGTTGCAGGATCAGGAAGGATATAGCTTGTGACTGCATATATATATGCTAGATATAGTATCTCTAATATATCGAATAATCCCTGTAGCACCTTAAGATAACTATCAAACGAGTAGTGGAAACATCTTAGGCGAGGCTCTTTAGGTAGGTTGACAGTCACGACAGTTTGGCGTTTGACTTTGAACAGCTAGACACCACCATAAGGTATCAAGACGGAGCGGCAACTTCTCCTAGAGTCAAGAAGCACAAGCTTATTCTTCAGACCATATAAACAACCTATATCTTGGTTTTGGTCGACTCTTGCATTGAGTTCCTAGGACTCTAGACCGCCATCCTGGTTTATGAAGAACTTCAGTCGAAGCCTAACCAAGTGAATCTCGATTGTTTTATGTTTATCTTTTCGCGTCTAAATGACATAGATGTGATTAGGAGCGTCTAATACTCCGAGAACACCTACTACCCGTTTGATTAGCTGGCTATTGATGTCAACCATTGTTTGGTGACCTAAGGTTATAGTCGATATTCTTCGTGATGTTAATCTAATCGAAAGACGCCAATTTGTCGATTGAGGGACCCATGCGTGCTCTAATGGACGGAACTCGAGCGTCCCGCTTTCCAAATCAAGCCAATGCACATAGTTAGAGACTAAACTCTCTAGGAAGTCCCCAGCCAGCTTCTCGTGCGGAATAAGCTATAATATTTGATGCTCCGCTCGCGCTTTGATGATAAGTTCACTATCATCCATCGAGAAATGGAGCTACGAAATGAAAAGTAAGTTTCTCACTCGCACCACGGAGGTACAGACAATAAGCTTATAGAGTATCCCTCATACTAGGCTGTTGACATGAATGCTGACCCATCCAAATTTGATGGTAGCACCGTAAGGGTTCGCTATATTGATTAGCTCTTAATGCAGGGAATAAGAAGAGGCAAAGGCTTCTCACATTGCCAAATATGCGCTGAAATAATGACAAGCTAGTGTACTCCCGAGGAAGGCGGCCAGGAGGACAATTTGCCAAGAGAAGCTCCCCACTAAGCAGGTTATAGTGAATCACTTGCGGGCTTCCATAGGGGCCTACACTCGTTTCACTGGTAACCCATCGTGAAGCATTCCCTAGACATGACTTCCAGGCAGACGCAATCTATAGGTCATGCACACTCCTGTTAATTGCTTCGTTGAAGCCTGATGCATCAGCCTCAATTAAATGACGGGTATGCTCTTCGATATTATGTAGAGTTCTGGTTGTCTAGATGAGACTGCTTGCAATTCTAGATAGAATATTCACATGCGATCGAGGCGAGTTTTCGAAAACCAGGATTGAGGATCGCGTTAGATAAAAGAGGTCTGCACTGTTATCGAGGAGACGTAGAAGGTGCTGCGGCTCTACCGCGTACGTAAGTTGATATACACCCCCTATCTTGACAATAAGCAACTACTATGCTTCACTTTGTGCGTCTATCTGAGTGGACAGGTTAGCGGCGAGGTCCTCGCACCACGTTAAAGCGGTGCTTCGGCATCGACACAAAAATGCTACCGCTCGTTCAACAGTTGAGAACCCATCTTCCGACAAACTGAGCGCACGAAGGCCCAGAATGACTAGGATGTGCAAAGTATAATGCTCATTCCAGTTAGCTTCAATAAAACCAAGCTTTTGGTCTAAGCACCCCAACAGCCGGCTACCTAAGCCACCCTATGCAAATGCTACGTGAGCCTCTCTTAGCTCTGAGCCAGGGCTTGGACCGCTGAGCTCTCAGGCTGCTTGACGAAACAATATACATGTTGCTTTCTCATTCATTAAGAGAGAAGATAACGCTAGTTCACGAACCATATTATACCACTGCACTCTAGACCCCGCTCGAAGACAACCAAAAGCGACAAATTCATGCAAACTCAGCTCAGAAGGACAACCTTGCTGATCCGCAATGACCTGGTTCTCCGAATGCAGGAACGAATTCACTATGTATTGCAGGCAAGTGTACGGCCCCGGAGGGAGATTAAAGGTACACCAATGTTTTAACGAAGGGTGCTCTTTTTGGTCTCCTGCCCAGCTGTTATCTTTGCTGTCGAGAAGCCGGAACCGTAACGCATTTGGGGGTATTATATCTCCAAAAGTCACAGGAAATTGACGACTACTGTAGTGACTCCTCTTCCACGACTTTGCTGTTGATCCTAAGGTAAGACGTTGGCCCCAGCTCATGCAAAATTGTTGGGTTTCTTTGTACGAGAGCAGATTTTGCTGCATGTTGGGTCCTTGTTTAATTTGCACCCGACCAAAGTCATGGACTAATCTCCAAGTGACATCGCGCCACTTCAGAAACCATTGTGGGCAATCCAACTCGAAGATAACTGTTTTGAGGATCTCCTCACTCTTCGGAAGTGGCCATTCGTAAACGTCAATGCTGAGATTCCTAGCATGACTCTCGATGGAACAGCACTGGCAAGATCCAGAGTGATATTGTATGCCGCGCGAATCAACGTCCCACTTGTGTGGGGTTTGAGCTGCCCGACGCAGGAGCTCTTCATGCTGTTGAGACTTGTTTGTCCATTCTCTTTTTTTGCTCTCAATGCTATCACGCGCATGTTGCTCTATACGCTCACGTAGCCTGTGATGTTTTCCAGAACCGTCAAAGTAAGAAACGGCAAACCCTTGCGAGTTGGGGTCAGAAAATATGCTTGGGGCACCGGCTGCCCGTCCTTGGTATCTGGAATGGATATAGGTCTCGATATTATTGGCTCGTCGCATTTCAGAGAGTTGTGGTAAGAGCAAGGATTCAAGAATGTTGCTTGGTACTTCAGGGGAATAAGTTCCCAAGAGTGGACAGATGGCAATGCACATCTTATCAAGGATGACCCACAACTCCATTATACAGAGAATTGCGATGGACATAGCATCTGGGCTGTCACTGTATGCTTCGACTGCGAGCCCTGAATATGTTTGAAGCAAGTCTCCCAGCAAACAACACAAATGCTCTGAAGGCTCTCTATCGCGAGCATACGAATTGGTCTCCATTGCATTTTTCACCCAGCACTCAAAGTCTGTTAATGATAAAAGATCGCCACTTTCCAAAATAGGTAGCCCAACCCTATTAATTTTATTGCGTGGTTCGTGGCGTCGATCGAAAATTGATTGTTCGAAATTGGCAGGAACACGTGACATTGCGGAATTCAAGTATTCTCGGGAATTCTTGAGCGACATCTGCAAATCTTCTGGTGTGCAGGCAAATCCTTTTGGTACCGGCATCGCACCTGACCTGATGATTTCCTGCTGAATATTCTGTAAGGAAGCTTGTATGATCGTTTCTGCCGACTTCGTGTGTTGCAGAACAAAATCGCAGGCTCCTTCCTTCAACTTTAGGAGGCGTCGACATATTTTGGCACGGATTATCTCCAAATAATCTGCAGGAACAACAGGTCGAACAAGCGTAGAGAGATGCCCCAGCTCAGCTACAAAATATAGCATAAGGTTTTTGTATTGCTTGTAACCGTCTCCATCAGGAAGAGCGCGTTGAAGCACTGTCTGGAGTGCAACTCGCAGCACAAGCCAATGAGGAGATCTTCTCCAAGGGAGCTTGCTGCTTCTCCAGTTGACCTCGTCTCGCGTGTTCTTGGCAAAGGAAAGCTCCGCATTGTGTTCACCGAATGCCAACAGCTGAGTCATCAACCCTTCAGTGACGAGGCCCGGGTGGGTAGTATCCCGCTCTTCAGGAATTGATTTTCCGGCTTTGGAAGACTTAGGCATCATTTCTTCCACGTCTTCAGTCGATAGGCGTGCTAGATTTCTTGAAAGTTCCATGCAAAACCTAGCATCCTCCACCATGCTACCTGGGATGGCTACACTTCCCCCTGGGAACTGGCGAACAAGGCTTCCCGGCGCAGAAATCACGTCCTTTGCGCGAGGTGATGCTTCAAATGAATCCACGATGACTTTGTCGCAGCCTTTATCGTAGTATGCCACCCAGCCACAGTTCTGAGCCCGAATGTATAGAGCAGCCGCCCCTACTGTCGTTAGTTGGTTTGATCTTGACCATCCACAAGGAAAGCATACCGTTTTTTTTGAGACCTGATATGATCCGAGCAAGGGTCTCTTGGCACACAACACATTGCTTGTCCACTTCTTCCCAATTTTTCAACATGGTCATCAAAACATTCCAGGGTTCTTTATTTTCCGGCGAACCTTTTTGTATGAACGACTCAAGGGCTTCTTGAACGAATCGGTGAAGCGTGCGTTCTAGAGGCCAGTCGCCATCCAATACGTCTTCATCATCATACTGTGGCAGCCAAGGAGGAAGAATAACAAGGTGAAACATGAAGTTGAATGAATGTTTCGAAATCGACATCTTGTGCCAATCTGATACAAATAATAAGATAGGTCAAATGGTGTAAAGTCAGAATTGCGTTTCTTTTGCTTTTTGTATATTTTTCTTGCGCTTTTAGGTGCTTTTGTTTTGTTCTTTTTTTATTTAACGTTCTTTTTTCGTACTTCCCTAATTTGTTTTTGACTTGGTTCTTTTGTTTCTTGTTGAGAGGCTGGCAAAATAGCTTCCGACTGCCAAACGGACACCTCCGGCTAAGGTATATTTATATTCATTACGAAGGGTCTTGACGGAATCGAGGGAGAGAATGCAACCCAATCTGTAAATCTAGATCCGATCTATGACACATATACTTCTCTAACATAGTGTCTGTAGATACATAGTGTATGAGTAACTTGATAATGTCGATGTAACATTGACAGAGCATATGGGAGCGCCGTATACAACATCAGTCCCGACTTGGTTCTGCATAATTAACGCCCTTCGTGGGCTCCCTGCAGCCTCATCAACACACACGAAAATATTCGCAGCATACTCGTAAAAATAATTATAGGGTAGGAGAGTGTTTTCATGGAGGTGAACCATTCATTTGAAGTGACTAGTAATTCCATTCCAGTACATCTTCATAGCTCTATTCAGAGGAAGCTTCCACATATGGTTGGTAAATCGAAACCAAGATTCTCTCGAGAGCCTTAGCAAGCACATCTCGCTCTAGAACATCCTGTTCGTAATTGATTGCACTTGGATGAAACCCTGGCACCACGTAAAATTCATGGTTCCGATATCTGATGGTCTCGCATTTCCCTTCAAGTGCCTTCTCCAGCGACGAACAAAGAGCTTTTGCCAAGGGATGGCACACCGTTTGCAGGAAGGAGTACTTTGTTTCTCTGCACGAATGGGTAGTACATTGTAAGACAACGATGGCAGGCGGCTTGAATCTTTCCAAGTATTGACCTATGAGCTCATAGCCTTGTAAGATCGTCTTTTCAAGCTCCACTTGACATCCACTGCGAGCCATAGTTTCAAGCCACCCGTCACACATCATTGGCAAAATGTCCCATATGGAGACTTCATGCTCAATATCAAGACCGATCTTGTCAAAAACTCGCTTAAGCCATCTCAAAGCGGACGTCTTGCCAAACATATCGTGGAATTCTCCCGAGTGAGACCCGCATGGATTCAACAACAATGTCACTGGTAGTTGCTGATAGCCTGCCATCAGTCGGAGGTTATTCTTCAGACATTGTTCGTCGACATGTAATGATTCCCAGAAAATCTCCGTCATCAAGAAGACGGGATCAGTGGGGAGGATTTGGGTCCAATGATTGGAGGAAATCGGGCGTGCATCGTGTGCCAGGACTTCAACAGAGCGTTGTGCTCCCCATAGAAGTTCAACTTCTTCAAAGCTCTCGTTTGGCTGCATATTGAATGTGACTGGTTCTGTAGTCTGTGAATTCAAAAAGAGATACATAGACTCAAGCCTTTGATTTAAGAGTTCCCACAATTCTAAGCTTTCATGGCAGTGTCGTATTCTTTGACAAGAAATGTCTAGAGCAAATCATGTAAGCGTCATCGACTACTGTAACCCTTGCATCTACGAAAGCGGTTATAGCAATCAGACCGTTTTGATTAATGACTGTCGACTTTTTAGTTCCGTGGCTACTTACCACCAAGACCTGACCACCACGTCAAATTCAGCTTCATCTCGATGGAGAAATATCCTCCTCGATAGGCTGAAATGTACGGGGATTTTCGAAATCGGTCTGACGTCTTCACACAGATCGATTGTTTTTCAGCCCACCGCCAAGAACGTTCCGACTGCATGATAGAGCGAACCGCGCTTAAATGAGGTCAGGTGTAATTATTTTTTGGCGTACGAAACGTAAAAATTTGGGTCCTTTTTTGTGTACTTGGATATTTCATAACGAAGCAGGTGTGCCTTGTTACAAGATGCTCATAAGTTACGGTACAAGATGCTCAACTGCTTTCTGCTCTACATTTGAAGGCGGTAGATTGACAGGAGTACGAACTATATCCACCCTAGTCTATTTCGCAGTGGCTCAACTTGGTAGTTATCTCTCGGAAAGAGGGATCGTGCCTCAAATTAAGAAGGCACTAAGATCAGTACTCTCGTATAATTCTTATTCAGGCCTGCATACAACTAGCTTAGTCAACCATGCACCATGACGGGTACCGCTAGGAAAACTGGTTGAGTTTTCAGCGCTTTCTCGGTTGTTAGTCAGCCTGCCCCTATTTCTTCTGTATTTAGTGCGGTATCGCCGGTAGATTCAATGAATCAGACCTTCATATTCAAGTGGCTGTGTACCGAATATTACGTACGCGACGAACTCCAAAGAAATGATGCCATATGAGACGTCGTGCTAGGAACCAGGGACAGCCGTTTGCAAGGATTACCATTTGCTTTCTCCATATCGATTTCGGCTGCTTGATTCATCAGTCGCCGGTAATTGCGAATCATGTGATGATGTAAGGACTGCCAGTGCACAGCGATAAGCTGACCATCACGCTTGGCAATCTTGCCGTCCACGATGACAGTGTCAATATTCTACGCGGATTCATGGAATACCACAGTCCCGATAGGATTTACATCAGGCACCCTGTCAATATCATCACAGCCGAACATCGCCAGATTAGCCTTTTTACCAGGAACGATGGAACCAATCAATGACTTACGATGCATGACCTCTGCTCCTCCCAGCAAAAGGGAGCTTTATACCGGCAGATGAAAAAAGTTCACTTAACATGATACCATACGAGAGGGCCTTAAAGGCAGCAGATAATTGATGATATTTTGTGGCCCCAATTTGAGGGAAAGAAGACATATGGATTGATCACCACACCCGAATTGATCACCACACCCGAATTGATCACCACACCCGAATTGATCACCACACCCGAATTGATCACCACACTCGAATTGATCACCACACCCGAATTGATCACCAGACTCGAATTGATCACCACACCCGAATTGATCATTGTGCCCTTTTCTTATCCCGAAATAATAAAACATACTTGACTGCCTGTCAATATAGCATTCATAGTATGACTTTGTCTCGTTCATCATCTTTTGGCGTACAGTCCTTGCCCTCACTTTCCGGTAGCCATTTTAGATATTACAGTAAACCCAATTTACACTCAATGATTAAATAGTCGACGTCCAAGTTACATTAATATATCTTTTTCGGTGGGCCGAAGTAATCTTTTAAAGTGCGGACCGTTCTGTGGTTGATTTAAGTGTTGAACAGTCTATGTCCAAAAAGCAGCAAAGCTAATCAATCAGCTAATCTAACACTGCGTACCACAAAGGTCCAATTTTAATCGGGTGATAACCCGTGGCATATCAGTGGAAATATGTGACTTTTCTTAACTTATCATCGCAAATCTTGCACATAACCATCTCTCTTAACACGAGAGTTTGCAGACGGTAAACGGATTTTGAACAAACAAGAAACCGATTTAGTCATTTTTTCTCAACCTGTTTGTCGGAGCTACCGTGATTCAATCGCCACGTATGCCCACTAACTGTGAATTTAGGTATTTAGACTTTCTATTTGACTTTGATTCATTTTAGCTTAATGCACCCAAGAGAGTTCGCTGCATCCGATCTTGTTTTCCACCCACATGAAAACCGAGGCTATATTCGGCATCCTCCGGATTTCTAAACTCGCTCAATAAAGCTGTAACGCAGATCTCAAGGTGTTGGTAAGCCTAGGTTGTTCCACAGCCGGTGACACGTAAATGGTGGTGTATTGTGACATGCTGTGTTGCCATTCTTAGCATAATACCTCTGCCAGAAATTGGTACAGGATAAACTGTCATATGACAATTGGTCTTTGTCTGCATACCATGTGGAATAACTGTTTGTCACAGAGATATCCAACTGTTCTTGCTTTTCCAATGTACGGTTAAGCTGGAAGCTACGAGCGATAAAGTAATTTGATATGTTTCGCGCGAAGCTCGTGTCGTCGAAATAGGTCCATGCAGGTTTGCCTTGACAGTTTATACCGGTCCAAGCTTGCAGTTGCAATGGTGCGTATAGATTCTGCATACCGTAAATATTGGTTTAGTGAGGAGATAGCAACATTGAATAACATACGCTGGAGGATCGGATGGTAAAGGCGGATGACGCGGCAGCCAGTAAGCCAGATCCTACACAAAAAGTAGCTAACACCTGAAAAACGAACATCCTTAGCCTGATTCACACCGTAGCAAAGCTTGAGAATCACAGTATGGAGCTATGGAGTTAGGATTTATGCTTGTTGATGATCTACAGTAAATCATGCTCCCACCGTTAGTAGTCCTCCCTTCTCCAGATTCTGACGCCTCATAGTTGAGGTGATAAATATGCTGCGATGCAAGCGATCACTTTTACCCCGTCCTTGTATGAATGAGTATCTGGTAAAGCTATTCCGGCTCCCTGTATAAGATCGTTTCACAGATCTTTCTCTCTATCTAGTTCCAAACTCATAGTCTCTGGTTCTACTAGCCCGGCCTTCAGAAATCGTTCAGCAATGGGCGGACGGCTGTCAATGAACCAATAAGAAGCCCCTACTAAAGGTACTGCAGAAGATTGGAAAATTATTTGTATAGCTACAGTAATGTGTTCGAAACCCAGGCGGCTCCGATTTCGGGTAAAAGCCGGAGGCCAAGCGGTTGAACAAGAACAAGAGGTCTCACTGAAAAACTGCCAGTTTTCTAAGTCATCGAGTTCCTAGGCGATTACAGCACTAAACCCTTTCGCAGAGAAAGACGGGCCTGCCCGGAACTGCGCTAAGCAATACAACAGAGGTGTCTTAAGCAATTATTACTTCAAGACGGCCGGAAACACCGGCATGGCATAAGCGAGAGACAATGAGGGCTCCCTATATTCAGCTTTTTCCAGATAAAATAGACGCCATCAGAAAGCTCGACAGTGCAAGTCGGACAATCTTGGCAATCTGCACACCCGAATGGCTTTATCTCTGTATGAAACACATGTATTCGTTTCTCTTGGTTGATAGGGTTAATTACCAATCGTTTTTAATTTCAACATGAGGTACAAAATACGCCGCTATAACGAACAAATATACAGTACCGAATAATATTTAAAGATGATTTTAAAAGTCGCGCATACGAAACAGAAAATTTCATACTTGTCTAGATTTAAAACCTCGACGAGATCATTGTATGCAGCCTAACATGAGCAGTGAGCTCTAGAAACGGTCTTAATCAACTTTTACTGTACAAACATCGGACCGATCAACCGAGTGCAAAGGGTAGGAGCTCAAGCAATTGTGGGGACATTCCTCACAGTTGCGACCAGCATAGCGGAGGCCGAGGCCCACATTGCTACGGCACAACACCGATTCTGGAGACGAGCCGTGAAGACGTAGGCAGACCTCCACACACTACCAGAAACCAATCCTCTTCGCAGAAACACAGATCGAATCCGGAAGTTCAGGAGATACCACCGCTCGCCACTATATCAAGTAGCGGACGCGCTTAAGAATATCGACATGGAATCACTGGAAACCATCAACCCGGTTATACTGGCACCATGGGAAGCACGTATGCAGACTGATGAGCCCATTACCGAGGGATCAACTATACCAGGCGGATCAATGCAAATCGCGTTCAGCAGCTCGGCGCGGAATGAGCTAGTCGGGTTTGGAGTGGCGGTCGAGAAACAACCACCCCGCTATCGGAAAGTGAGACTGAAGACCTTGTCCGTCACGTTGAGCGCGAGAACAGAGCAAAATCCATTTTCCGCGGAGCTGGCGGCAATGGCGCATACACTCAAGACGCTCGTGGGATTGAAAGACTATAGGATCACACTGATCACGACCAACAAGGCGGCGGCTCTCACGTTGAAGAACCCGCGACAACAGTCGGGCCAGGAATTTGTCTGTCAAATCTACAAGCTTATAAGCAAACTGCAGAGGCATGGAAATCAGATCAGCGTCCTATAGATCCCCATTAGCGAAGACAACAAACTACTAGGGCTGGCGAAAGAGCCGGCGAGAGCCGCGACGCAAGAAGATGCCATCCTGCAAGGACAGGTCCCCAGAATGAAATCGACGACTCTAAAGATTGCGCGTGCCCAAGCAATCCCCAGCAGTAAACTGCCCGAGAACGTAGGGAGACACTCCCGACGAGTGGACACAGGACTCCCAAGGAAACACACGCGACAGCTGTATGACCGATTATCGTGGAAAGAGGCGAGCGTGCTGGCCCAGCTCCGCACGGGTATGGCAAGACTCAATTGATATCTCTTTCGAATCAATGCCGCCGAGACAGATCAATGTGCATGTGGACAAGCAAGAGAGACGGTGGACCACTTTCTGTTTCGATGCCGGAAGTGGACCGCGCACCGGACGGAAATGCTGCAATGCACTCACACTCACCGATGTAACATGTCCTTCTTCTTGGGAGGGAAGTCACCCTCTGATGATCAAAAGTGGAAGCCGAATTTGGAAGCAGTGCGAGCCTCAATACGATTTGCGATCGCTACGGGCCGACTTGAGGCCACTTGACCTAGCCAACGAACGCGCATAAAATACCTTCCCCCCTACTAACCCCCATTACCTTGTGACAGACAGTAGACGCGCTTCAACTGCCGAGGATAGGATGTTGAACACTTGAAGAAGCGCCTTCAAGCTAGTCTACTAACCAATACTAACCACAGGGACCAACCATGAGAGTGAAAGCTGAGAAGTCAATGCGGAAGGAAATACTGTATGGGCTCCAAGGAGACACGGCGTATACCCAAACATGCATGTACTGGTAGATTAGTGATAGTTGCCCTTTCGGCTCAGCCGCCGGGCGTTAATGAATTGTGTGTGTGTGTACAGTATCAGGTCCCTCGTGGAAAGTCACCTTCTCATGGTGAGGGATGTCAGTAAGTTAGACTGCAAGGTCTGACCGAAGCTGAGAACTTTCCAAGTCGAAACTCCGGCGGAAACAACCCCTTTATTGGTTGTGACGACGCGGTGGGAAGCTTTCAAAAGAACACGTCGACAACATCGCAACGTCGACGAGCCTTCGAACAACCGACCTGCCTACCCATTTTCAACCTATACTCACCGGGTTTTATTCACAATAACTCACCTGCCCTACCGGTTCGATCGCATGTCGATTCGTCAGTCCTTCGTCTGCTATCTAGTGTTGCCGCCAGCGAGGCAGTCAGCTACTTCGGGCGTTAATATGAGAAGTACTCTCGGTAAATCGCTACTCAGGGAAGAGGTTCACGAAACTACATCGAGAATGGACACGTGGGGGGTCCGGTGTCACAGAGGGATGGGTTATTGCTTTTGGGGAGAGGATATGATGACAACAACGAGAAGAAATCGTTAAGGACATACCCGTATGGGCTAGAGGAGTTTTTGGCAGCTGGTTCAGCTTTTCCTCTCGAAAATGAGACTATGACAAAATGTATGCAGTGGAAAGATCAAATAGCGTATAGGTGCCCTCTAGGTTTGAAACCTCCGGGCGTAATGAATTGTGTGTGTATGTGTGTGTGTACAGTATCATTTCCAAGGTCAGTTGTAGGAATAGGTGTCCGAGATGATTCCACATACTTGCATGCAATACTCTTGGGGTTATCGGCATTTGTCTCATTCAGTTTGCCCACGTCAGGTTGAGCAACTCACGTACTCGCTCCTAAATATATCTTTACAGCAGCAACGCATTGAACCTCTATTTCAGGGCAAAAAGAGAGACCCTGATCTTCGACACATCGTCGAAAGACACGAATAAACATCCTTTCCGCCTTCCGGACAGTCGCAACGCCAACGCTGGACGTCGAAGCATACGTTTTGCCAACGCATCTCCGATCCGTCATCGCGCACAACGGACCATCACTAGGCTTCACACTCTCCCACCAAAACATCCGATATGGAGGACATTACAACGCGCCCAGAGACGAAGAAATAACCTCGGATCGTACTCTCGGTTCCCACTGGCGGAGGCTCTGAAGACGATGAGCCTAGAGAGGCTAAATGAACTAGAAATGATCGACCGTCAGCCGCTACCACCATGGAGACCAGAAGCCTTCACGGAGATTGAGATTGAGCCGGACAGGGAGATCGCATTAGAAAGGGCGAAGGCCATCCAGGCTACCTCGGACATTATGGTGTGGTCGGATGCCTCAGGGCGCCAGGGCCACCTAGGGGCTGCGGTCGCGATGCCAGTCTGGTGGTCAGCGAATCCTTACTGATTCATGTCAGCCCGATGGACCGATGGTCGGTGCACGCCGCTGAACTGATTGGGATCCTGTACGCTATCAATATCATCAACAAAATCGCTCTCCAAACCCAGACATCTACCGGCGCCCACGCTAGGTCTGCCACCATTCTCAGTGATAGTATGTCAGCACTACAAGCAATCCGGAACTCAGGTACCAAATCAGCACAACGGATCATCCACGCAGTCATACAAGCAGACATGAACACCAAGGCGCATGGCATTGCTTTTCGTCTCCAGTGGATACCAGGACACAGCGAAGCACCCGGAAACGAGGCAGCGGATCGACTAGCCAGAGAGGCGGCGATTCCGGGCAAAACCTACCCATTTTCACCTTTGATATCCAGAGAGAAGGCCTTCATTCGGAAAACAGTGCATGCTCAGTGGGAAAAGGAATGGAAAGAAACTACAAAAGGCGGCCACCTCCGCAAGATCGACAAGACGTTGCCAGCCAAGTACACTAGACGACTCTACGGGCCCCTGCCGAGGAATCGGGCCTACCTTTTGACACAGATGCGCACGGGACACTGCTGGCTGTCCACATATGCGAAGGCTTTTCGCTTCCAGGATAATGACCGGTGCGTCTGTAGCGATCGAGAAACACTGACTCATGTTCTATGGGACTGCCCCAATCTGCGGGACTTGCGACGTGAGCTGCGGGGGCGAGTTGGCGACGCATTCGGTAGCGTGTCGTGCTTGCTCGGTGGTTCTCCGGAAGGGGGAGAGGTAAGCCGGACAACGCCTCGCGAGCCAAGACGGTGGAAGCCGTGTTGGATTTCGCGGAGGCGTCACAACGGTTTCGAAGTCGCGCGCCATGAGGGCAGCCTGACAGCGCAGACGGCAATGAGGCGACGGAGATATATAGTTGTGGTAGCCTGCATATCGCTTCGGCCGAGTTGTATCCTAGGTCACGTGATGTATATAGGTCTGTAGAAGTGGCTGCCTAACAGGCAGCCACTTCACTAGGCAGTAGCATGGTGAGCTGCTGGGGGTACAAATAGCTGGGACTTTCATAGCTTGAACAATTATCACACTTGTACCTCAATCCAGAGTTTCAACTCGCCGAGGGTCAGGGTAAAGGATTTCACACACACACATACTGTAAATGAATCTCGTATTCGCGCGAATAAGCGTGTTGAATATCCCGGTGACTGAACTGATATGACGGGGGCTGGGAGCATGTGCATATATAAGGCTGTCAGCCCACCTGTATCTGGAACCACAACTTCTACCTACAGCATGAACACCGAAGCATCATTTCTCAACACAGCTAGTCGAATACGAATAACCAAAATCCTTATTCGTGTGCACCCCTAATCCAAATGAATGATGCTCTATGAGAGCGACTACCTTCACAGAATAGACACTACGTTGTCGTCCGCGCTACGCTATGACTTGCTGCCAACGAACCGAACTTAACTGTTGACACAACTGTGCATGGGCTATTCCTGGTCATCAACATATGTCAAGTCTCACTGTTTCAAAGACGTTGGCAGAGATTTTATCGATTAAACCCAATGTACGACGAGCCGTCAGTGTCGTCGTGTTTTCAGATATACCCAAGCAAGCACTAGAGCTGCCCCATAACCAGCTCTTTAAAGCGACTTTCCAAAGATTGATTGATCATAGATCTCACATGTTTATTCAACAAGAAAACGGACAGGGAATCGGCTCCTCTCTAATTTGAAGCCTATACAGGCAGCTCACCGATGCTACTGATACGTACTAGGTCAGTGGAAAGAGGAAGAGAATAAAAAGCACAAAAGGTTTTTGACTCGTCTCGCAAGGCACTGCCAAACATACTATGTCGATACCGAATATGAAGGTGGTTGCTCCAGCTCTTCGAACTCAGACATGGAAAGCTCATAGCCGAGATGGCGCTTAAGCAGTTCATGGGTGATGAATCGTTCAGGTGTGTTGCCTTGAGCATCAACAAAAGCCACATGGGGATTAACATCACTGATTCGTTGCAACTCGTTAGCATGGCGATGGTGATGTGGGCATCCATCGACACCGATCAAGAAAATGGTAACGTGGGCCCAAGCGAGGCTGAGAATATCGAGCTCAAACTCATCCATGTCGGTCGCTTCACCATCAAGTAAAAGAAGTAACCTCAGAATAGGGGTTTGTGGACCAGATTGCCACCCATAAACAGGGTGGTAAGTTGCGGACTCGGAATGCTTCTGGAAATGTAGCTCCTTGACCTTTTGCCAGCCTGTCATTACCCTTGTGCCTCCTCCAAAATTAATGTCCCTCCATATTTGATCGATGTTCCAGTGGTTGATAACACCGACATAATTGGCATGAGTCGAGAAAGTTGTGAACTTAAAGCCTTGCCAGTTATGGTCATGATTGTCATGATTGGCCATTGCATCGGCGAATCGACGGATGATGGCCTTTGCTACGTCTGTAACATAAAGTCAATAATTTACATAAATCAATCATTAATCGTGCTAAAACACCTTTGTTCTTTGGCTGGGTAGACCTGGAAAATTCGGTGATGAGATACTGGTTATAGTTTGGTCGAATGGGATCAAATTCCATTGAGCCAGAAACATCTAATAGGATCATAGTGTCATCAGTAGGAACTTCGGGCGCATCGCATGACCTGAAAGGAGCAGGCATGACCTGCCTCGAGTACCCCTTCGAGGTATGTTGAACATAGCAGGTATCATCGGGAGAGTAATATGCAGGAGGTGGTTCAACCGCAGAGGCCATTCTGGCACGAGCCATGCTCAGCGCGGAAATCATATCTGGTTTCAATCTTACCTTACCAACCCCTTCTCTGTGATTTAAAACCCAGTAGAGACGTTCCTCAGCGGTGTCTTCATATCCTCTCCACGCAGGGGTGATCCCTCTCCATCCCGCAGTCACATCGATAGTGAACTTTAACGGATTAGAAGCTAGATTGGCCCAATTGACTGGAATAGGCTCGAAATAACCAGCTCGAAGGAGGTGGAGATACTGTATAGGCTGGCGGGCTCGAAGTTCAGCTGTTCTTGAAACCATGCCGATATTTTCCTGGTATGCGACCACAATCCGTCGCTCATTTTGGCCTGGCCATCTGTAGTTCTCTTCCTCAAGTATCGCATTTTGCAACTCTACTGCATATGCAAGTCGTTTCCTCAACTTGGAAACGGCCCTTTCTTCGGACGATTTGATAGAAAGAGTATTCTTCAATCTTGAGATCTTGGATGTTCTAGCACTTTTATTGTCGCCATAGGTGGATGGACCAGCGACAGCCATGTTCGACATCGAAGTCTCCAGCTGGTCGATTTCCCAGATACTGAAGTTTGGTTCCTTGGAGTTGATAGAAGCTTGTGCTTTCACGTTGAGAGCCGCATTCAATTTTATGGTCTGATACACTGACTTCGCGTGATAGTGTGGGTCAGGTATTTGAATTCCAATGAATGATGAGCCGAAGCCATAGGGTGAAATGACACTGTAGGAATAGGGGTTGTTGGTAAATACTGGCATTTGGTAGCAGCCATGGTAGGCCTTTTCGCCTGGGTACATCACGGCTTTGGACCACATATGCTGGACGCCGAGGCGATTCATTTGTCTTCTCTTGTACTGATGTATGGCACAGCCACAATAGTAATCCGCGTCATGGTCTGGCTCAATTTCTGGGTTGTAAATGCGGTAAGCCAGCTGGACGCTCTGCAGCATGTTCTGCATCTCTTGCTCGTCTCGAGCGCGAACGCTCCCGGCTTCAATGACTGCATTCGTGTGAGGTCGTCGCAAGGCCGCACCCATGATCACCGCAGGGGAAGGGGCGCCGGGTCGAATCTTAGCCTTTTCAGGGGTTTTGACTAAATTGTGGGAAAATTTGGCTGGATTCTCGTAATACTGGTCGACGGCCTCACTGAGGGTGTTCGCGCTCTTCAGGGTACAGTCAGTTACATAAGATACTCTGGCGATCAAAGGCATGGCAATAGATACTTCGAGGTACATGAAGGCAGCTCCCTCGTCAGATCCGGGAGCAAAGGCGACAAACGCAGCTAATTTCTCTTTCGAAGGCTGCATAATGGACACTGCCAATTTTTAACAAGGGCTCCGCGACGTAAGGGATATCGGATATCAGTCCGATCAGGAAACCATGAAATCTTCTAAGTAAGGTTAGGCTTTATTTGTGAGGCGAGGCCGCGAAGCCAAAAAGATGCGTCTGCATGAGCGAGCCTGTAAAGAGAAGGATGCGAAAGGCAAGCGAATGCGAAATTCCGCAGCCGTGAAGCGCACGTGATCAGTAATATGGTCCAAGCTTGATTGCATCATATATATGACGTAAGGTAATGTAATTCCCAAGCGAGTGACGCACCCCAAACACCATAGTAAATGCGATATTTCAATCCCTTATATCTCAGCAACGAAAGATTATCATAAAGTCATCTTATATTTCTATGTTCTTCATAGTATGTCTCACGTATTTTTAGGACCTTGATATGTTTAGCGACATAATGGTCTAGATATATATATTCATGTCCTGAACCTCAAAAATACGTTGTATTTTATAGTAACGCACGTCACTCTCTTGGGTTCGTCACGCGCTTGGGAATTACGTAACTTAACCTAGTTACAAATTTAGTCTGGGTGACCGGAAACGGGTCCGTTCGAAATATTTTTCGACCTCTTTGATATTATTATAGTATAAGATTTTTACCCTTTTCTACGAGCCTTACAAAGCCAAGAACCGAACCATCGGTAGCCGACCAAATTCGGGAGTCATTACAAACCTTCGTGGAAAGACGCAACCAACTATGGCTTTGTTCAGTGAACCCGATGGCCAAGATTGGCCTCAGATCTGCCAACTGCTTCTCGCAGTCGGCCTCTCCGCTCTCATAGGGATTGAGCGCCAGTTACGACAAAAAGCCGCGGGACTGCGCACCAATACTTTGGTCGGAATGGGGTCAGCCTTGTTTATGCTGGTATCCAAGTATGGCTTCATGGACGTCCTGTCCCGATATCGCGTCGTCGTGGATCCATCGCGAATCGCAGCCCAGGTTGTTTCGGGGATCGGCTTTATCGGAGGCGGTATTATTTTCAAGCAGCAAAGCGATGTTCGAGGCTTGACGACTGCTGCAGCTGTCTGGCTGACTGCCGCCGTAGGGTCCGCCTGTGGAGCTGGCTTGCCGATTCTAGCTTGCATTGCGACAGGATTATATTTTGTCACCGTTCTCGTTCTTCCTGTCGCCTGGACCTATGCTAGAAGATTGCGGACCACAGACAATGCCGTGGAAGCGTTGATTACGATCCGATACCGCAGTACCGACACTGGACTGGAACCAATCCTCGAAGGAGTCTTGAAAGCCGAAGCTGAGACGGTGAATGTCAGGCGAATAGAGGAAATCGTACTTTCCACGCTTCAGAGCCCGGCTATTGCTGCCAACATGGACCGTCAATCGACGCGACAATCTGCACCCACAGAGTCCCCACTTCCACCGCCCATGGCAGCCTATGGACATGGTCGGATTTTTGATGTGCAGCTTCTTGTAACAGGGCACAAGTCTCCAAATGAGGTGGCCTGCTTCCTGTCTCAGTTATCCACTGTTATTGGTGTAGTAATCCACGATGAACCAACGGATGAGGTTTAAGGATGTGTGACAACGAACGGCGGGTAAATTTCCTCAGGGGTTTAATTATTCTGTCTTGGTTGAGCAAGCCCGTTAACGCAGGACGTTTTCCGCGCTCTCTGGGAACGTCGCTCTGGCGTCGGAGAGTTAACCTGTGTGAAGGATTTAGTGTCATCGGCTGTGTCTGGGCATATTATTTGCGTGTCTTCATCGTCGTCATCTGGAGCAGTGGACTCAGTGTGGTTGTATGAATGCTGGATGGTAGGAGTGGAGTCATTTTGCGATGCTTTGATTGGATTGGAGGCCGGGCGGGGGAGCCCTCTGTGACCAGCGGTCATGGCGCTTTCGTTTGCCAGTTGTTGAGGGAGAGCTGGAGGCCAAAGGTTGTGTTAATCTTGGAAGAAAAAAAAAGTCATCTGTGATCACAGCTAATTGGCGATTCTCTTTCCTAACGCCGAAGATGCCTCCAGTCAAGAATACATGGGTGTCAACACTAAGCGATGGGAAGCTGGCCCAACGTTGGCCGTCCTTGAAGTATGCGGTGATGGGGAATATGTAATGGGTTCGAGTCGAGCTATTGTAAACTGTGGATTGGAGACGGTACAGTATGTATGTATGTATGTATGACTTCATTTACCCTGACCCCTCGCAAAATTGAAAGCGATATGCAGGCTACCACAACTATATAACCATGTATGTACAGGTAGAATGTACCACTTCTTAGACGAACTTAGAGCCTCGCCGAGGCCTGTCGTGGCCTAGATGCCGTTTGTGTGTGCTGCCCTTATGGTGCGCGACTTTGAAACCGTTGGGATGCCTCTGCGAAATCCAAGACGGCGTCCACCGTCTTGACACGCGAGGCATGATTAGGCTTACCTCTTCTTCCTTCCTCCGAACCCCCTAACAACGTCGACGCACTACTGAAAGCGTCGCCCACTTTCGCCCGTAGCTCCCGTCGCAGACCTCTCAGATCTGGAAAATCCAATAGAACGTGAGTGACGCTCTCTCGTCCGCCGCAGACGCACAGGTCGTCGTCACGAAAGCGGAACGCTTTTGCGTACGTGGCTAACCAACAGTGTCCTGTCCGTAGTTGTGTCAGCAGATAGGCTCGATTTCTTGGTAGCGGTCTATAAAGTCGCCTCGTGTACTTGGCCGGCAGTGAGTGATCTACCCTCCGGAGGTGGCTACCTGTTCTGCATTCCTTCTATTCCTTCTCCCATTGAGCGTAGATCCCTCTCCGAATGAAGGCCTTCTCGCGAGATAGTAATGGGGCGAAGGGATGGGTTTTCCCCGGTACGGCTGCTTCTCTGGCCAATTGGTCTACGGTGTCGTGACCAGGTTCCTCGCAGTGTCCGGGCATCTATTATAGGCGAATTGCGATGCCGTGCGTCTTGGTGTTCTTAGCCGATTGCAGGATGGCGTAGATAATCTGTTGTGCTGTCTCGGTTTTCGGGTTCTAGATAGCTTGCAAAGCCGACATACTGTCGCTAAGGATGGTCGCAGTTCTAGTGTGCAAGCCGGCTAACCTCTATCGCTGGAGGGCAGCCTTGTTGATGATATTGATGGCATACAGGATCCCCACTAGCTCGGCGGCGTGTACTGACCACTGGTCCATTGGCCCCACCTAGATCTGTAGAAATTCCGCCGTCCCCGTGCTGTCATTGAGTGTCGTCGCTGCTGCGCCTAGGTGGCCTTGGCGTCCCGAGGCGTCTAAATAGACGACAATGTCCGAGGTGGATCGTGCCGACTTTGCTCGTTCTATGGCGATCTCCTTCTCTGGCACAATTTCGATTTTTGAAAATGCCTCGGATCTCCAAGGTGGCAGCGGGGTGGGGTCGATCATCTCGATTTCGCGTAGCTTCTCCAGGTCCATTGTTTTCAAAGCTTCCGCGAGTGGGAACCGGGCGTATGATCCAATATTGTTCCTTCGCCGGTGTGCGCGTAACAGGGCGTCCCAGATAGGATGCTTTCGCGGCAGGGTGTGCAGTCTGGTGATGGTACTTTGTGCACGGTGTCGGAGGCGAAGATGGGTAGGCAGAACATGCGTCTCGACGTCGAGGGTGGATGTGGCCACTGTCCGGAAAGCAGAAAGCACTCGGATAAGTGCTGTTCGCTGGACAGTACGCAGGTGCCGAAGATGCGTCTTGTCGCGAAGCGGGTCATGCCAGACCGTCGACGCGTAGTCGAGGACTGGCATCACACACGCCTCGTAGAGTTGTCGTATCTGTTCTGGGCGTAGCTGTCGTAGGCCCCCCAGGGCGATGTTGGCTTAGGTAGGTCGTTTAACCGCCTATTGTACGTGGTCTTTCCACCGTAATTCATGGTCAAAGATCACGCCCAGAAGCTTCGCAGTCGTAGACAGCTCGATGACTTTGCCATTCATGACAATCTGGCCCTATCCTTGCTCTTTCCTTCTCCTGGTGATGTGGATCAATTCGGTCTTTTCTGCTGCGAAGCAGGATCCCGTCCTCCGGGCCTATACTTCGATCCGTGGTATGTCCTCGGATTGGATCTTGGCCAGGTTCCCTTCAGCGGTCTAACCGACCCGCCAGCGGAAGTAATCGTCGATGAAGGCCGATGCTCCACCGTCGAAATCGACCGGTTGATCAACTAGGTCGCTATTGAAGAAGGCGAAGAGGATAGGCGAGAGAGGAGATCCCTACGCGAGCCCTACGTTTTCTAGCGGTGCCACCGCGCTCTGGTAGTCGTCGAAACCAATATTAGCCTGGCGTCCGCTCATGAAGCTAGAGATCCATCTCCTAGCCACTATGGGAATGCCTTTCGCTCGGAGACGAAAGTCAAGATTGATTTTGTTCACTCCGTTGAAGGCTCCCTTCAGGTCGAAGGCCACGAGAGTGACAATCTTCTGTCGATACCATACTCGGTCGATTGCATTGGCCAGCACCAGGAGAGCTTGTTCAGTCGTGCGTCCTAGACGTCCCCCAAACTAAGTGTCTGGCAATAACCCATACCTCTCTGCAAGAAAGGACAGCCTTCGGGCCATCACAGCCTCCAATAGCTTGCTAAGCGTGTTAAGCAGGGAAATTGGGCGGTACGCACCGGGGAGCGAGTAATCCGGTTTTCCAGGCTTCCGAAGCACCACGATCCAGGCGCTCCTCCATCTTTAGGAATAGTAGCCTAGGTCAATGGACGCTGTGAATATCCGTGTGATGATGTTCCCAATGTAGGCCCAAAGTCGCTTCCAGACCAGCGTTGGGAGACCATCTTCGCTAGGCGCCGTCGAGCTCTTCGCGGCCTTCAGGGATCGGTAGACTTCAACTTCCGAGATTGGTTCCCACGACAGTTCGTATAGGGCATTCGTGAGGGTTTCATCCTCCGCAGGCGCTATCGGTGGGAAGAACGAGTCCATAAACGCTTGAGCTTTTTCCTTATTATCGGCTAGTTCCTTGTCCCCTACCTTGAGAGAAGGAGTGTAGCCCCACGATTCCCGTGGCTTCATGTAAGTAGCTACTTTCTATAGATTTCCTTCGCCTGCTTCATTCAGGAATGTTTTCCAGTGTGAGGTCTTGGCTTTTTCGATCGTTCGCGTCCATTCTCGTCGCTTCTAGCGTATGTCCTCAAAGAAGGACATACTACGAGGGTCGTCTCGACCAAGCTCTGCATAGTTCTCCTGCCATTTGCGTCGTGCTTGATTCACTGCCATCTGTTGCGATTTGAGGTCGGCGGAGAACCACCGTTTCAAGTATAGGGAAGGTCGCAGGTTAGGGGTGTGACGACCAACGGTCGTCGCGGTGCCCCGAGTGAGCTTTTCTACCATAGCGCCCAGTGCCTATGTTATGTTAGGTTCCTTCCAGGGCCCCATAATGCTCTATACGTCGTTCCCGATTTTGTCCCAATCGGCTCGGTCGTACGCTTTGCGTGCCTTGGCGGCAGAGTTACGCCGTGTTCGGAGACTCCATGCCGAGTATATTGCTCGGTGATCCGAGCTATAGTTGTCATGGTAGAGATGGCATTTGACGAGGAGATCGGGTCTGTTCGTCACGGTCTGGTCAATAGTCGAGTTTCTCCCTGGGTGGCTTAGCGACCAAAACGTCGGTATACCGCGAGGAAGACACCCTCGTAGGGCGTATGTATAGAAGAAGTCGATCAACTCGCTGGCGTCTTCATTAAATCGAGGTTGAATGTGGTTTCCTCCCCATGCCAGATAGTGGCGGTTGAAGTCCCTAGACAGTATAAGACCCGTGGCTTTAGAGCTATTTCGGAGGGTATCTTGCATAGTATCTTAGATGGCTACCAGTATGGTTGTCGCCGATGCCTCGTCGGGCGTGTGCATCGGCAGCGGTGGGATATAGACGGAGAAAATTAGAACCTGGGTGTCGGCGGACCAGATCTTGACCGCCGTCAGATCGGGGTGGTTGCATGGCACTTGTCGATGCGAGGACGTGGACAGTCTCCGGTTGACATAAATCAGGCTTCGAATGCGCACCTCGGTGTCTGCCACTGTCGGTCGGTATAGTCGCTACGCACTGTGATTGACATGGGTTCGGTACGCAGTGATGGATGGCTCTTGGATGAGCAACACGTCTAAGTCCTGGCTCTGGTGGTCGTTAATGAGGGCTTCCATTCCTGCCCTCGATTTCATGGTGTTCAGCTGTAAAAGATAAAGGTTTTTCTCTAACATCGCAGGGATGGTGCGTTCGTCGGGGTCGGACACAATCGATCTCCCGTCGGATGTTGACCACTGCATTCCAGGCAGCGTGCTCTGACGCCTGGTGGGCATCTTGCTCGTAAATGCGTGCCGGCGCAGTGGCCGCACTGGGGCGTCTCCTGGCACGACCACGCCAGATGCCCGAACCGTTGGCAGCGGAAACACCGCTTCTTCTTGATCTCGCACTTTTCCACTCGTCCAGTGTTCTTCCTGAGTTTGGATTCTCATCTAAGTCTACATAGGGTCGAATGAATTTACTTGGGTTGGCGCCGCAACTTGGCGGATAAAAGGTCACGTGATGTCGCGTTTCAACCATCGCGTCCCCCCTTCTCTCGCTTTATTGACCCATACTCTCCAAAGTCAACATGGTGGCAAAAAGAGGACTGCGCTATGTCAGATCAAACAAGATTGAGATTTATCATCGAAAACCCTATCGGCAATGGCCTGAACGGCTTTCGCACCACGTTCACCTCGATCTGTGAAGGCGCGGACTTGCGCTCAGCAGAGGACGCCGTCGATCAGCTCAAGCGGGAGGGTTAGACACAGGAGCCCATCATAACCCTTTCTTTTCGCTGACTTGAGTATAGATGTGCAAGACCTGGCTTTCAGCCTCCTGACAGCCCTTCAGGTCCTTCCCGCCGCTCGTCTTCTGCCGTCCAATTCAGGAGGAGTCGTCCGAAGTGACCTGCTTCGACTCATATCCGCCGTCGCATCAAATGATTTCGATCTCGAACGAATCAAACCGCTGCTCAAGATATCTCTTCTAGATGCAGCAACAGATGAGCAGATATGGAATCTTGTGGACGTTGCCGCAGAGGAAACCACGCCGCCCCCTCGACCGATTGCTTCCTCCCTCCAACAAACTCCATGGTTTCACAAGACGAGTAGCTTCGCGAACTCCTCAGAATACCGCCAAGATGTCGACAGGGTCCTCAAGTCTGAGCTTGGGCAACTGTACGTTGGGCTCCTGCATTTTCGATCAACATTTTTCGGCGCTATCAGTGGTCTTCAAACAGGATCCGAAGCTGTATTTCAAAGATGCAAAGAGGGCAGCGATCCGCTTTTTGTTGATGGGTGGAAAGGATGGCCAAACGACGCAAACCAGGAAAAGGTTTTGAGTTGGTTTGCAGATCTGAGCGAGAAACTGGCAACAATCTCGGCAGACTACAACCATATGACAGCACACCTGCGGAGACCGCTAGCACAGCCCAACAAGCCCATTCAAGGCTCCACGGCAGAGCGCAAGCTAGACGTTGGCTTCGTGAGTGACGTCGACGCGAAGAAGGACACCCATTGTCATTGGTCGCAGATTCTAGTGCCGGGGGAGCTGAAAAGCAATCCGGCAGCCGACAGCGCTTCCAAAGCGTGGCTTGACTTAGGTAGATATGCCAGGGAAGTCCTTGCGGCTCAGGATACGCGTCGCTTTGTTCTAGGCTTTACCCTATGCGGGTCCTTTATGAGGATATGGGCATTTGACCGTCTTGGAGGAGTTGCATCCGAACGGTTTGATATAAATGAGGACGGACTTCAGTTTGTGTTCACTATTCTTGGATTTCTGTGGATGAGCGAAGAGCAATGTGGATTTGATCCCACCATCATAACGCGAGATGGCGAGCGATTCATTGAGATCGAGCGGAACGGCCAGACGGAGCGGCTCGTCCTCGAAAGTCTCATGAGTCGGGCACCCTGCATTGCAGGTCGAGCAACCACATGCTGGAAAGCGCACCGTGAGGCGGAACCTGGGGTTCCACTCGTTGTCAAAGACTCCTGGCAATATGCAGAGCGCGACGAAGAAGGGGAACTTCTTCAAGAAGCCACCGAGCGCGGGGTGGTCAACGTCGCACGGCATTTTCATCATGTAACTATCCGTATCCGTGATCAGGATGACGATGTTCAAGGCAACGTTCGAGCGGGTTTGGACATCAGGACCGCAAGCAACTATCGGCCAGAACGATCGGCGCCTTCGACTGGCACAGGCACAACCGATGGTCCACGAAAGAGCCGGGGCAGCGGCCGATCTAGCTTGAAGCGCTCTTCCAGTCAAACTGGTGCTTTTTTGCCACCTAATAAGCGACCTTGTTCAGCATCTCCTACCAAGGCATCCATCAATCCACTGCCAAATCGAGTTCATTGGCGTATCATCCTGCGCGATTATGGCAAACCTATTTATAAGGCAAGCACTCGTACGGCTCTACTTGCGGCGCTAGAGGGTTGCATTACAGGACATCATTCTTTGCAAAGGGCAGGGATTCTTCACCGAGATATCTCAGTCAATAATCTCATGATCAACGAGGACGAAGACAACCCTTCGTGGCCATCATTCTTGATTGATCTTGATTTGGCCATCAAAGAGCAGCGAGTCGGTGTCTCGGGAGCGAATGGAAAGACCGGCACGAGGGCCTTCATGGCGATTGGGTCCCTTCTGGGCGAGAAGCATTCTTTTATGCATGACCTTGAGTCATTCTTCTGGGTGATATTTTGGATATGCATCCATTACGAGGAGCCGGGCAAGGGAAAAGTTGTGCCAAAATTTGACGATTGGAATTTTCGGGATACAGAGGCGCTAGCTGATTTGAAGAAAGGGACAATATCCGACGAAGCAGATTTCCTGAGGTCCGCGAATGTGCACTTCACAAGGCACTACCACCCACTGATACAATGTGTCAATGCACTTCGGAGAGCAGTGTTTCCTAATGGAAGGAGGTGGACTAAGGAGGATGCAGGATTGTATGATCGGATGAAAGAGATTCTGCGGGGTGCTCGAGAGGACTGAGAGAACTCAGGGTCTTATTGGATAAACTTGCACACGGAGCCCTAATGCCACTGTCAAGTAATCTTAGGATAATAAAGAACAAGATTAATTAGAGCAAAGCTACCTTTGCCCCAGAAATAAGATAAATAAGAGTCGAGTACAGAGTAGAGTTGATTTACAAGTCTGGCAGATATAGGAAAACTTATCGGCCAGTACGCCAAGAATATGCCAACGCGTAACAATTCAAGTCGTAGCCCCATGGTGTCCCGCTGATGATGATCGAACTGACTAAACTCAGGGGTAATTCCGCCTGAGACATCAACTGCATGAAACTGACCGCAATGGCCAATAAAAGCTGGCTATGGTCTATCCACATTCCTAACAAATCGTCCTCAGCCAGGGCCCTGCTTGGAATCACGTCCCTTCCCCCCCTTCCCCCCCGGGGCCTCGGCGGATGGTGGTGGCCACTACCCCATTGCTAAACTTAAAGTAGAAACCACAGTTCACCCATGTTTCGAATTGCGAATACATAAGAAGCCAGAACGGCACACAAGGCCTTTCAAGGAATGGCTTCAATTCGTGCGACCCCTGGGCCATGCAGCGTATTACTTCGCGCTAGCAGGGCAGAGAATTGGCGCGGTGGAAATCACTTACGGCGTATCCCTGGTATGTTTCGCAAACAGAGAATTGACATTTCATTCTCTATTTTAAGGCCTTCTATAGTTTCTTGGGAAACGGGGGATAGATGGGTCCAATGCCTCGTTTACCGTGTGATTGAAATCTCTGTCACGCTAGTAATAGCGCGATTATAAAGCAGCGTCGTTAGCCTGGCGCTCTCCATCCTCAAAAACTTTTCTAATTTGGACTCGGGTGGTAAAATTGGAGGCCTTATTCGCGACTGGATCTTCATAGATCACTCTCTATACCCGGGATGTTTCCTTTTCCGGGACCGATTCCTAAGGGGGGAATCCGCTTCACCCGCCGCGGATGGCTCAATTCTCCGGAGCGCCTCCGGCCCCAGTTGATTGCTGGATTTGCCGTCAACCTATCAAACCCTCTTCTGGCATCGATAATAGTTGGAAAAGCTCCTACCAGCCTTTGGAATTGAACAGAACTACTGGTGATATAAAACCTGCTCAGAAATACTATCCTGGACACCAGCCATCTATGCATGCTTGCTGCTGGGAAGTTGCACGAGATGTCATTAATTCCCCCTGCTCCGATCAAAATTGGCTGAACACATTTGCTTGCCACCTCTTTCAACTCCAACATTTCGGCGACAAACCAATCTTTGAATGCGAAACCCATGATGTGGGTCACGAGCTTTTAGCAGAGACAGTCCCGGTCATCAGGGGTGAAGACACCAACGAGGAAGATATGAATCGAGTGATTCCTCCAGCCTTCTTTGAGGGCGTCTCTCAATTACTTGACCAGAACTCGCACACCATTCACATAGATCAGGTGGAAAAGTTTGACCGATGCTTAGCACACTGGCTACGTATAGTAAAGGTACTCCATACTCACTGTGTCACAATATCAATATGAACGTCAGGCCAGAGATCAAAAAAATAGTGCAGAATCTCAGGTCAAGCGACGCGTCAAGATTTCCAAAAACCTACAATCTCCGCGTCGCGTGGAACAATGTCCAAGCTGTTTTGGATGCGATGAGAAATACACCTCTACCGCGGCCTTTGCCATGGGACCCTGAATTGCGCGTGCCAGAGAATATAACAAAGCTTTGCATCCCCGCAGAAAAATGTCACAAGCTGACATTGTCATTCTCAGACCGCATGGTCTTTTTTCCCAAGGCAGGACCCATGCGGTATTTATCAGGCTTCGGTTATGATGGTAAATATGTCGGTTGGTATAGTTCCTTTCACTCGCACTATCACCTTGAAGTGAAATCCCTCCGAGGCGTGCATTGGGCCAGAGACTCTTCAGGGGCAATTCCAGCCCTCAGATTCAAAGATGGCCAAGAAATGATGGGTAATGCCATTAATTGATGAGCTCTTACCTGGGGCCACACGTTTATCAGTGAATTTTGACAGCAACAAAATGTTGGCAAATGTCACCTGGACTTTTTAAAGAGTTCAATCCGAATATTGGTGAATTGGTTGTTCCTCAGGAAGAACAAAGGACATGATTTACAATCACTCAGAAAGTGCTCGCAAAAAAGTAGCTTGATGACGCTTCACATTTCACTGAGCCAATTTTTAGAGTACTAAATACTACTTCCTATAAAGAAGGTGTTCTCTACCTCGTGATCACCTTTTCATACTATCCAGAAATTTATCTATCACCATCATACCACAAGCACCCTCTCACAGTGAGCTCTAAACATATCAGCTTTGTTTCTGGCCTGAAATATTTTGTGTCCTTTGCCATTTACCTAAGGCCCAAAATGCAGCTCCGTGCCCTTGTTTTTGGCTTGGCTATGACCGCCTCGGCGCTTCCCTTGGGCCCCATTGATTCAAAGGTTTTGGATATTGCCAAGCGTATCGGCGAGACCACGACACTTTCCAGCATTTTCAAACGGATCAGCTCAATTGAGCCGTCAATTGACACCGCTAAGCGCAACAATGAGGTTGAAGATTCTCTGGACATTGCCAAGCGTGCTAGTCAGGCGAAACCCTTTGTGGACATTCCCTGAAACTGAACTTGCAAGTCCCTTGCTTAATTTGGCAATCAGAGAACTGAAATCACATCATGATCAGCATCTATTCATCAAAGTTCGGGTTACCATGTAATCTTGAGGAGTAGATATATCAGGCTATGGAAGGGACAATCAATCATGTATCAAACTTAGGCTTTTTGATAAACGTCAATTGTTCTCTCCTTTGAAATCTGTTTCGTTCGTTGTTTCCTTTTATGACAAATACATATATATATCCACAAAGGAGACTTTTTTTTAAAAAACAGTATCAAAGCGCTACATGAAAAGTCCAACTCTACCTATAATCTACCTGATTGATCCTTGGTATTTACAGTGAAGAGATTAGTTCCCGCGCTGCAGGTTTCATTCTGATTCACATTGCAATAGTATGTAGTGCCGAATTCATTCTGGTATCATTTTATTCGATGCTCTACCTAGCATATCCTAAGCGAATTTTCTACAGGAAACAAACGGAGTACGTGATGGTCCGATTGAGAAAACCACGTGCCTGAGGTTGATAGTAGTCTGTACTGAGAAGGAATATAGAAGTAGTTAGTTGGCGGTGAAGGGTAAGTTGATCAAAATAGATGGGTAAACAAAGTTGCACAAGGGTTTATTATCTCGGTGCGATTTTTCCAGTATCTTTCCAAATAATTTGAATCAATAGAGGTGAAACCCGGGAGTGGCCAACGAGTGATTGATTCCGACAAAGTTCACAAAACGGGCACAGCGAAGCGAACGATGCTGCGACGTCGACCTGGGGAGGAGAGGGACTGGGCTGGATGGACTCCGATGGAGACACAAGCTTGGAAGACGGGCGGATGTCTTTCGGCTCCCCCGGAACTTTGGCGAGCGACTGGGAAAGTCGAAAGGCATTCGTCCAGGCACCATGGCAAGCGCCACCAGAGGTGATCATCGAGGACAGAGAAGTTGCAGTTGACAGCCATAATAACATCTTAATGGGAGACTCAAGGGAAAGACTCGTGATTGTGTACACCGACGGGATCGGAATCGAGGGAAGGATTGGAGCGGCGGCAATCGTCGATCTCGACGATCAACATGCTCACAGCCAGATGGGCAACGATGATATGTCTACCGTGTACGCGGCGGAGCTCCACGCAATCGAGATGGCGCTCGCACTGGTTCTTGAAAGTACGGAGCCGTGGGCAGAACAAGCAAAGAACGGGCTAGTCATCTTTGCAGACAGCCAAGCGGCGCTGAAGGCGCTCCGCCGACCGAAGATGCCATCCGGACAAGTCTACCTGGAAGGTTGCCTTAATCTGATTCGGCGGCTTGCGGCCAGAGGCATTCGGGCAGAACTCAGGTGGATCACTGCCCACCAAGGAGTGATCGGTAACGAGATTGTGGACAAGCACGCCAAAGAGGAAGCCCGGGAACCAGAAGGACCACAGAACCCTGACAACAGGCATATCCGTCTCGCAGCCGCAGTCAAGCGCCGGGTTCGCTATGAGGCGAAGATTGAGTGGGAGAGGCGTGGGCGAAGGAAACGACCATCCCACCGACGAGACGCTTGATCGAGACACCGACAAAGAAGACACTGGAATATTGGTCAGGCCTGCGCAAAGCAACGATGTCGGTGTTGATGCAGCTACGGACCGGGAGAATCGGGCTGAGCGCTTACCTGCACCGAATCAACCGACGCGAGTCAGCGCGGTGTGGCTGCGATCTCGGCAACCAGACGGTGATTCACGTCTTGCTCGAGTGCCCGTTGCACCAGGATGAGCGCGAGAGGATGAGAAGCGCTCTCTCCGATTAGGGAATCGCTCTCCATCGAGACGAACTCCTGACGCGACCGGAGGCCCGCACAATTGTGGCCGATTTCATGGTCAAGACCGGTCTTCTAGGCCAGTTCCAGGCAGTCGATCCGACGGCTTCAATGGTGGAGCGAACCGATCGATGACTCAAAAGCTTGAGGAGTTTTTGTTGTCTGAGGTGAGTCATATTGGGAAAAGATAATTTCACTGGCTAAACTTTGATAGGGAGAAGATCCGGCCGAGTGGCCTTATGCATACCTTTTAGCGCCACCGTGTGTTACACGGCAGCTGAATAACCCGCTTTCTTTCTGGTATCTTTACAACTCCAACAAGGAACTCAGTGCAATGATCGTTCAGCTTCAAACGTCATATGGCGAGCGAAGAATGTGGCTCACAAGAAATTGCCGAAAGAACGCGTCCGGAGGAGGCCCCTACTGCTTTCAGGGAAAATTCGACAAGGATCTGCAAGTCTCACCTTTCACACCTCTCAGGGCTAGCTATGTCATTGACTCAAGCGATCCATGTGCGGCGCCATTGGATAAGCTCAAGATTATGGTGACATTGAAACAAGAAAACAAAACGGTTATGCATGCAGTAGTCAATTCCACTGCTCCGCCGCTTGACGCTGCTACTGCGAGCCTAGGCTCCTCCGTGCTCTTCCTCGTGAAGTGGTGGTGGGTCCCTATGTGTGCCATCGTGGTTTTTCGGATACTTTCCAAAGCTGCCAAGATTTACTTGACACACAGTGACAACGAACTCAACATCCAGACAAGAGCAGAACCACTTAGAACAGCCATTGCTAAGTCTGCACGTTTATCTGACAGGTAAGTAAGTGTTCTCTTTAAGTCAGTACTGTAAGGGGCATTATTGACTAATTTGTCCTTAGGAAACTGGAACAATACTTCTATTTAATTCTATGCTCTATGGTGGAGGGCCAGTCTCGCATAAAAAGTGTAAAATATATCACCTCCGGAGAGCACTGTGATAGAATTGGGGTCATATATGCACGTTCACAGTATTCTGGAGGTCAAGTTCCAGTGTCGTCCATTGATATCGAAGAAAAGATCGACGAGGATATGCCTCAACAGATTGTCTTTCAAGTTAATACTCCGACTTTCTACTCCAATTTCCTTCATTACAGGTCTCCATTTGCGGCCCTACAGAGTGAACTACTTGATGAGGAGCGGACCCGGACGGCGTGGTCGTCTCATCCACGTGAGTTTGCTGCATTGTTTCCGCATGACAATGGAGATATTCGGCGGAAGCCTCCAGATTGGCGTTGGCAAATCATCTGCATGCTTCGAAGTGCCCCCACGCAGACCAACTTTCCGCGCCAAACGCCTTACGAGCCATGCAACGGGATTTCTTTGACAGACAATATTGTTGCACAACACTGTTCAGATGACGATTTCCGTGCATATACACGTACTCTCATCCGAAACTTTTTGGGGCATTGGATAGGAGGTTTCCCCCTATGCCTTATAAAAGGGGGAGACTTTGAACTTGTTGGATTGAGCCGAGATGCTGTTCTTAGGGTGCATGAAGCTTTTCTCAAAGCAGCAATCATGACTTGGGCTATTAATTCCGCCGGACAAGGTGCGGTGGGACCGAAAAACACCGCCTACCTATTATCTACGATGCTTAGCGTGACTGGATTAAACCTCTGGGCATGTTTTAAATCTTCACTTTGATGCTACTAGTGACACCAGAATTCAAATTGGAGTGGATTGAAATTATCTGTCGCTTGGTTTTCTGCTCTTCACTATCATATCACCTAGTAGACGCGGGCTTGCAATGGTCGTCATAAAAGAAAAGGGTGTGGAGGCCACGCGAAGGTAGAGAGGCTTAGAAGGAAAGAAGGTTGGGGCTATATCCCCTCCTAATTACCCGTTGAAGATCTCCAGTGGCCCGCAGGAAAAAGCACCCCTGTTTAATACGCCTATGAATACGTCATTTGATTAAAGATTCAGAAATGAGAAAAGGTGGAACCTCGCTTACCGATGTGTTACTAGGTTTCGTGCGGGACAAGCGCACAGCTTGTCCCGTACAATGGATGTTTCTGGGTTCGTAACTGAAGGCGGTCCCAAGCACAGTCGAATTTGCAGTCGCGGCTTGTGGAGGAGATTTAATGACGGGTGTGCAATTATTTAAAAGGCAATAAAGTTCTTGCGTGAGACGCTCAGCCGAAGGTGATGATCGAAACTCCATATTGCAGAGATAAGAAAGTATGATGAGGGATAAGGCTTTAATGCAGCAGTCGTGAATTAGACAGAATGGGTTGTATGGCTATTTATCAGAACGTGACGAGTAGCAAGGCCATACTCAAGTTTTAGTAGCCTCAGCAAAATAGGTAGAAACATTTAAAGCTCCCAGGAGCAAAGCATGATTTCGTATACCAAGAGCACGAGCGGCATTGGTATGGAAAAATGTATACAAGTCAAAACTCGGGGTAGTAAAAAAAAGCGGCTTCCTCGTGTTCCGAGGATGCACCATGTTGACCCCGCATATCATATCCCCTCCACTTCCCAGGTATGTCTCATTAAACCCTCCTTTTTCAACAAAAGTTCCTGGGAACAAGATTCTACCATATTTTATGTCGCAAGCTCCCCACATCTGCATGACTTACTCGAGCCTTATTTATGACTATCTTGCTGTAGTTGTTGTTGGTCTTATAGTTTCTTATCGTTGGGAGAACTGAGTATGTATTCCCGCGAATGCCCCATGATTATTACCGATCAGTCTTGTTCTCCTAGAAGCCTATTCTTCGACCTAGCATCTTCCAAAACGTGTCTAGCGTCAATGACAGTGGTATGTTATCTATTGGGAGGATTGTACTAAAAGGGACTGGCAATGCAACCCGCGCTTTCTACAAAAGTCCTCTCAGGAGTTTCTTGAATAATAAGGGGCGTATTTCATCAAATCAAAATGATGATCAGTGACGGGGACAGCCTTATTGTCGTGAAGCCTGTCCTTAAATCACGGTCGATGGTCTACCTTTGGAACTTTACCCTTAGTTCTGTTTGGCAGGACCTGTTAGTCGAAGATCCTTACATCCTCGAGAAGGTATGAATTATTTAAAAAAAATTTACATGTTCCTGATTTTAACGTTATAACAGTGTACCAACCCACTTGGAGCTTCATTCTGACAGGAAAAGACGGCAAGAGGATTAGTATGAAGGCGTATACTGTACCGATCCATCTTTCACTTTTTCCGCAACCCACGAGATATGCTTAGTCACTGCTAAGGCCCACTAACTTAACTATTGCCATTTCGCTCCCTCGCGGCCAAAAAGCAAACCATGGTTTATGGCCCTTTGAGCGAAAGCTGGCAGCAAGTGGAGTTCGAGAAGCTTCGGTCACGTGGGTGGACAATTCACCCTTACACCACTGGAGCCAGTAGTGGCAGCAATTCTGGCACTGACGACTGGCCGCCCGATTGAATATGAGGATACTGCCTTGTTTGTTCATAATGGCTCAGGTTTTGATAGTCATTCTAGTCGACTCCAGGTAAAAAAAAAAGCACGGCTGGGATTGAATTAGCTCCGAGTGAATGTGATGATTTATTGTGGGATGAAAGCTGGGATATAGGCTGCGAAGAAGTTCTCTTAGATTCGGTGTTGGTAAATATAGATAAATTGCCCAAGAAGGTGACCTTTGTCATTTCTGAGTATCACATTCTGAGCGAAGACCAAACTGCTAGCACCCCTCGATGGTGCCCTCCAAAATCTTGGACTAATTAAAGTCAACCGGAGACTATGGTGTTCTAAGATAAAGCTAGGAGAAATGGCTCTGACGCAGTCACTGAGAAGAAACTGACTGGCTTACACATTTAAAGTGTCTTTCAGGGACTTCTTAAATAAGGGGCCGTTGTTAACGTTTTAACATTCCTTTGATTGGGAGGAACATTTAGATTGATTTTATTTAGTAGGTGGATACCCGAGAAACGGTTCCCGGGAGCAGGAAACATATTTCGCTTCGATGTTATTTACCTCCGATTAATTAATCAACGGAAACAGTAAACTAATTGATTGGTCCCGTAATATAAAGTACAGACTTGGCTAAACGATCAAAGAATATTAGCTAGATAATCATGCCAAAAAGGTGGAGACAGTGGGTGGTATGTTAATAGGAAAACACGCCCGTATTATCGTATTAACGGCCAGGTTGGCCCCTGTTTTCAAATAAATGTTGGAATTGTCCGATTCGCCGAAAAGTGAGAATCTACTACGAAAACACGTCTGAATGCGAAAAGTAATATGAAATAATAGGTACACATTACATGTACCTCGCAATAGAGTGGTAGAGAGAAAGCAAAAAACCATACTTTGCGTCGGTTTTCAAGAAAAAGGGTTTTGACGTACAGTAACATCGGACTTCTATGGTGTGGCTCTTATTTTGACGTAACTTACCCTTAATGAGTTGGTCAACTGAAATTACACTATTACCAATCGGCTGAAGGATAGTAAATATAAAGTTCTTAAAAGTGATCCAGCTTCCCACATATGAATACATTTTCTCCCTCTATCTCCAACCCAGTGTGGGCTTCCGGCATGCCTTTGGTAACCTCCAGGCGTATTTTGCTCGTCACTAGCCTCATAAATGACTTTGACCAGGCGCCCCACTTCATTTTAGACACCGACATGCGCCCTCTTCAAAGTGGGGTATATGATATCTGGGTCCTTCAATTCCACGATGGATCACGAGTCTGCGTAAGGGTTCCAGTCCGAATGCAATGTCAAAAACCAAATGTTATTGCGAAATTAGTTGAGAATGAGATATCTATTCTCGATGGGCTTGCTCGGGCCAACTTCCTTTGGTCGCCTCGTCCCATTACCTACTCTCTTGATTTCAACAACCATTTGCGATATCCCTATATGGTCCTAAGCTGGATCGATGGTAAGCCACTGAAGTGGTCGGATGAAATCCCTCTCAAAGCGGCTCGGGATAAAGTACTTCGCCAGTTGGCATCGATCACGTTTGAGCTGCTGAGATGCACCGCAATGGAAGGTAGGTGGCAACACTAAAAACCTTCCCTTGCTAAGCTTCATCTGACCTACATTTTATACAGAGGACAACAGCTGGACTGCCGAGGCATTCCTTGTCAACCTGATTGACAAGAGGGCTCGGCGCGTGCTGCACGAGGGCGTAGAAGGACTCGATTTCCAGGATTGCATTTCTCTACGAGTCATTGCGCGCATCTTGTCTAAAATGCCCAACAAATTCTATCTACATGAAAATCCTCCTGGATGCAGTTATCGAACTAATTTTCCAGTCAATTTGGAAAAGACTGCAGCCATTTCAGCTATATCGCATGATGATTTGTCTGCGAAGAACATAATAGTTGACAAAGACTACAATGTCAAAGGGTCTGTATCTCAATCCGTATCAACTATATTGATGCAGACATTAATGGTAGTCAGTAGGCTGATCAACTGGACTTGCGCAAAACAACTTCCCGTACGTTACGCAGTGAGGCTGCCTCAGCTCCTCGGCCCTGATTTCAAGAAGCCAGATCCGGAAGACTCCTGGAGAGGCTGGGAGGTCGTCCCGCCATCTGAGATGCTCCAAAAAGATAGAGAGGGTTTTGTGGACCATCTCACATGGATTCTGTTAGACGAAGCTCCAGGATCTACAATAAGCGAATTAGCCCCATTGGCTTGCGACAGAGATGATATCGATTGGAAACATCTTGCATTTCTCGCCGTTTTCATGACCAATATTCATCATAAAGTGGTTCAGAAACAGTTTCTAATGCGTAAAACGATGATATGGGATGCGTTGTCACCTGGCACTTGGGAAAGAATGCTTCAACAAGAGATGGTCAGCTTTTATTATGACCAACTGGATATGCCCGAGGACATGGATAACGGAGAACCTTCAGTCAGAGCCGCCCATCCGCCTGTTTCTCTGGTCACAAATGATATTTGTTGAGAAATAAAAGTGTATTCGGATTGCGAAATAAGTTTGACACAGCCGGAAACGGATGACTACCAAAAATAGGTAGAACATTGAGATCACCCACGCTGGTGAATCCTATGCTAGTGAACACATAATACGATATATAGCATGACATTATATACTTCAGCACCGACAGTGTTCCCAGCATTAGGCGGCTTCACGCCACTAGAATACCTGCCGCCTTGACATAGCCGGTATTTCGCTATTTAGTGAATGTTGAAATTTTTACTTAGAGGCTCTAGGGGAGACCTTTTGCTTCTATGGACAATTTTTGGCGGACGATTTAGAGGACCGCGAAGGTATGGCAAAAATGAAGGGCGAAATGAGACAGGAAGTATAAGTATTTAAGCTAATGTCTCGTACACGTCGTGAGTTGACGAGCGATAATCATCAGGTTTGTTTTGATTCCATATTTCACATTCATTAAATAGGTCTCAGTGAAAACCAAAATTGCAGAGCAAGGGGGCTATCCAACGCTATTGATCAGTTCCGAAGGTGCAACGACTTCTTTCAAAAGCCAAGGCCAAAGAAACCCACTTCAATACCTGCATCGTCACGTGCCCTCAGTTCCGTGCTCGCAGAGATCAGTCCGTCATCCTCCATTTTGTCGTACTCAATCACAGCGGTGTGCTCATCTAGAAAGAGACGGCCATTTTCCAGAGACAGCTCCGACTGTATTTGTAGGTTTGAAAAATCATCAAGCATTTCACCAGCGGCGTAGTGGTGGATAGTCCATCCATGGCGTCTGAGCGTGTTAAGCTCCTCGACCTGCCAGCGTCCTTTCAAAGGTCCGCACACAACAGTGTGATTGGCAAGGGAGATATTATTGAAAGGGCAGTATACAGCTTTGGAGGGGATCAGGAATATTTCGTGTGTTGCAAAAAAGGGGATTTTGGGCTCGCTGAGGCACTCCACTTTAACGCTCTTCCCATCTGTTACTCTGTGATAAGATGACCCAAAAAGTTCCTAAAGAAGTCTTGTCAACGTAAAAATCTGATGGAAAAAAGGGATTTGCATACGTCAATAGCTTGATAAGAGGCGCTGGTGGTCAGATAATCGTACCAGAGAAAGGCGGAGACGGGAGATGGTATGTAAATAGTAGCCCGTTTTCGCATTATCGGCTCAACGACCAGGATGGCAAATGTTCTCTTGATCACAGTCCTGGCATGATCAGATTCGCCAAAAAAGCTCTCTAGCAGAACAAGGCCATCGAAAGGCACTGGACTTGAGAATTGATGGGAAGACATGTGATTGTGATGACTGAACGCCAGATGTCTCTTGATGGTATAAAAAAAAAATGAAAGTAGGCTGAGGGAAAAAATGGGACAAGCAGCCCTTTATGGTACAACCATGCCCGCACTAAAAAAACGGCAGGGCGCCAGGATAATCAACTCCCTGGAGCTACAAGGGCGATAAATAGCGTTCAACTGAGGTTGAGCGGAAAAGGAGTGGTTACAGTACATACTAGCTCTGCAGTAATTTCTTTTTCATTGATTGCGCCTCTGGTCGTTTCTCATCTGTAAATAGCTATTAGCATTGATATCGATGGGTGCCCCGGATAAGCTGGATAGAGGAAAATGGAGTCATGATGTTCCTAGGGGGTTAGCTTAAAAAATCTTTTACTTGCTTTTGATTGTACAGGGCCGCTCAAAATCAGCTTCACCCTTCGTTTCCTTCCTTTTTCTTCCCCTTGAGCTCTATTCCGAAACACGGTATTCCTCATTTGATCTAGCCTGCGGTGAGATCATGAATTGTTTTGTAACATCTGATACTCCGCCGGCGAGGCTGTAACTTTCTTGAAACTTGAAACGACTCTTGAGATTTTGTCTCAATGTTGTCTATCATGAATGCTTCCTTCCGCTCGAGCCAAGGTAATGTGCCATGAGGTATCTGCACGTTTACGATTGGTGATGGCAATTATCAAGCAGTCCTCCTTGTCTAAACAATTGTGAGATATCAGACTAAGATGTCCGGGTTCTTCTGCATCTAGGTGGGTCACCTGAGAGCGGGATAGATTGGAATTTGGGAGATGTGACTCCTCTTTCCAGCACCCTCGAAATTATCGAGCTACAGTCATGCAAACGAATATTCCTCATGAGGTACAAATTATGGATGGCAAGCAGGGGTGTATACCATTAACCAGCTACAGTCAACACCATCCCCACACGTAACCAGTAGAATGTTGAATTTCGGTAGCCTGCTAATATTAATTTGATCCTCTTAGTTAGCGCCGGGGTTTTACCAAAACCCCTGTTGCTGCAAACTAACCAAACATCATATATCACGTGATTGAATGTAACACATATATGCGCAACCTTCCCCCCCCCCCCTTTTTCCCGGCCGCCCGCCGACGTTTTCGCATTGACTTGGTCCCCTTCGCAACTCACAACCCTCGATTGTGATCGAATTCGGCAGCCGTCTTTATTTGCTGCGATATATCATGTATAAAGCTGGTCATACGAGGACTATAATGGGATCTTTCCATACTCTACCACAGGAGATCTTGGATTTAATCGCAATGAACCTCGACCTTCCCGATTACTTACAGTTCCGTATGATTTGTCGACGAACGTGGTCTTTATTCGGCTGTGAGACTCTTACGCTCAATTTTAAAAATATCAAGGCTCTCAAACGCGAGAAGCTAGAAGAATGGTATGGGAACTGCCAATTACAAGGATGTCATTACATATCGCAAGGCCACATTCTATCATACGCCTATCGCAAGAATGGTCTGACTTCAGGCCTGGATATTCTGGTCGAACATGGAGCATCCCTGAAGTTCATCCCTTGTGGTAACCTCGTTGAACACGCGGCTCGTTCGGACGATTACAAAAGACAATTAAACTGGTTGACCGATCATGGTGCTTCTTATCATGAAGTCCGAGGGGGAATCAATAGGCTTTGTCGCGAAAGTTATGACAGAAGCTGTCAATCATATAACAGACGCGATATCGACAAGTTCAGCTGGCTGTTCCAGCGCGGAGCCTCTTTGGATATCTTGGCCGAAACAGTCTGCAACGTTCCTAGTAGATGTAGTCCAAGGACAAAACATGCTCTACGATTTCAACAAGACCGTTTGAAGAAGGCACTCAGGGCGGAGCAGATCCCTCGCGTTCCTAGAAAATTGTCACAGCGCAGTTGACATATCGTCAAGTTACCTGCAGCACGACGATTTGGTACTAGAACCGGTACGAATGATACGTGACCCCTGTCGAGTTCACTCGCTTAGCTAGGGTTCTGACCCATACCTGTATATAAGGAGAGGATTTGAGGAATTATATACTGCTACCTACAGACTGAGTCTTAACGACAGGGATGCCATAGATGCATTTCTACAGAGATACCTCTACTGGCTTGAGACCCTTAGCATATTAGGAAGACTTTCTGATGGCATACGTTCTATAAAAAAGCTTGAAAATTTGACTCAGGTAGGTTGTACCAATCGTACAAAGATGGGTTCTCTTTCTAATAGTAGATGAAATATTTAAAAATCGCCCATGTGCTGCAGGTTTATTTTACTAGACTCATTCGACCCATATTCCTGAAAGTCTTCATACGTTAACACATTCTCTGCGTTTCTTTGACGTGAGAAAGAAAATTAGGTATTCCCCGAGTCAACCTATTGCGCCTCTGATTACCTTTAGGCCGAATGGTCCTAAATCTTCAGCCAGAGCTTCTCGTCTGGACTATCAGACTATTTGGAAAGGATGATATTATAGTGTTACGCCTTGTGTCGCGTGACATATACGCTGTTGTAATCGGGATACTCTTTTCAAGAAAGGCCTCTTTCAATCTATCGAGCTGTAAGGGACGGAAGATTGGACATCGCGAAATAACATATGAGTCGATAACAAGCTAATGCTACTGTTGAATATGGTGAATATACTCCTCTCTGGCGTGAAGTAATTACCACCACTCTTGACCAATTTGGCTCGCGCTACCCAGATATTTCCCATACCGGTGCTCTTTGTGAAGGCTTTGTGTCACCACGCATTGTCAGTCCGAAGAGTGTGTAGATTTATTTGTAAAGTTAAGGGATAGAAAGACGCTCTTTGCAAAAGGATTCGAGGGCTTCCTTTGTGAATACCAGTGGTAGAAAAGATAATTGTCTGGATATATCACTTTTTCGGATTGGCGTTTTTAATTCATCGAGTGTTCAAGGAGAGCTACATTGAGTAAATTTATTCATCACAAGCATCTGGATTCACCAATGCACTTAATCCAGTGTGCATGAATTGAGTTGAAAGGGAAAAACACCATTCTTGGCTATTCCAATTATTTTCGGGAACAATAAAGGTAAGGAGAATCGGCTTGAGTTGCTGAAAGCAATGATTAAAGCTATGAAATCCAATTGAACTCAGCTATGGGCCCATTAATGTCACCGAACATTTTACAACTCGATCCCGATAACTTCGTGATGTATCTTCCCTACGTACCTGTTATGAATATAACAACCCAGATATGAACTACGGTTATCCAAACGTGGACAACAATATATGACAAGTCTAATGCATTTAAATTGAAATCCATTTTCCAAGTGCGTCGAATTTTTTACACTAACTCTCAACAGACACAGAGATTCTTTAAGAAACAATTTTCGTAGCCAAATACTTGCTATTTAGGTTTTTGATTCAATTCCAAACGCCATCATGGGAAGCTATATAGGGAAAGAAATCCAAACAGGAGAAGCTTAACATGACAAAGAGAGTCACAGGGTTAAGCTGGCATATTACAAGCAGAGTGTCTATTCAAGCGGAGAGACTGTGGAGATTAAGTTGACAGCACAATACTTAAATATTTGCTGCAAACGTAGCCGTACACTTTGAATACGGGAGCTATCAATGCTTGTCCGAATCAGTCAGAATGGCCTGGAATGCGGTGCTTTTACTTGTAACGATCATATGGTTGATAAAGAAGTCTAAATCGCACTGAGAAGGGCTCGACTACCTCTATGGACATTTAATCTTGTATCAGAAGCCTATATGACCTTCAAGCCGTGAGAGCCTCTGATACATTGATTCAAGGCCATTCAGGCCTGATATACGGAGTTCAGAGTCCAAACTAGCTAATGATCAAATATCGTATGCCCGGTGGCAGTACGCCGAAGGCGACTGGCCGCTGCTCTATAGCTTAAGCCAGATTGTCGCGGGTAGAAGGCGATGGCATGAGAGACAAAGGCAGATGTCAAGGGATTGTGTGCTTGATACACTAGTCAACGGCCCGTTGGCCCGGCTGGCCCACGATCCGAGGATCGTGGGCCAGCCAGACCAAATAGCCGTCAACTGGCGGCCTCACCTGCTTATTAACACGACGGGCCAAGGAACCGGCGCCTGCGGTCCGGATTTGATCACAATCTGTGTCTTTTGAGGTGCGAGAATCTATGAAATACCATCATCGTAAGCTTCGTTACCATCACCTTCCCCCAGAGCACGTGAAACAAATTTCACATTCTCTTCACTGGCAGAGAAATTGCGCCCAATTGCCACAAAAACGGTGTTTGTGTCACTCTGGACGGCCGCTTCGAAGCACATCCCAGGAGCAATCTGGCGGAGGTTTTGATCATAAAATGTTGCCTCATAATTCCGCGCTAGGTCCTTGGAGAAGCTGATTACTGGTGCCGGATCAGACGGATCGACCATCATATGCACTTCCTTAAATCCACCACGGGCATCTCTTCCCCGGAAAACAATTTGTATCTTCGAAGTATCCTCTCGTTCATCGCGTGGATCAGCTTGAGCATGGGGTTCTTGTTCAAGACGCGCATAGACGGCTTTCTGCCTTTCATTTCGGCCTCCATCATTTACAAAAGCCGAATTCTGGTAATGCACCGCAGCCAGCGAGTCATGTGGTGTTCCAACCCCTCCTTGCGACTCCCTGGGCTCTTGTTCTGATGTAGCAGTTTGTCCCGCCCATTCTTCGAAGTCAATTCGCGTGATTGCCCTTGCCTTTCTCATTTCTTTGATCGCCCTTGGCTTCTTGGTTTCGCCCTCAGGGCGTTGTTGGTATTGTTTGCTGTACCCACGTGACGCAAAAGACCTTTTGAGTTCATTCGAAGTGTTTTTTGGGGGGTATGTCTCTGCGTGTGGCTCTGTTGGTGGGTTATCGCGCGTTTCAAGTTCGACCGTGCTAGTTTGTTGGGGTACGTCAACGTGCTCAGAGATTACCCGAAGTGGTCGTTCCTCGATGCCCTGTCTTTCACTTGGTCGGCCACCCGGTAATGCTTTTGAGGCGTCCGTAGGTCCACTGTGGCTTTGCCTTGCCCCAGCGGCCTCTGTAGTAGCTAGAATGATGGATGGAAGGCTTCCTGGTACTGCACCCACCAATTGCTGCTCAGATGCTGACTGAGGGAAAATCAATCCGTCTCGCTTTGAATTATGTCCGACATGTCCAGAGGCTTGCGACAAGGTTTCAGCTTGGATCTGCGAAGATACGCTTTCTAGGTTTTCCGACAAACTGGTCCGGCCCTCTGCCGCCGGATATGCTTGATTTGCTAGGAAGCCATCGGCTGGCATTTGAATGGTACTCGGCTCGGCTGCTTGCTCCGCATCATGACTTCGACGCAACAAGGAGTCCTGGGATCCGAGAGAATCACCTTTTCCAGCGTCGAAAATCCCCGCAGAAGTCGTAAGAGTTGCATCCCAGGGAGACAGATTCCGTTCGGATCCACCCCGATCTTCTCGGCCTTTCAAGCCATAGTCTTGATAATCTTGTATATCCTGTGGCTGGACATGCGTCTCTCCAAAGTTGATTTGCGTCACTGGTCTGGTTTGGCGTTCCTGTCCGGGTGGTTCCTTTTGATGTGATAAATTGTCGATCTCCTGGTCCAATGTCTCTTGCAGGTCATCAAGAACAGAACAGTCTTTTTGCTTTCTCGGCTGTGTCCTGTCATATGAACTCCAATTTTGTCGGGCATCGCTTCGTAAACCATAATTTCGTGGCGCCCAATTGTCAGGACTTCGACTCCTTCGGGCGTTGTATCTCATCTCTTTATCCCGCTGTGAGCGAATGTAGGGACTTCGACTCCTTTGGACGCTGTTACCAGAATATCTACCAGTATGTGGTACGGACCGCCTGTGTTCCGTAACATACTGGATTTGGTCTTCTCCAGATTCAATTCTTTCAATGTTGCCTGCACCTGCGCCATCCAATGCATCACTCATGGCCACATCGCCCTCGGGCTGATGGCTCATGTTTACTGAGTTCTCTTCTAGGTGGTCTTGCTCGGCACTTGTTGCCAACACGAGTGGGCTGTCTTGAGGTTGCGGCTGCTCCTGTAAAGTGTCGATAGACATTCGCAAGTCTTCATGTTGAGATTCATGATCTAAACGGCCCTGAAAGCTGATTTCGGCGACTGACGACATCTCAGTGTCGTCATTCAGATCGAGTTCGGAGGTTTGCTGCGGGCGTTCGATTGAACTGAACTGGGATCCCTCATTTTCTGCAAATATCGATGACCCATCCATTGAACGCGAATCATCGCCTGCGCCGTAAATACTTTCAGAAGCAGTAAGGGACACAGGACGTTCCAATCCTTCATGACGAGAACGAACCAGCGGGTTCATCCTACGCTCATGCTTTCGATTTTGCGCCCTTTCTGTCTGCTTTTCTTGCCGATGTCGACGTCTGTGTTTTTCTGCCGTATTATGCTTTTTTTGGTACCCTTCCTCCAAGTATGCTTGATGCCGGGATATCTCGGCTTCGCTGAATCGGTCGCTTGGCCGAGGTCCTTCCCTGGGTACAAATAGCGGCGAAATAGAATCCCGATCCCTACCATGCCCTGACAAAGTGGGTTGCAATTCACCGAAGAATTTGTAGTAAACACACTGTCTCACAAACAGCGAAGAAACCTTGTTGATAGTCGATGGCCATGCACTATGGAGTTGGTCGACGAAGAGGAATCGACGGTCTTGCCTCTGAACTTTGGTTGCGGGCTTCCCACATCGAGACTTGATTTGTAATTCTCTATCATCAATGAACTCTTCCTCGGGCTCGCAATCAAGCGGTGAAGCTTGGTTGAAGTACTCCGCAACACGATCCACAATGGAATCAAAACCGTTATACTGGAATTGTTCAGGCTTCCTTGCTTTTAAAAGGGCTTCGCGTGCGATTTGCCGATCGGGGGACTGTTTCAACAGATTGGCGATCTGTTCAGACCGAAAACCAACCTTATGAGCTAGAATAGCCATGTCGTAAAGGACTTTTTGATCTGCCTTTTCGCAGCTTTTCACCACGCCATCCTTATTTTTGGGCTCTTTAGTCAGTTCCAGGTAATGACGCATAGCATAGAGCCAAATTTGTCGATAAGCGATTTCTGCACGGTCGGTTTCGCAACTCTTGTCTCGCCGGAATTTCGTTTCGGAGGTTTGAATTAAGCAACCCTTTTTGTCACAAAGTGGTCGCGAAAAAGCATTTCGCATCGCGCGCTTGACAGTTGATTGGTTTTGGTTCAATGAAACTACTCGTTTCAAGCAATTTGCACAAGACTCCAGATACCAGACATCATAAAAAAAGGTATGGAGCGATGGGATAATCCGTTTTCTGGATTTCATTTTCTTCCAGATCGAGGCACGCTCAGCCGAAGTGAATCTCGGGAAGGCTTCACCGCCAAGAACAAGCCCCTTCGCAGTTTTTCTGTCTTTGTTTGAGACCCCTGGACCCAGGAGCTGCAAAGCTTGTATCGAATGGGTATCAAACTTTAACATCTTTGAACGCTTGTACTTCACCAAAGACGCCCAATATTCATACAAATCGTTCAAACCATTGACTAATTCCTATGTTGATCAGTTTTGGTCACGTGAGTTCTCCACCCATTTCAATTTTCAACTAACCTCGTCGCACCCAATCGCCAATGCTCGGGAGACTGAGCAGAGCTTTAAGCCTTGGTCTAGTAGTGCCGGTAATGCCAAAAGAGAATTCAAAGCGGCACGGACGTCGTCGTGGGATTTAAGTTGATTAAATCGTTTCAATTTGTTCGGCGATAGACGCGCCTTCCATCTTTTTTCAAAATGCGCATTTGCTTCGTATTGATACTGTCGGATTTTGCGATATATCTCGCCGTCCGTCGGGATCTTCTCATTACAGTATTCTTCAATGAGCGTTGCTTGAAGCGAATGGCTTATATCTGTGACACAAATTAGCAAGCAATGCACAAATCAGTGGGGAAAAAGCTGCTTGATAGGCTTTAAAGGCGCATCATGCGGGTTGGTTTCATAGTGGGAGAATACGCGAACCATCTAAGTATAAATCCACTGTCCACCATTGATCGCATTCCGACAGAAACTCTTCGCCGGCCTTCAGACGATGCTGGCCGTGGAGGCACTTTACTTGCCCGCTAGAGAAAGGCAGTAGAGGATATTTATCGGGTGTTCCGCTCATCAGTAGCGCCGCGCTCACTCCCGCTTTTTGAAGCGCAGCATTGAGATTGTCATTCGATACAACGGCAGTGACATGATTAGCAACTTCTAATCGTCGACAGCCTTCTTTGCTGAAGATCTCGCATAGTCTATCGACATTCCTAGGATCCAAGGACCGACAGATAGAGGGGTGAAGGAAAATCTGTTTCAAGTTGATGCGAGCTGTTCCTCGGTATTTTCGATTGCGTTCAGTGGTTACACGAAGCTCGTGATCTGTGTACATAGATCGCTCCATGTCTAAGCAGAAAACGATAAACCACATGCACAACGAGAGGGGTATCATCTTTATCTACATCCTTTCTTGGAGCCTCAAAAATAGGTGGTGAAGCCCTGTGATAAAGGATCATTTATTGTGAATTCAATTAATCAAAATGCCATTCTTGTATTGAGGGCCCGTTCAGTAAACTGTCAGGAGCTTAGTACGCGTTTTGATACATAAATATAGGCACTCTTCGAGGGATACTGACAATCCTTTCACAGTACCCTCCGCTAAGGCATATTCATTGGTTAAACATAGCATAAGGAATGCCAGAAGATCGCAGAAAGCGTGTCACGGTTGTTGATTTCGAGCATTTCCCTAGTGGGGCCGATAAGCCCGCTCAACTTGATGAAATCCCCCGACGGCCGGAGTCTGGGAGGAAAACAAGTTCACCGCTTCATGGAGACACGAGAAAGGTCATCAGAGGACGCCCGAAGAATTTCGGATTACCTCAGATAAATGAAAGCAACCATGGTTCCCATTCTTGTATTGTGAGGTACGAATCGCCGTGGGACACATATCGACGATCGATTACCTGTGTAATTGCTGGAAATGTGATCATCGCTGCTCATCGTTCCAGCCCGTCGCGGGTGATTGCAATTAGACAGCATCCAAAGAAAGATGTGGACCGGATGATACAAGTGTACCGTCACTTAAATCACGAGAGAATCCTATCTGCACGAGAGTGCTTTGTGGACGGTGACTCATTGTTCGCTTTGGTGGATGACTTACCACTCACTTTTGAACATCTCGTCGGATGTCGTACGCTTTATCCAACCGATAGCGAATTAGCTTCTATGCTTTGGCAGGTACGTCAGTCTTCAGACACTACTTGAGAAAGACGTATTAATCAGCGAAGACCCTTGATGGAGCCTGCTATCTTAGCGAGAATGGTTGGGAGCACCGATCACTGATATGCCGAAACGTTCTGCTAGGCCTGGATGGAGCAGTAAAAATAGGTATGTGCTTCTCATGCCCCACGGAGTCTCTAATTAATATTGCTGCAGCGTGCTTAGAGTCTTGTGGAAAGACATTGCCTAGTCAAGCACAAGGCACACACACCAAAGCACTTGCTAGTATCACCATGGAACTTATGCAGAAATATACCAAAGATGATGGGATGGTTGGGGTTGATGATTTGACTCGTTGGCCCGTAGAGTCAGACGCGTTTGGCTTTCTCTCAGCGATATCTACGACCAAATCAATAACAGCGTTGAGGAAGGTGAGTCGTGCTCGAATTTTGAACTCTGAGATAAAGAACATCTCAATGGTTCAGGCAGTCTCTCAAGATTCCCTATTGACTGTTGTTCAGCACCCACTTTTCAAAAACAACAGTCGATCTCTCGGGAAATTGGTCCTCCTTGCCCGGACAGTCATTGTTTCTGCGAAGATATTTTATTCGCATGAAGTCTAGTTTGATTTCCTTGCGTAATGTATAAAATCAATCTCATCTTTGATTTTGAAGGCGAAAAAGGATATCGTGATTCCATTCTCAGAATCGGTTTGACAGATAAACACTTCACAATTGCTGCCTAGCCCCATCGCCAAGGCTTTAACGTAGAGTAAATATTGAGCGGGTCGCATCTAACTGGGGGACACAGAAAGCCTACCGAGCCGAATTTTACAATGCATCAACTGAATGGCACGTTCAATACTTTATTCGCGCTGAGGTCTTGGCAGTGGGGCCAGGAAACAATAGGCAAGTGTGTATTTGTCAAGGTTACTTTACAATACGGATGGAGGGATGGATGGATGAATGATTCATTTACAGCACACTGACACCTTGTCGAAGCTGATTATAAACCACTGACGATTAGTTGGGCTGAGAGCGGACCCGGATTTTAGCTAAATTGTTATTCAACTTCGACAAGTCGTCAGGGTATGGGAACCACATAACCACACACACATACTGTATATCCCTGCAAATTCTTCTTCTTATATGTAAATCGTTTTCATATCGAATGAATTAAGCACGCATTAAATCTAGGAAGCACTCAATCTAAGCCTAATAAGTCTCTGATTTATTGAAGACGTGAAATATTGTTCTTACATACTTTATAATAAGACGAATGAGTTCGTATCATGTTAGTGGACGTGTATTGATAAAAAGCCCTTCTCCGAAGAAACTGAGCTCAGTTGAACACGCGGACAGTGGTTGGGGTCTAAGTTTATCTCGCCCTAGCTGAATTGCTACTAAAGTAGCCGGTTAATTTGCCCAACTAGGCTCTGTCAGTCATTAGTTGACACAGATGAATGCTTGGGACATGAATATCAGGCGTACTGGCTTTTCGTGGATTATATGTCACGCAGTCAAAATGCGACTAATTCGAAAAACTTGCATGTGGAGGTATGTAAGGTCCAGTAACGAATTTGTGACTTTACAAGCGAGGATACGTCATTGATTCCGTCCTGGGTTTTTGTTTGACACTGTGAATGTTATTGCAGGAAGGTTTCTTGTCAGAAGTTTGTTTCTGAGGGCTTTGGTAAGTGATGGCACTAACCGCGGAGAAAGATGAATGATAAACTATAGTGGTGTGTTCATGTATGTCTTTAGCCATCAGTTTTTGATCAAAACAATCCTTGCATCAGTAAACTAAGGATAGTCTACTTATAACCAAGATACCATCATGGAAGAGTTCGAATATTAATTTTAGTTAGTGCACCGCATATCTGCCTTGCTACAAAATCAGAGTATATAAGATAGCCCGAGGCTCATTTAGGTCTATTCTATTTTTCCAAGGAATAAGAGATAATGGAACTGTTATCGTTCTGCGGTATCTCTGTAGGTGGATTCCTTGCAATACTTTTATTGGTTCGCATAGCTTCGTTTCTTACTGAGTCCGCGGATGTCGCTTCAGTATTCATTTCAAAGCATTTCATATACCCTTACATAGTCAATCGTCACCGGATATGTGGTCCATGGAGTCGTGCTAATGTCTTTTTATGCGTCTTGTACGCTGTTTTAAATGTGTTCTTTATCTCATTCCGAGCTCAAGACACAGAAATCGCTGGGCGTCGTGCAGGAACTTTGTCCGTGATCAACATGGCTTTGCTTATTCCTACGACCCATTTGAGTTTTCTTGCTGATATTGTGGGGGTTTCTTTGATGGCTTGCCGACGGATGCACCGTGTCGTGGGCTGGATGACAGCCATTCTCCTTGGATTCCACATCACCTTGCTCATGAGCAATCATCAGCGGGACTGGAGTTTGAGAAAAGAAAAGAACTTTTTCGCTCTTATTGTACTTTCCCCGCTACAAATAGAATGCAAAATAGCTGACACGAATTAGGGTGCCGTATCGACGGGGGCTCTCGTCTGCTTTTCTTTCTCCTTCATCCGCCAACATCTGTTTGAGATGTTCATTCGCACACATCAAGGTCTAGCCGCGGTTTTCGTTTATTCAACATGGCGTCATTTATCATCTACTGCCTTTGACTCTCAGATCTACATCTACGTATCGCTCGGCCTACTAGGGATCACGACCGTGGTGCATATAGCTCTCTTCGTTTTTCGAAATGGAGTTTTCCCATCGAGACCCCATCCACGAGCATCAATCACCTGTGCAAGAGCAAAAGAAGGACTAGCTCATGTCGGTCAGGAGGGGACGCCATTAAGGGTCCGTGTGCTTTTGTCCAGACCCCTGCGAGTAAAGGCCGGTCAATATGTGAATCTTTGGATGCCCACCGTCAGCCTCGTTTCCTGGACTCAATCCCATCCATTCATGGTGACATCGTGGTCTCCAGAAAAGCAGAACGTTCTGGAATTTTTTGTCCAATCACGACGAGGACTCACAAAAACTATTCATTCTCGTGCAGCTTTGGATGGTTTTGCGTCGTACACCGCATTTGTGAGCGGCCCGTACGGAGCTAGCAAATCTATGGACGACTACGAATGTGTCTTGGCCGTAGCTACCGACTTTGGCATTGCTGGGGTCATTTCTTATCTGAAGAAACTTGTTTATGGATATAATACCTCCACCTCATATGTCCGGCGAGTTCATTTTGTTTGGCAGGTGCAAAGTTTAGGTAAGAATAATTCCAATGTTATCAAGAAACTGGATAGAATTGACTTAATAGATATTGCTGTCGCTGCCCAATCTTTCTTGAATGACCTTCTGAGCGACGATGTTCTGGATAACGGCTATGTGAGTGAGGGAGCTGTCCATTTTCTGAACATGCTGACTTGTTAAAAGATCCTCGAAATCTCATTTTACGTCAATTTCGGAAGACTGAAAGAAGCCTTTGGCATTCATGGACGTGCTGCGGTATTCAATGGCGATCCTAATTACGAAAATATTGTTTTGGAAGAAGCTTCTGGTAAATATATTTCCAGACTTCCAAATACAAGTCAGGAACAAGGTAAGGCTCTTGTTCTAGGTATGTCTCACGACTTTCCTTTTTTTGACTTTGAATCTCACTGACTCCACAGTATCCGCCTCTCCCAGAGTACGAGACGAGTTGAGAAGGGTTGTTTATAGGCATTTGGATCGTAAACTCTGCCTGCATGAAACAGATTTTCAGCCATGCTAATATACTTGACATTCTTCCTGGCCACTCTCAAGGCATCAACTTCAGTTCATGGGGTTTGTTTCTGTTGTGATATGAGGCTGGTGCAGACCAGGAACCAAGCCGAATCATCGGAATTAATCCCGAAGTATGCATACGAAGAACCAAGTTGATTGGAAATCAACTTGACCTTCTCGCTGTATATATATAGCCTCATGTTTCCCTCTGAACTACAACAGGTTATGAGCCCGGGAGCAAACTCTCGGGTGCCGTCTCTACTCATCTGAGAATCATCTTAACCCTTTTGCTATCAGAATTATAGAGAACACATCTCAAGTACCGTGCAATGGCCTCATTGGCTTATTCTAGTACTAGTGCATACTGCATCTCGCGGGACCGATACTAACCCCAATGCATGAGTAGTGCGTATCAGGGTAACAGGACAATACCATCAGTACAGGGGATCCAACAGTTTCTCTCTCTAGATATGCTATGGTATTGTTGGACTTCGGTGAATAAAACGTTGCTAATATATCGAGACTGGACGCGACATGATAGATAATGTCGGCGAAGACTGAAGCTGCCAATGGACAACTTCCCCGCCTCGTAATCGAAGAAATCTCAAGTACCTCACTGTGTTCCTCAGCATGAGAATTTGATGTCTCGTTGGCTATCCGTGAATAAGATGAAAGGGATAATTCAAATTATATAATATCAACTACACACACTCACACATACATGCACACATGCACGCACGCACGCATGTGGAGGAGAACGAAAGAGGAGTTCAATCATGCTGATTCGCCATATCGAGTATGTATTCTGTTGAGGGAATAAAAAGATGAGGAATAACTTATATTACAGCAGTCTAGCAAGTATTAGACTGGCAGCGGCCAGGATACTACTAGTAAGGCTTCCAGATGTACCTGCAGCTGTAGCCGATGACGAAGACGGGGAAGTCAGGTTTGTAGGAGAGGAGGCAGAGGTTGATATTCCAGAGGTAGTGATATGTGATGAGCTGGGGATTATTGTAGACTGGGGAGTCAATGGGCTTGCCGACGATGCCATGCTCGCTTCCTCTTCGAAGGAGCTAATTATTGACTTATAAACTTGTTCCTCTTGCAAGATGATGCTTACGACGGCAGTCGGAACGGGGGTAAGCCAGGTAGGAAGTGAATTGATGTCAATACCACTATACCCCGAACAATATAGCGAAGATGTAACGGATGCCGGAAAGGAATCCATAGCCGATGAAAACTCAGCATTTGCACTGGAGTAGGCTGGGTTCTGTTGAAAGCTTGAATATGCCGATACAAGCGCTAGGTTCATCAAATCCGCCGATTTCGGAGCTAATGGGACTGGTAGTGGACATGCCATTCTAGTGATCATCAGTCTGTGTACGCTTGTTTTTTCATAAAATGTTAAGTATACCCAGCGGTTGCTTGTGTGCATACACACACAAAGGTGATGAAAAGAATCATTGTAGTAAATATTTGGTTCGTCATGCTGCTGGACCAGAAATATCTCATCGATATTAATCGAAAGAAAAGGGAAACGACAGACTTATGTATGTGACATGTACATAGGAAAAGTTAGCCAAATACTTAGGACGGAGGCGATTACACAGATTATATAGCGACTGGTTAAAACTTAAGATCCCACAAAAAAAATAGGCTTATGGATTATAGGGGGCTTCTTTTCTCGTTACTTTAATTTTATTGGCTAATTGACTAAGTCGCAAGTCACCTCACGTTACATGGGAGAGAGGCTGTGTTGTCGGGCGCACCTCAAGATAGATAAGTCCCTTTCTCGGGAAAGAGGGGGCGGTAGGAAAGGGAAAGTTTGGCCGAGAGGCCACGTCAGCGTTTCAGCGGTGTTCAGGGCGTTCGGGTGAAGATTAAAGGGGTTTCAGGTCCCAACGACGGACAAAAAAGCCGGTGAGAAAAAACATACAACAGCAGGGATTCCCTGGTGGTCACGCATCCAACTAGCAACCTGCCGAGGTGTGGCTTATGTGCGGTCAATAGTCGGGTGGGTGTCGGCCGTGTGAGAAATGCGTGAAAAGGGTCAGTGCACAATTCACAGGGTGAGAATTAAGATGAGAACTGGATGAGAGCCCCGCGGGGCAAGTCGGCTGATCTGGTTTTTGAGACACTAAAGCTGAGCTCTTTGAAATCAATTTTGGTCGTCTAGCGCAGTCAATCGTGGTGCTGTTACAGTGGTAGGTAGGTAGGTAGAATGCCCTGAAACGGAGGAACGGAGTGGAAGGTGTTACTAAACCCCCCGGATGCGCGACGCCGACGTTGACACAGCAAAAACACAGCGAGAAACACACACCCTCCTCTCCGCCAAGCCTCTCTCTCATTGGACCTTGGTTGGATCCCAGGTCACGTTCCTTTCTTCTCGTGTTCGGTTGTCTCCGTTCGTCTTCGCTCTCCTGCCCTACTGCCGGCTCGCGTGCTCTGCAGGGTTCATCCTTGTATATTATGTCGTGTAACCCCTCCATAGAATTTTGGACCTTCCACGTTCGCTACTGCCGTTTGTGAAATTCCATTTTGAAATATATTTCTGGTCCTATTATCCGTTCTCCATGCATACATAATTCCCGTCTCCGTTCTTCACCGCTACGTCTTAGGTATCTCTATTCATCTTTATATTCGAATGCTCTGATGCCCCGCCCGCTATACACGGTGTTTTCCTTCGCCTTCCTATACAATTTCTATCTAGATTTGATGTACGCTGGATCACGTTATGGCTTCAAAATTGACTTGTCCAGCTACGATTCATATTCGGGACTTCGTCGAGCATGTCGAACCGGACCCTACACGTTCCGGTAAAGGGTTTTTAATGCAGCTACGTATATCACTCAATACAGTCAACTCCCGCGAGCTGCACACCCTCCCGGGCAGAGGTTTTCCCTTGCACACTCCGGATGTGTGCAGCTTGTGAGATGATGATGTAATGATTATATAATGTTTACATAAAGCTTTTCCTATTTGAGTTTAAACCCCATCTCCAACAGTGTCTTTTGTTTCTTCCCATCGACTTCGAGTTTCTTGAATGCTTTTGTTAAAGCATCAATTGACGCTATATCCTCTTCTGTACACCCCTTTCTGTGTGCAGCCCATAGTGAAAGATCAGATAGATGTTGCAGAATTACCGCATCAGTTGGTACCTCTGGTCTTGGCCCAAATACTGTATACGACATATTCATATTCGCACTCCGCGTGTTGAGATAAGTGATAGTCTGATTGATTCTTACTGATTGACCCAAGGAGTTATTATTTACAGGGGCGGGATTCCTCATATATATCACTCCCCAATCCCTGCAGCAAGGTTCAGCCATCGTGATACTCAACACGAATATTCGTTACGAATATTCGTAACGAATGCGAATATATTCGTTATTCGTGCCGACCCCTAGGTCGCACATATTCCAAATGCCCTACCTGTGTTCCAAAGCCAAACTTATGTTATTATTGTGGATTCAGTAGTGGCTAAAAATTGTAGGCTTTCTCAATTTTGGCGAGGTCGCTCGCGCGACCGTGTCGCCCGTGCGGCCGTGGATCACGTTACGTTACGTTACTATATGCTTATGTAAGGAAAACCGTACGGATTGCGGATTATAGTATATCCGTCCTTCGTCTGGCCTTAAGACCACACTCCACCTGTAATCACGAGTTGCTCACGAGTGCTTTTGACTACGAACGCCTCAGCACATTGCTCTGGGGAATTTTGATATGCCTCTTGGCAGGGCCCGCTCAAGGGTCAGTCCGACCGGGCGTTTGAAATCAAGAGGGGGTTGCAAAACTTGCAAGTAGGTGTCTTCTAGCTTCCTATCTTACCGAATGCGGTATATTAAGCTAAACCCTTCCAGAATAAGAAGAGTCAAATGCGGAGAAGAAAAGCCACACTGTGCCCGGTGCACTACCACGGGTCGCAAATGTGACTACGAGGGCACAATGTCCGTCATTGACCATCCTCTTTCATTATTACCGAACACGGTCTGGCGGGAACGGCGATCTTTTGCCTACTATTTCCAAAACGCTGCATCCTCTATCGGCGGTGGATTGGATGGTGAATTTTGGGACACTATCGTTCCACAGGTTTGTCGGCGTGAACCCGGCGTGTGGGACGCCATTATCTCCATTAGTGCACTATTCGAGAGTCCTGAGCCATGTCCAGAACTCTTTTCTATACGCGGGGGGTATTCTCGCTCTTCCAGCTCCTTTGCTCTCAATCAGAACCACCAAGATGCATTGGGCTGGTACTCGCGCTCGGTTTCTGCTATCCGCCAGAGGATTGAGAGTGGTCGCTTGGACGTTTTTGTCGGGCTGATTACTTGTATACTATTTATCTGCATCGAGGCCCTCCAGGGAGGTGTGGAGGAGGCCTTGCAGCTTTATAGCCAGGGCGTGCGTCTTCTTCTCTCTTTTCGTGCGCAAATAGCTTGCGGAACAGTGCCAGCAATGGAAGCTTCCTGGTTTGAAGGTACAATCGTCCCAATCTTCACCCGTCTAGGATCACTCGCTCTCCCTCTCACTAGGCCGCTGTTGAGCATTTTACTATCACACACCGAATACACATTGGCGCAGCAATTTGATTCCCTCAGGTCTGCCCGAGAAGCCCTCGTCCTCCTTAGCGCAGAAGTCCAGCTCTTCCAATCCACATGTGTTGAGTATGTACGAGAGCACGGCACCTCAAACATACCCCAGGACTTAACGACCCAACAAAAAATGCTATTAGCCAAGCTAAAGAGCTGGAACACTGCCTTTATCATTTTGATGGAGCTCCTTCGCTCCAAAAGGCTATCCCCACTACAAATCAGCATCAGTGCTCTATTCATCGCTCATCACGAAGTGCTATACATAATACTCCCAACCACCCTCACAACATCCCAAATCATAACCGACGCTTATATACCAAACTTCCAAACCATAGTGGACAAGTCATCCATCGCTCTCAACGCTACCGCCCGACCAGACGGCACACAACCACCATACACATTCGAGATTAGCATCGGTGGCCCGCTCTGGTTTACCTGTCTCAGATGCCGTGAACCTAGAATTCGACGTACAGCCCTATCCCTACTACGCCGCGCACCGCTGGTCCATGGATTTTACAAGACCAAATCTGCAATCACATTCAGCGAACGGGTGATGGTGCTAGAGGAAACATACGGAGTGGCAATGAACGCAAGTCGCAATACCACACCAAGATCGCCTGCATCCCAGTCGACCTATAGCGAGGTTCCCAGGCTCGACCTGGCCAAGTTTCTCGAAGACTTTGAATATCCCACGAGTCTGGATACAATGCCTACGGAGCTGGGATCGATGCCGACGTCGGAACTCATTCCGGAAGAGGCGCGTATGGGACCTATCAACGTCTTTCGACCGAGAGACGGGCTTCCGCCGGGGACGACGGAGAAAGATCTCGTGAAGTGGAATCTGAGTGCGGATCAGGTCTTTCTGAGGTTTTCGTGGAATAGACGTGATGTGGATAGTGATTCTTGGCAGATAGTCCACGAAAATATCCCGCTTACGCTTTAGATGACGTTTGCTGTTCCGATGAATGATGTGGAAGAGTTGGAAATGAAAGCCAAGGCGTGTCATAATAAACCTAGTGCATATGTACAAAAAGCAGGCATACAGTAATTAACCATGCGGGAAAGATAGTAAATGAGGCCAAAACAAGCGCTGCAAACAACAGAGAACTTGCGTGAACGCGAAATGCGATCTCTGGTATGTGAGCAAGGTATAGTTTGTGGGGCCTTCACATTAAAGAGCCTCCTAAGGAAAACTGCAATCTAAGCCGAGAATCCTCCGGCCAAAAGACGTTGACGCAAAGAGCCTGAAACCCGCTCACTGAAAGAGCCACTAACTGGAAGACGGTTATTTCCAGGTCTATACAGGAAGGAAAGGAGGGAGAGGGGAGAAAGAGCGGAGCACTCATGAGTGCTAGAGGTGGGAGATGGAATTCTTGATCGTCTCGACGAATCTTCATGAAATCACGCTTTCTGCGTCGGCGCGATTTTCTGCCATGTTAAGCTTCAGCTCGCCTTGATGCTGGAGGTTGTGGATAAGCTACCACAAATACTCGTAAGTGAGCATGGTCGTCATAGCAGCCGGGACGGCCAGGAACAGATTGGTGCCGATCCCAGAATAGAAAACAGCCCAGCCCTCTTCTTTGAGAGGATCGTTTGGTACGTGCCGAACATTCCTGTGTTTCGAGGGCGAATGGGCATCTCGTCGTCAGACGGGAAAACCCGGGGCAGACCACGGTCATGCGGGTAATGCAAGCCGCCACAGAATGCGATTTCCTCCGGCGAAGATGCGGGTGCAGTACGCTGCTAGGTTTGCAGTCGTGTGCGAGAAACCTCGTGGGGGTAGGTGATGGTGCTAGCACAGACCTTGCTAAGGAACGTGACGCATGAAATCCCAAACCAGTGGGAATTGCCGTTGTTTGAATGCTCCCCCGATGCTGTATCCGGTAAAGGCCATCCTCAGATATTCGTAGAGCGGAAATTGGATGGCAACATGTCTCAGCCCCAGAAGAGCAGGTGTGAGGCCGGAGTAAAACGAGCGGAGACCCTCGATTCGGTACATCTTGCGGGCAGCATCTATTGAGCCTGAGTATTGCTATGGAGCTCTCGCTCCCTCATTATTCTGTTTCAAGCTTTGTGACATAAGCCGTATCTTGATGACCCAGATAGGATTCGTCACGATCGTCGAGCAAGCTCCAGCAGTTACAGAAGCATATCCTCGTGATAACCACCAGCTGCCTGTGATGTGTCAGTATATCGTAGCCAAATATACCCAAGAAAAAGACCACCGACCTGTTTCTTCGTAGAGGGACTCTCGAGACTTGTCGTACACCGCCAAATAAACAGCCCAAGTAGGAAGATATCCCATCACATCAGACCAAGTCCTTGGTACAATCCACGCAGACCATTTTCCCGGGAATATTATCTTTCCAGTTCCTACCATGCCACAGTATAAATTTTTTTTTTTCTCACCTAACTGCGCAGCGCGTCGGGCAAACCCGCCTTGGGCTTGCAGCTTGGTTTTGATGACATTGAGGGGACAGGTCACGATTCCGGAAGCGACACCTGCAAAGGCTCCGCAAAAAAGAGCGATCCAAATGTTGGCAACTTTGGCGGAGAGAACCTCCAGGCGAGTGATAAAATCAGCGCTCGGTGATACATCGGCGGCGGGCACGTGGGGAGCGTACTGGGCTCCATTCTCAGAATGAAAGCCCGGCGGCTGATGGGAGAAGTTGCTGGTAGCTGTAGAAATGTCTCTGTCGTCGGAGTACATTGAGAATTGGCAGGCGCTCACGTTGGTCTGTCTGTCTTGATCACCGAGGGCTCCCGGACACAAGCATATCTGGTGCTCGATTCGGAACCCAAGAACCCGGTCAAAGAGAGAAAATTACTGTGGAGGAGTCGTCGTCGGGTACAGCCAATTACGCCATGATAACTGTTATCAAACGTATGTTAATGCCCTGAAACGAACGAAGTGAGAGAAAGGGTTCTAATCAACGTGCATGTACGTGCGCGTCTGCAAAAGGAAGCAGCTTGTCTGCCCTGAAACGAAAGAAGTGAGAGAAAGGGATTCTCCGCCCGCGGGTCCCTGCCCTGAAACGAACGTAGTGAGAGGAAGGGTTTACCTTCGTGGCCAGGGAGTACCCTTGTTAGAAAAACATTGCCCTGAAACGAGGAACGAGTGAAGGGGTTACTTTCGGCCATGTCCCCACGTGAGCCGTGCGACGTTCTGCCGCGAAACCTCGACTGCCAAACTCGTCGTTGCTCTGGCTTCTGATTCGTTCCCGTTTCGGTTTTTTCCTGGCCTTTTCTCGCTTCTAGTTGGTTGTCGCCCTCTTTTCCTTATTGGCAACTTCCTCTTGCTTCCTCTCTTGCAATTGGCCTTCATTCGCTTCCCGATTTGGCCTTTCTGTTCGGTCCCGCCGATATTCGGCTTGCTCTTGTGCATCAATCCTTGACGAGGCTTTTCTGCTGCAGTTCTAGTCTGGTTTACATTTTTGATTCCTCTCATTTTTCTGCTTGCGTGCTTGTGCCATTCGCCTACATACCTACCTTCCTTCCTATAGCCACGTCTTCGTATTTCTGTGTACTTTCTTTCATACCTGCAATTCTCTTCCGCCTGCTTGCTCGTAGATTGTGGCATGGTCTTGGTCTTGGTTATCACTTTGCTAACCAAGACCAAGACCGTCAGTTTGCGGTTAACCAACGGTTACAGTAGTATTCGAAATCAGTTATACCATTTCACTCTTGCGACTTGGTTCCCGGAAAATAGATCCAGCGGCAGTGAGTCCTGATAGGATAGACCTTGGAGGCTCCGCTTTTCAGACCGCTTTCTAATTTAGTAGGTATTTTTCATAATACCATGGTTCGACAACAGAGGATGTATTTTACACGAAAGTGCTATACGCACGCTATCTGGTGCGCCCCTCTCCATTCCATGGCAGGGGCCATATTTCCTTTCCCACTCACCACCCGTCTGTCTTCGAAACTTAGTATCCGAGACCACTCCAAGCGACATGGCTCCTAGGCTTCCTACTTCGAAGCTTCATCTGATCCGTGATATGATAGAGAGCCAGTCTTTTACCACGTCTCAGATGGCCGAAGAAGCAGAATGTACCAAGCTTACGGTTATAAATATTCGCAGAAACCTACGCCAATTTGGAACTATCTATGCTCCCCAAACTCGAACTGGCCGAAAACGAACCGTGACACCGCTAATGATAAAAGCTCTCTGTGAACACCTTTCCGAAAAGCCAGGTCTCTATCTCGATGAGATGGCTGTCTTCCTGTGGGATGAGTTTCGAACCATGGTTACAACCTCCAGCATTAGAAGAGCCCTTGTAACAACAGGTTGGTCGAAAAAGGCAGCGCGGCAGCGCGCTAAAGAGCAGAACGCGGATTTGAGAGACTACTACCTACACAATCTGTCGGAGTTTCAGTCTTATCACCTGATATATGTTGATGAATCTGGTTGCGATAAACGGGTCGGATTCAGGCGAACCGGTTGGGCACCTCTTGGCAGAGCTCCTCTGCAAGTTACTCAGTTCCACCGCGACCAGCGATATCAGATACTACCCGCGTATACCCAAGATGGGATCGTCCTCTCGCGAGTCTTCCGCGGCTCTACGGATGCTATCGTGTTTGAGGACTTCATAGCTCAGCTACTCCAGCATTGTGGAAGATGGCCAGAACCTAAATCCGTTCTTGTGATGGACAACGCATCATTTCATCACTCAGAGCGTCTCGCACAAATGTGCGTGGATGCTGGGGTGAAATTGGTTTATCTGCCGCCCTATTCGCCTGACCTTAACCCAATTGAAGAGTTTTTTGCTGAGCTTAAAGGTTTTATCAAGCGTAATTGGAGTCGTTATGAGAGAGACCCCGGTCAAGGCTTTGATACATTCCTCGAATGGTGTATCAATGTGGTGGGTGCAAAAGAAGAGAGTGCCAAAGGCCATTTTCGCCATGCAGGATTGAAAATAGAAGTGTTAGGTGGTTGAGTCTTTGAGTCCCGACAGGCGGTAAACGATGCAATATATACACATAGGCCACAAAAGTATAAGGAAGCAAGGAAAGAGAAAGGCTCGAGACGGAACGAGGTCTGACAATTTGTTTGATGATTGGATTGACTTTGGCGATGTCACAATGAATTGATGCTATTGATAATTCTCGGATGTACCATTGTTCCCTGTTATATTCCTAGTTATCGAAGATGTTACAGCGATGTTCGAAATCAGATATACCAACATACTCTCACGGATTAATCCCCGAACCCTAACCTGGAACGCCATAATCCAAATACGGTATGGTCGTAGACCCTCCACTTCTCAAAATAGACATTGTATTATACAAGACGTGCCTGAGACCTTGAATGATGTATTTTACTCGAAATTACTATACTGCTGCCTGCTTGCCCCTCCTTGGCTGCCCTCACCTATACCAAGACAAATAGGCTAAACAAGGACTCTCAGTCCTAACTTAGTGATCTTTGCCAGAGAAATGATAGAGTCCCAAGCCACAAACTATTCTGAGTCACGTGCAGCGTATAACACCCAGCTGTGGTCCCCAGGGCCAACCGGAGGATGGAGATACTATATTCCGTATTCCCGTACGGGATATATTACATAAGCAACTAGCAGTTAACGTATTTCCCGGTTGACCTGCGCACCCGGTTGACCTGCGCACACCGCCTACCACTGTATTTTTAATTAGGATTTTTTCCACCTAAACGCCATAATATATTGAAAACCTATCGATTTTTACATGAATTGATCTTATGCCCTATATCTCCACACCCAGAACACTTTGGTTGAGTACGTTTGGCTGGCAGAGGTAGTAAATTAGGCTGTTGAACGGCCGTAGGCGTAGGCGATTTAACGCGCTCTATAGCCTGTGTAGGAGGCTGTAGAATCTGTGAGGCCTCAGCGACTGTTAGGCCACCTGGATATGCTATCTGCCTAGTTGATCGTGCGCGTTTCTGCCGCTTTTTCTCATTATGCGCGCGTAGATCACTAACTTCCTTCGCGAGTAGTGCTGTGTGATGCAAAGCAAGAGAGTGGCCTTTGATAATTTGGTCAAGCATAGTTTTGGTAGGACTTGGTGGGCTTTTTGAACGTTGCTTAAGTAGATCTTTAAGCGCTTTAGCCTGTTTCTCTAATTGAATAGCTGTTCTAGGCGTTTTTGGGGTAAAAACGCTAGATCTGCTACTTGGTCGGCTATTAGGAGGCGTAGGCGTCCGAAGCTGGATATTAAGCTTTGAAAGCACTCGTTCTGGGTCGAATGGCACTAAACCAGCTGCTGCGAAGCTATTTTGAATAGTTTCTGGCCTAAATGTATCCGCACGCGCTTCAGGGTAGGCCATTAAAAAATCGAGCTTGTCGATATGATTATAGCCAAGACGCACTTGATTCTCCACAAGGCGGCCATAGGCGCGTTTCAATACAGCAAAGCAACCTACATCAAGAGGTTGTAGGAGATGTGATGAATGCGCTGGCATACAAAGCGGAATAATTGCGTTTTCAGTGCAGATTCGATCAAATTGCGCTGTAAGATGGCTACCATGGCCATCAAGAATCAACAAACGATATTTTCCACGCGTACGCCTAGCGGTCGCAGGAATAAAGTGTTTTTCTAGCCAGCGTAGGCCAATCTCATCGGTAGTCCAGCCATTCGGCGAGACCTCAATACGCCAATCACGCGGTAGGCCATCAAACCATCCTCCAATATGGTTTTTGCCTTTAAATATCACACAGGGCGGTAACGCCCTACCAGTAGCGTTGATTGATTCAATTGTAGTGACCCATTCACGATTTCCAGCTTGTAAAATAGCTCGCCGACCGTAGTATTCAGCGCGGGTAACAACCCTAGCTGTAGCGATTAGGCCCATCGCGAAGCCTGTCTCATCAAAGTTATAGATATCCTCTGGTTGGATACCGTTCTCTTCGATAACGCTTTGTACAGTCGTAAACCACGCGCGTAAGGCCTTTGGATCTTCGTTTAAGGCGCGTTGATAGTCATATCGTCTCGAGAATCGCGTACAAAGCTCTGGCCGGCGGTTAATAAAGGTTGATGGCCAATTTTTGCCAACTGTAGGTGATGGTGTAGGGCCACGCGCTGCGAGGAGAATATTGGCCATTTCTCCTACAGTAGCTGGCCTAGGCGCTGCTCCACGTGCATCCATAGAGAGTATCCATTGTGTAAGCGAATCTTCCTCGGTTTGGGTCAATAGATGTCGTGGATGGCGTTTATCAGCGCGAAAGGGTGTTCCATTCATACGCGTACGTGCTGTAGTTTCAGGCACACCGTATTTAAGAGCCGCTGCGCGAAGAGAGGAAAATTGGCCATTTTTATAGGCCTGGATAGCTAGAAGGGTTTTACCCTCACGTTCTAGTGATTTTGGAGCGTTTTGACCGCGTTTTGGTGGCATAGTAGATGGTTAAAGAAAGTAGGTGTGGAAACGCGACGCGTTTCGGGCGGTGTGCGCAGGTCAACCGGGTGCGCAGGTCAACCGGGAAATACGTTAACGTATTTCCCAAGCGAGCCGCCCACCCCAAAACACCATATTAAATGCTGTTTTTTACAACCTTATATCTCAACAACCAAAACTCTAATTTATTCCAATATAAGTATACTAGTATTGATAAGCATTCTTTATTGTGGATATTAATTTCAAGCCGATCAAAATGTCGTATACTCACAATACCATAAATTACGTTGTAATTTAGTTAAATAAACCAGAAATATATATATTCCCCTACCAAAATTTCCTAGACTCCATCCAAGTACTATGTTTACTGTAAAGAACATGGCCTTAGAGTTTGCTATTTATCAGAGCCCCGATTGTTGAGATATAAGGTTGTAAAAAACAGCATTTGATATGGTGTTTTGGGGTGGGCGGCTCGCTTGGGTGGGCGGCTCGCTTGGGAAATACGTTAGTATTTAGCTGGAGTTCTACACTCTCCGGAAAGGACAATCAATTCTTCCGTTCTATTCTCTCACAGCCCCCCCTGCTAAGACCACCTCCGCACCACAAAATCCATTTTCTCTCTCACAGAGCAGCGTGATCGCCCTGGGTACACTCAGAAAAGTCCCCACAGGCAAGGAATCCTAAGCCAAGCTTATTTACCGCCTTTGCACTGGACTTCACACGACCCACTCTCCTTATGACTGGACTTCCCCCTCCAGGCGCCGGGCCTGACCAAGTCAGGGCCTATTTGGCTGATGTTCTCGTCAAAAAACACGATGTCTCTTTGGAATTCGCCCAAACCACTGCCGACCTATGGCGCTTTGGCCGTGGAAGCGGCCTATATAGTGGCGCTAAGCAGGACTTCGTTCGGGTCTTTGGAGCGGAAATTGGGCCGTTCCTTTATGCGAGCGTTGGTGAAGATAAATACGCTGAGTGGCGGGCCTCCACCTGGGGGATTATCACCTATTGGACTTTTGTCATTGCTTGTGTGACCCCGGTCTTTTTCTTCACCAAGGGGTCTTACTCTCACTGGCACCCGCAAGCAGTGAAGGATATAGCATGCGCATTCTTACTGTGTGGGCTGACACTAGTGACTTGTGCGTACCAGGAGTCTCCAGTGCGAGACGACGACGCTTTTCCCTTGGCAGGGTTTTTTGGTCTTGTTTTGACCATTGGTGGGGTTATCATTGCCTTGGCTGAACCTGGGAAGCAATAATACCCATGGTATGGTAAGCCAACAAGTACAAGATCGATGATACGGATGGCTGTTGAGAAAAGCTATCTGGCAATCTATATAAACAAACGAGGATGTCACGTACAGTACAACGAGGCTGACAATGTAAATTTTTACAGAGCTTGTCTTACAGTAGAATTCGAAAACAGATTACCCCTCGGACACACTGGCTTTCTTTCCCAGCGCCCCACCCAGATCGCGCTAAACTGAATTCGGCCAGTCAAAGTCCCCACCGTCTTTCCTTGGTGTATTTCTGTAGATCACCCGAATTACCGTAATTACGGGTTCCGGCATTAGGCAGACTATACTTGCCGAAACGCCTCTTGGCCATACACCAGAATTCGAAAACAGATTACCCCTCAGACAAAACACGCCTTGTTTCTCGGCCCGTACCTATTAACGACGCTAGGCCATATAAGGTTACTACGAAAACAACACCTGCCGAGAGGATGGTGGTATAGAACGTATTGGCTGTAATTTCCAATGAGTCATTGTAAATTACTGTATTCTCCCATGGAAAGTTCTAGGGCAGGATCAAGAAGAAAGAAGGGGGAAGGGGGAAGGAAAAAAGGGGGAGGGGGAGATCTGGCAATCTGGCTTGATCCACGCCCACTCCCTTTCTTCCATTTGTCTCCGTAGTCTTCGTCTTCGTCTACAGTACCTCGTATATGACGAAAGCTGTACCACTGCTATAGAAGACTAACCCCGGTAGGCTAATATGGTTCTCGTTCATGCTTCCCACGGCTCCTGCTCGCTTTCGTCGCTTTCATTGGGCGTCTACTCACAGCTGGTACCGCCCACGTATGCTGACAGACCTCCAGGGACTTGATCGTGTGTAGATATGCACGGCAGCCCATACCACGATGATTACATGTCCCAGCCCCAAGAGCTCGAACTATGGGAACAAGATTCACAATATGCCCCTACCCCGGGAAATTTCCGCAGCCCTTATGCTAGACAGTCCGACTGTAGTCCCTCGCCGTCTATCTCGCTCGAAGATGAACCCAACCCCGCAGGCCGACCTCAACCAAATACTATACCTCTGATGCAGGAATCTGAGTGGGATGCGGATAAGATCTACGACGAGGATCCGCCAAGCTGTATCCACTACTTCATAGAATGGCGTGTCACCCTCAACAACAAGGCCGTGGTAAAGGACACGGAAGAAGACCTGGTATTGGCCCCAAGCGCCTACTGGCGGTTGTTCTTGGAAAAGAAGCTACAAACCGTCCTTCGAGAGAAAATCACCCGCAATAAGAGGGTCAGGGTGGATGACACGGCGATTGTTGTGGCAGTTAATGATCGTTCCCAACGTGATTTGACTAAGCGCTTCAACAAGACCGAAATTGTTTGGGCTTCAATCGAGAAACAGTTGCGGGTGTGGTCGAGTCATTTCTGTCGTGGAAAGAGACTCACGCTGAGGGTCTGTTTCAACTATGTAGAGGATTGCACTTCTTCATCCACTGGACGGAAAGGGGACAAGAGAGGTAAATCTTCCGTCACACGAAAGATGCTTGATGATCGAGATGCCCAGCTAGATGCTGAAGAAAATGCATGCGGCCAGCAATCAATTTGGCGCCGAGTCTATGACTTGATGAAATGTGATTCGGCTGCTTGCCACTTAGGACCGTACTGTTGGCTGGATCCAATGGGGAAAAAGCACTATCGACTCCGAACGCAAACTCTTAGGCGTTTGGTCACTTACGCCGAGAAAGGTGGTGTCCTGGAGACGCACAAAGACGTTCCAGATGAAATCCGGGATGAGCTCTACATGGAGGAGCAGCAGAGGCAGGAGAAAGAAAAGCGCAAAGGTGGTGACATTCTTCGGGGTGGATCGCCGTACCCACCCATCAACATCAATGTTCACTCGTCCCATCCCACTGAATCGGCCACTAGCTTGGGTGATGCCACGGGGCTGAGAGCTGTGGGTCCATTGAAGATTCCCGGGTTCAAAGACGTAGCTGTCAAAGAATACGGTGAGTGGCTTGCATCGAATGTAACCGATGATACCCTCAAAGCTGGATTTCGACAAGCGTGTCAGATAACGCTGTCAGATGGCTTTGAACTTGAACACATTTACAAGGATCAAAACCCAGAATTCTTCGTCGGCAAAGGGGTCAAGCCCGGAATTGCCCGGAGTTTTGTGGAAAATATTCGTGACTGGGTTGAAAACGTGAAGAAAGAGATACCTGTTATTGAAATGGTATAGAAAAACGTTTTTGGTATGTGTTGGATGTATTTGCCGTATTGGATGAGGCGGCTCCTCTTCATAGTAGACGAGCGATCTATTTGTCATTATTCCTGAGCGTTGCCAAGCAAATCAAGTGCGTCCTCTGCAGTCAGGCGACTAGACGGTAAAAATCGCATCAATCCTTGAATCACATGAAGTAGAGGTTTAAGTGTTGGATTAGGCACCAACCCAGCAAACTTCCGTTCAAGCTTCGACGTTCCGTAATCTTTGAGCAAAATTAGCAACAGGTTTATTTGGGCATCAGTTTGTTTACCTTCTTCTAATTCCAGATCATGGCTAGACCTCATCAACATTGATGTCCACTTAGACTCCCACTCGGACGGCAACCTCTCCACAAAGCCAATCATTTGGAAAACGAGGACTTCATCCTCGCCAAGATACCAGAATGGCCATGTCGTGAATAAGAAAGAATAAATCTACAATCCATATCTCCGTGAGTATGTCTGCTTCAAGGAAAGATATGTTGACGTACCATGCAACCTGTGCGCCATAAGTCGACCCGATAATTAAAACTATCCGTGAAAATCGTCTCTGGTACCCTCAATGAACCTGGCTGGGCCAGCTTTTTAGGTTCCTGTCCTTGGAAGAATCCCTCTCCAAAATCAAAGAGTCTGATATCTTCGTCGTCCTCGTCTATCCAGTCATCCCATTCTGCTGCTTTGACCAGCTGGGACGGCAATCCATTTCTTAAAGGCGTCCCGTCAACCCGGGTCAGCGGCTCAACTTCCGGGAATCCGAGAACATCAAAAAGCTGCTCCTCGGTCTGTTTCCACAAATGAGTGCAACTAAATGCGATGTTTCGGCCACTAATGTCTAATAGGAAGTGAGTACAATGGAACCGACTCGCGCATAAATGTAGAGGGGGAAGCGACCTCACCTCCATGGCACATGCCGGCACTGTGAATATATTTGACGGCTTTCAAAAGCTGCGTAGACATTCGGAGTACGGTTTCCGAGCAGAGCTTGTCGTGGCTCTCATGGTAGTCTGCGAGGACCTTATCAACTGAAGGGCCAAGTAATTCAAATACAAGACATTGGTGGACCCCGTTAGGGCCTTCGTGGGTGAAGGCATCAAGCAGTTGAACCACATAATTTGAAGAAAGCTCTCCTTGGGAATGCCTTTCCAGATATTTCAAATTTTGCAGCTCTCGCGATACCGATGAATCTGCGGTCATGATTTTCAACGAGACCCATTGATTGCGACTGGCGTGAGATTAGCTAGGAATGAGCAAAGTCAGTCAGGGATAAACTGACTCTTTGTCCTTCGCAAGCCATACTGTGGAAAAGCCACCCCATCCTAACTTGTGATGTATCTTGTAACGATCATCTTTAAAAGTATTTCCAAGGTTGACTGGATGATATCCACCAGGCTGGTATCTTGATAATGACTCCTGTGTGTAGAGAAGGTTGCTTTGGCAGAATATAGATAGATCCATCTTAGAATAAAGGTCGACGGGGGTAGGGAGGCGCTTGGGGAGGAGGCGAACGTCGCAATCAAAAAAGTCGTGATGCGTCGGAGATAATTTATTGCCTGCCAAGCGGTGATGACTAATCCGACCGACAATCTAAGTTAGTTATCCATGTCTCGGAACCCTTGGTTGGATATATATAGCACACCGCTTTGGGCACTCATAGCCGCTCGCGCAAAATAACTTCGACACTAGAATGTTGAGTCATTTTAGAACCGATTTCTGTGGTCCAACGATATTCACCCCGTGTTCCAAGAATAGGATACTAATTGTCTAGTGTTTGACTCGAAACGCGAGCCCGACCGAATGTGGGTGTTGCGCGCTTTAATGACACAATTCTTGTTTGATTAAGCGCTCACCTAGGTGCTGTCGGCGTCATGCTGGCGGCTTCGTTGATCAACGCTAAACATATAATGTTGCTGGTGTATCACCAGAATTAAACACACACACGTCCCTCAGATATCTGGCTATTTGCGACCGCATATACACACGAACGCCTTGTTCAGCTTTCCCTGGCTGTTTCTCACGATGTCCGTTCAGGTCATTTATGATCCTGACTGTGACCAAAACTTTCCCCGTCTTTATCATAACCAGTTCCAACAATGGATTAACGCGAATCACCAATTCGCGATTCATGATGGAACTGTACTTGGTTTTGACCAGGCTCATGTTCTGTAAGTGATACGCTGCCATGGTGAAAGTTTTTCTTTACTAAATCAGTTTAGCAACGGTCTCCATCCCACTACAAGTACCCATGACCCCAACCCAGTTCCACATGTCACTGTTCGCTTGTCGAATCCGTCTTTACGCAGCCAAAGGACCTGGTACATCCTTCATTGGCGGGTTGGTGGTGGCTCAGTCTTCCTTCCGCGACCAGATAATGAAGACTCAAACAGGCGAAGGCAGATGAGGAGAAAGGAGAAGAAGCAGCGGAGACAGGAAAGAGAAAGGAGCAGTAGAGAAAGTCGTGGAAATGAGAGTACTCAAAGCCGTGCTACGGGTACAGGTGTTTCTTCTCGTGAGACTGGTCACCCTCACGGAAATGTGCCCCCTCACGAAAATGCCCCCCCTCGTGGAACTGCACCCCCTCGTGGAACTGCACCCCCTCGTGGAACTGCACCCCCTCGTGGAACTGCACCCCCTCGTGGAACTGCAGCCCCTCGTGAGAGTCACAGAGGTGATCCTAGATGAGGCTGCTGTTTGCTGCTGGATCTCCTGGCGGTGGTTTAGTTTGACTGGGAATTTTGTCTGCAGCGTAGAAAGATGTGACCACGGGACACATAGGTAGCAGTTTTTCAGAGTCAATGCAAGGTGCTTCATTTTCTGTAATGAATGATGCCGCTAGAACATACACACACACGATTCATTACGCCCGAAGGTTTCAAACCTAGAGGGCACCTATACGCTATTTGATCTTTCCACTGCATACATTTTGTCATAGTCTCATTTTCGAGAGGAAAAGCTGAACCAGCTGCCAAAAACCCCTCTAGCCCATACGGGTATGTCCTTAACGATTTCTTCTTGTTGTTGTCATCATATCCTCTCCCCAAAAGCAATAACCCATCCCTCTGTGACACCGGACCCCCCACGTGTCCATTCTCGATGTAGTTTCGTGAACCTCTTCCCTGAGTAGCGATTTACCCAGAGTACTTCTCATATTAACGCCCGAAGTAGCTGACTGCCTCGCTGGCGGCAACACCAGATAGCAGACGAAGGACTGACGAATCGACATACGATCGAACCGATAGGGCAGGTGAGTTATTATGAATAAAACTCAGTGAGTATAGGTTGAAAATGGGTAGGCAGGTCGGTTGTTCGAAGGCTCGTCGACGTTGCGAAGTTGTCGACGTGTTCTTTTAAAAGCTTCCCACCGCGTCGTCACAACCAATAAAGGGGTTTCCGCCGGAGTTTCGATTTAGAAAGTTCTTAGCTTCGGTCAGACCTTGCGGTCTAACTTACTGACATCCCTCACCACGAGAAGGTGACTTTCCACGAGGGACAATTGAAATTACAGCAATATTCGAAATCAGTTTTACCTCCATATTCTCTTCTTTGTTCTCTTGGGGCTGGGAGCATGCTAGTCCGTGTTAGGCAATCTTTCCGCCCACCTGCATGTATTGAAGTATCTACTGTGAGTCGACGTAAATTACAGTATTTACTCCATCATGGTTGCATCTGATTCTCTTCCGTCTTGGTGCTAAAATTCTCATCTTTCATTGGGGGTACAATCCCCCCGTTATTTCCAACTTGCAAGGGGCTAGCTTCGTTGTCAATGCTAGCGCTCTCGCTACTGATGGGAGATGAGTCCATGAACCCGCGCCATTTCCGCCAGCCATCAACATCGATCAGTGCCTGCATGCAGCCCCATTCTGTGACCTTCTGCTTAAGCCATGGGAATCTCACGGGCTTTTCATTGAGGTTAGTGGCGACTGAGGTAGCGGGGGCCAGGGCCAGCAAAACAAACCTTGGTTAAGAAGTCGTTACAGCCAGCAGTCAGTGCCTCCTGACGATCACTTTGCAAGCTGCTAGCTGTCAATGCGACGATTACCGTCGGGCTGTGAAACATAGAGCGATCGGCCAAAGCATCCTCTTCACTTAAGAAGTGCCGGTGTTTAGACTCTTTCCATGGTGGAAATGTAGGGTTGATGCCTGAAACAGAGCAGCCTGGAACGGTCTTGGGTAAGACGCCGATTCCATTCAGCCACTCGAGTCGTCGGACCTCTTTGGTAGCATCCAGCCCGTTCATGATCGGTAATTGGATGTCCATCAGTATTAAATGAAACCCACCTTGTCTCCATTTTCGCACGGCGTCTTCACCGTCTGCCACACACTTCCAACGGACGTTTAGCCGTTTCATAAACGCCTCCAGAAGCTTCTGATTGATAATGTTGTCTTCCACAATGAGAACATTTATTGGTGGGACAGTGCCGGCGATGAGGCCATCAAATGCTGCATGTGGCGACGGGTCATGACTTTTTTCGTGGGGAGAACGTGGGGTGGCGACTTCCGCCGGAGGAATGTGCGTCCTGGCTTGGGGGGACACTGCTGGTGCTGGAAGTGGCCTGGGCATAGTCGGGGCCGAAACAGCGGGCGAAGGTTGGCTATAGGTAGGTACACCGCAATCTATGGACGCCAGTCATTATGACTGCCAGAGGATGATGAAGTATCAATATCAACATACCTACTACGCCAAGTGCTTGGCTGAGCATCCCCGGCGAATCTATGGTATGCCGAATCCCACTAGTCACAGGCGATGGCAGCGGAGAGTCGTCAACGGTCAGTATGGAGTTCATCGACGGATTGGGCCCAGCTTCTGAGGTTAATACGCCCGTTACAAGTGCACTCGGCGCGTTCTTATTAAGTGGTATTTGAGGGAAGCAGTCGCTATACTCGCCTGGCTCCGAATGGCGATGATTGCAGACCGAACGGTGCGGCGACGGCTTAGCGGTCCAGATCACTGGCGCGTCGGTAACCAATGCTTCTTTTATAGTCTGACCACCAGGATAGTATATGTCGAGTACTGACGACAGTACTTCCTCCGGGCCGAGAAGGCGCTTTGGGTAGGCCTGTACGTCTGAGCCCTCCCGAGGCGTGATTGCCGTCACGATATCCGGAGAATCGAAACTCCTCCCTAAGGAGTTGGCAAACTTCAATATCACCTGGTCGCGCAGCTCATCCACAATTGCATTTTCCAGGCACGATACCAAGGTGGCGGAACCTGTCGAGCGTTTGACCCAGACACGGCGACGCGCCATTATGGCAGAAGTGAGGAGTAGCAGTTGGAGGTAGCAGCTACCCCTGCTTTCCTTCTGAAGAAAAGGCCAGTTTCAACAGTTTACTTGACAGATGTCGATATGACGTAGGAAGAAAAATCGTCGACCTGATGGGGCGCAGCTCGAATAGAGAGCGAAGAAAGGAGATGACGGTCGGCGGTTTTGTCCGCGAGTACTCAGCTACAGCAGAGAAGTGCTGAATACCGCGAAGTGATCAACCAATAAGACACAAGGTGTCACATATTTATCGCACTGGCGCAATCAATCAGGCTCCAAGGGTCGCGAAAGAACCATACTGAGATAAAACGCACTGTAACGACCCCCATGAATACAACGTGGTTGGACAAAATAGAACGTGTCCTGCACTGTTCATTGCTGGGCTGAGTACCCGCCAATCAGGCTGCTGGCACGGTAGCTCGGACGGCTCGGACTATGTGTCGTGCCGTTCGCACGCGGAAAACCGAATATGCGATGCCTTCGTATTATCATTGCAATTATGTGAATGAAAGTGCTGAGATTCTGTATATAATGCAAGAGAAAGGTGTATAATTATATTAGGATGTCCAAAAGCACGCGCTCTGATTCGCCAGGCGCACAGTCCGGATTGAAAGGGAAGGGACCGCAGTAAATCTGGAGCTCAATGCGGCTCCTGGTTGCGAGACTATTTCTCTCGCTCTCTTCCGAAATTTCCCATCTTTCTCCCTCCTACTCCACATCCACATTCACGCACCCATTCATTCCTCTAAGGAGTGCACGCCCCTCGAACTGTGGCTTGATGTCAGTCTAATTTGGTTGTAGAGATCTCTCTTTATTGGAAGGTCCCACAGGCAGTACCGTCTTTACTCTTCTCTTTCCTAGCCCGCTCGTCGTATACAGTACTGTTGCTCCACCCCTCTTTTACCCCTTGGTCTCGAACATTTTCTCCAATTCCCCCTTATCGCGGTAAAAAGTGCGAACGCGCGAACCACACGGCGCGCAACACTCGGGGTCTATTTCCCGCAGTCTGCATCTTGTTGCACATAAGTCTGCAGCCTTTCGTCTCCCTCTTACCTGACACTTATCCGGCCCCCACCGCGACCCGCCAGTAAATTCGTCCTCCATGCTTCGCAAAAGGTTTCTGCGCAAATTTATCTGCTGGTGAAGGTTTAAAGCTGATATTTGCTCATATATGGAAACAACTCCCAAAAGCCTGATGACGAGTTCATCAACCGCTTCCAACAAATCTTCACCGATATCATTCGCCAACGAAACGGCGACAGCAGACCGGATAGCGATTTGAATGGAGAAATGGGTAATCCTATGATGCCAGTAAAATATGCGGACAGCGAGGTTCTAGGTGTGATGTCTGGAGCTCATATAACAAATGACGGATCTAGGCCGAAAGGTGACTTGAAAATGGATAAGCACGACTTGAAAATCTCGAACGATCGAACGCCACGCAACTTGCAAGACCTCAATTTTACTCCGTCATGGATAAACCCGGATTTGATGATGTCCCTCGCTGGTCATTTCTACACACCTGGCTCGGGCGGACGGGGCACTGTCTTCCACAGTCAGGCGGGCGATTTGCACACGCCCACGCTCGATCTGAATATGACCACCTCGCTCTCCCTTTCGAATCCCATGGCAGGCACACAACCCACTCACCAGCCCTATTTCGATCAATTCAATCAGCAGTACCTCGCCCAGCACATGGCAGGTAGGAACCTCTATGGCGGGGTGGAATCATACGCACCAAGCGCATTTATCCATCGTGATTCGGGCTACGACACTATGCACGAATCTCCGGATGGTACTATCAATGACATCCCGGTGGATCAAGCATCAACCATTACACTCTTTAGGGGCTTTTCGGCTGCTGGCGCCATGGGCGGCATGTCCTGTGCCGAAGATGGAAAGTAAGTCGGTCAGAATATTGACGTCCTTGTTTTGCTATTTTCTGAGCACAGTCTCAGTTTTCGTTATAATGTAACATTGCGTGCTCCGACCGCAATGGTAAAGCATGCAAAGGAAATGCCAGTGACCTATCTCAACAAGGGTCAAGCCTACGATCTCGCAGTGCTGGACTCCAATCCTCCGGTTGTCAGCTCTGAGCTGCAAAAATATCGAACATTCGTTCGAGTTTCCTTTGAAGAGGAGGAGCAAAGGTCGAAACCGGCAGCTTGTTGGCAATTATGGAAGGAAGGCCGCGGTTCGAATGAGGCACACCAGAACGGAGGCAAGCTTATGGCTGTGGAATACGTGGACCAACTCCAAGGCAAGGGCGACGACTATAAGCAGCGCCAGGTTCATGTCGAGCAGACTTCGTTCGATGGTTTCTGCGTTACCTGGACCGCCGACCCCGTAACTGGCCCTTCCGGTTGCACCATCCCCGTGCGGTTCAATTTCCTTTCCACCGATTTTAGCCTCTCGAAGGGTGTCAGGGGCATTCCGGTCCGTCTATGTGCGAAGACAGAGCTTCTATCACCAGGGGAGGAAGTCGGTGCGATACGCGAAGCGGAGGTGTGCTACTGCAAGGTCAAAGTCTTCCGCGACCACGGCGCCGAGCGCAAGCTGTCTAATGACGTCGCCCATGTCACGAAGGCCGTCGAAAGGTTGAAGCAACAGATTGCGGAAGCAAAAATGGGAGGAGGATTCGGCAAGCGCAGGCGCGGGAGCAATTCTGTGGCCAGCATCAAGGGTCCCGCTCAGCCTATGAAAGCTTCCAAGCACAAGCGCGCCTGGTCGATGAGTTCACAGTACGAGGCGCCGGATAAGATATCTTTAACGGATGATCTGCAAGCCAAGCTGTCCATGTTACAGGCCATGTTGTCGTCCACTCGCACTGTGAGCGTTCTGGCTCTCGGTGGCGACGATGAAGATGATCCTGATCTCTACCCAATCCGATTATCGGTTGATAGCGATTTTGTGAGGACAGAAGCCCTCAGCCGTCAAAACACCGGAATTTTGCAGTCCATAGAGTCCTTGATTCTTCCGCCGACCGGCAATGTCTCATTGAACTCGCCTTGCATGGATACCACTCAATTAGCTAGTTTGAAGAATCCGACTATCATGCATAGAACCACCTCGGGTAATACAAATGTCTCGACGGGGTTCATCGAGGCTGTCGACATCGATCGGAAATACCGACCACCTGCGGAGCGGCCACCCAAGCCGAGTATGTTTTTCATAGCGGACAGTGTAATCTATGGTGCTAATGCTTTTCACAGTCGCATGCTTCTATATCGGGTTCCGGGGGTACGGAGAGCATCCTCCCGACTACTACCGTGCAATCTACCTGACTGAGCGTACCGCCCGGGAGTTGATGAAGAAAATTTCCGAGAAGCAAGACATCGATCCAGCATGTGTTGTCCGCATTTTTCATATGAGCCAGAACGGCATACGGATTATGGTCGATGACGATGTTGTGCGTCACATTCCGGAAGGTCAAGACATGGTTGTCGACATCTACGAAGGGCCGAGCCCTGGTGGCAGCGGCGGTAGCGGCCATATCGGCTCCTCGGTGGAGATCAAACTGACCTTTTAATACCGCACCGCATAGACCCAGCGCGAACGTTTACCCCTAAATCAAATGTTCGTCGCCGATTTCATGATACAGAAGAAAGTAGAATGAGCTTGTCAAGCAGCAAATAGGTACTGTAGGTGTATATTAGGTTTTGCCGAGCAGGGGATTGCGTACTGAGTAGTACTACTGCGGATGTCCAATTGAGCATTTGTTGATTATAGGTAGATCGTGAGGATCCGTGGGAATGGGAAATTGGTAGCCGTTTCCCGCATTCTTGCACTGTTATAGTTAGTGCTCACCCTGCTTCCTGGGCAGGTAAACTGGTTCTTGCCGGACATCGGGTGGATGCCCGGGTATCAGAGTTTTGATATAAGACTGGTGCAGATCAGGAACAGAACCGCACCATGCGAAATATTCCGTGTTTATACAAAGAACCGAGTGGATTGGAACCCAATTTGGGCTTTGTGTTATACATGTAGCTTCCTGTTTTCTCTCTTAAAGAAAATCAACAATTTCTTCGAACTCCACCAATCAAGTGTTGTCCGTGACCTTTGGGGGCTCAGTCGGTCTTCTCCTCGTAGTGAATTACTTCACAGAACTTCTACCAGTGTCATTTTGCTTTCAAGCAAAAAATATTTTAGTTTATATACAGTAGAAGGCACTTAGGTAGCTAACACAGTGGTCAGTGTGATTAGGCAGCCACAAATCATAACGTTATTTTCGTAGTATAAGGAATGCGATGAAAAAGGATGCCAGGCTTTGCAGGTATCTCAGAAGGGGCAAGCCAACCCCAAGCTCAAGAGGAGCTATCAGGTGTGAGACGATCAATCAGAGGGTCTGACTGAAGCTTTTGGAGAATTGAATTTGTTATACAGGCACTGGAACGCAAATAAGTAGAACATCCGATGAAGCATTGTAGTAGATTGAGCACATACGTGAAGCCTCTAGCGATCATGTCTGGGAATCTGTTGATTACAGTTCCACCGTCTCCGTTAATCTGTTGAACGTAGGTATTGATCTGCTCAGTGGTGGCCGAGTCTTGAAAGGTTACCTGTCTTTATTAATGGGGAGCGTAAGAGAGGAAGAGAAGTTAAGTTACAATATAATTCGAAGCCATTTCGTCGGGCTTGTGTAATTGGCATGGACTTTTCGCTGAATGGAAGAATAAAGGCTCAGGTTGCAGATTATTTCTTGACGGTAATCCAGCTGAATATTGGCCCTCACCGCTTTCGCGGGTTGGGCCACGTATGGCGAGTATCACGAAAATCAAGGAAGTATAATGACGTCATTTCACATGGAACTTTGCTATGGGTGCCAAGCTGTTATAACTACGTGGCCAATCCGATTAGATAAATAGATCTTATTACCGCTTATCAAAAATTGAACTGGGGATTATTCCTTGGAGGAGCCGAATCTACTGAAGGTCTGAAAAATATTGCTAATGTGGCGCAGTCCGTGTGCCCTGAACTCCTTTGAGGATGCCGACGACTTATTTGGTGGAAACCTTACAAAACACTTTTGCGAGAAAGAACAGGTGCATGACTTATTGGGTCCGCATTTCTTTGTTCAAGATACGCAACGGCCTGCCAAGCTCTTCCAAGTCCAGGGCCTCCAAAGTTCCTCCTTTGTCTGTTCAATAGTTAGACTGAGTGATGGCAATCCCAGTCATGAATCAAAATTAGACCTCAATCCGTGGAGTGGACTCAAAATGGGTGTGCTGTTTTTCTTCCTTCCAATCAAATTAGCGGCGGCACGGCGGGCAATAAAATATTTGTGGGGCAATTAAGGAGAGATATTATTCCGCGTCAAGGTAACCTCGATGACATCATTTTGCGATCCAAGCCGCAACTCATCCGTCGCCGTAAGGGAAATGCTTGTTCGATGTCCAAATGAGCGAAATTAAACACCCCAAACACCCATATCTGAAACCACACCTTTCAAGGTGTCTCGTTCTTTCCCCAATCACCCACTCCACCGATTTTTTTTTTTAGCTGGTAGCCAAAGCATATGCTTACTCGATCCTATTACTCTTTTCGAAAACCAGAGGTCCGCCTTCAAAGGCATTCAGGATAAAAATGGCCACTGTTCTCGATGGGAGTCTCTCTGCACAGGAACTTGCTGATATGTTACCAACCGGCGTTGCAATTCTCAATCAAAATGATGAGTCAATCATGGTGAACCGGCGTTTCCGGGAGCTTATGACCTGTTCCGGTGCGAGATCATTTGAATGCTGGTCACAATCAATCCACCCAGAAGATTATGACCGGGTAGCCACTGCCTATTTCGAGACCTCACGCTCTAAGCATGCCCTACGCATCGAATTCCGCACTCGCAGCCGAATCCCTTTGTGGCGTGTTCTGATGTTGGCTCCATTAGATAACGCTGATCTGCACCGGCTCAATTTAAGCAATGGCGGCTTTATCTGCACTATAGCAGACATTACCCACGAAAAGACAGCCGAGCTACTGCAAGCGGAAATTGCACGAGAGGCGCAAGAGCGCAAGCAACAACAGGAACGTTTCATTGATATGATCAGTCATGAAGTCCGAAATCCTCTTTCTGCTATTCTTCATTGCACGGAGGATATACTTGAAGCAGTAAAGGACAAAGAAAAACCTGTCGCAGACATTGCACAAGCAGCAGAAACTATAAGCTTCTGCATTGCACATCAAAAGAAGATTGTCGACGATGTCCTTACGTTCTCCAAGCTAGACGCATCGATGTTGACCTTATCACCGCGAAGAGGTCAGCCAAAACGACATTTGGCACGGACAATGTCCATATTTCGGCCGGAGCTTCGGAAGCAAGACATTCAATTCGAATACAAACTTGACAATTCTTACGCAGATTGCGGGATTGAGTGGGTGTTAGCCGATTTCAGCCGGATGGGCCAGGTTCTCATCAACCTGGTTTCCAATGCTATTAAGTTCACTGCCAGAGCGGACAGCAAGAGAGAGATCAGAGTCTCCATAGGCGCCTCCACGAAGCGGCCGCCATCCTACCCCCCCAATGTTGTTTTTTTCGAATCCGGCGAACATGCACTTCGTTTAGACGCCACCACCACACCTGAGTGGGGGGAGAGCCCAGTTGCGTATGTGATGGTTGCAGTGAAGGATACCGGGATTGGCATTAGTGACCAAGCTCAAAAGCGGCTCTTTGAGCGCTTCAACCAAGCAACACCGAGAACTGAGAGCGTTTACGGTGGATCCGGTCTCGGCCTCAATGTGAGCAGAAAGCTCTGTCACCTTCACGGAGGAGAAATCGGCGCAAGCTCAAGGGAAGGGGAAGGGAGCACGTTTGGTTTCTTCTTCAAGGTCAGGCGGGACACTGAGCCACCTAGTCTCAATCTGCCTAATTATGACGAATCCGAAATTGAGCACTTATGTGGTGGCATCCAAGCGCTGAGCAACAAAGCCACCGGGGTCAACAGTCGGAAGAAGTCTCCCGAAATCCCAGAGGATCCCATTATCACTCACATTGCGGAGATATCCCCGGGGGCTGCGAGTGACGACAAATATATGCATACGTTGGAACTGGCCCACCAAGCTAAGCCTGATGAGCCTTCTGCGAGCGACCGCCAAATATTACACCCTGATCTCGACGTGGACGAGCCATCAAACAGCCCAGGAACGTCCGACTCAATTGGAGTGGAATCCGATACGAAAGCAACTCGACATATTCTCGTGGTAGAAGATAATATAATCAATCGACAAATTGTTTCCCGGAAGCTACAATCTTTGGGATTCCATGTTTCGGAGGCGACGAACGGCCAAGAGGCGTTGGATGCTGTCCAACGTGATGAATTTGACTGCATCCTCATGGACCAAGAAATGCCAGTTATGAATGGAACTTCCGCAACTATGGCAATCCGCAATCTTGGTAGCGACTATACAGCAGATATCCCTATTCTTGGGGTCACTGCAAATGTGAGGGCGACTCAACAAATAGAGATGCTGGACGCTGGTATGGACGATATTATCCATAAGCCATATCGAACGAATGACTTGTATGAGAAGATAAACCAGCTGATAATACTCAGATCGACGAAATGAAATAGTAGACTGGCTGCTATATATCATTCTTGAATTACCTGGCGGTTGAAAAAAAGCCGAATGCAGGGGACTTATCGTAAGGTCAGAAATATCCGCAGAAATTTGGCGTAATTTTGAAGTGTCGACGCCGGTTCCTAAATCGATGCACTAGCGACAGACACTCCAGAGGACGAGCACCTGGTTTTCTTGTGACCCCCGCTGCCCGATTAATATGACTGAAGTTATCTTCACGATGCGCTTATATTAGTGCTCGATAAATTTGGGGTTCCCTTGCGCTGTCTGTGAGGAGATAATAAAACCACCCAGAGAAGAATTTTTGAGAATAGATTACTGTAATTTACGGTGGGTCTCGAAGGTACATGGACAAATGCAAGGCCAGCGGAAATATATCCTAATACGGACTAGTGCACTTGTAATGGACCCGTGGGAAATGAAGAGAGAGGTTGGAGGTAAAACTGATTTCGAATATCACTGTATACTTCTAGGAAAAACGACTCTGGAGCTTTGCGGAGTGCCACGGGGCGACAATATCGATTTCCTGTACTGATTGAGAGTGATGGCGGGACGGGCCGCGATGCGAACCCCTGAACCGCCCGACCGCGACGAACGCGAAGCTTCGCCACCGCGACTGGCAAGACCGAAACGCATCACCAGACCACCCAGAATCTATGCTCAAGAACAAGAAATCGACAATGAACAGAGACAGACGCGACCTCAGCAAAAGAAGAGAACTGGACCCGAATCTCAGCCTGATAGGGCAACTTCGGATGACTCCGCGACCGAGAGCGACAACCTCGATGTGAACGATTTGGTGAAAGAGATCGCCAAACTCAGGACAGAAATCAGACTACGAGACGAGTTGCACAAGGAAGAACTACAAAAAGCCAAAGCAGAGTTCGGTGCTGCCCTCGCCGGGGTCCGGCACGAGCTACAGAACCTGACAGACAGGACCCCGACATCGCAGTGCAACTCCGAAGCGTGCGCCCAGACTGGTCACGATGAAATCCTCCGAGAAATCCAATCCCTACGTGAAGAAATCAGCGCTCCCGCTTTCACAGGTTCCCCGTCCTATGCCGATGTCGCCCGCACTCCCCCGCTCAGCCACCCGAGTAATATACGGAGTCTCTCGACATCGAACACAACACCAACCACGCTCACCGACACGCTCTATTGCACAATCGACACCTCCAGGATGGCAGAGAACGAAAACGAGAGGATGTCTGCAGGCTCTATCCGGGCGGCAGTCGAGACAGAGATCCGAGCGACGGCAGACCACACGCATTGGCGTTGTCGCGCCGTCACTGTGGACCCGAAGAACACGAACCGGATCAGAATAGCGTGCCGCGACGAAGCCGAGCACCAGCTGATCAAGAAAGTGGCGGAATCCCAAATTGGTGCAGGGGCACGGGTGCTTCGGGATGAGCTTTACCCTATCAAAGTTGACAGCGTTAACAAAGCCGCAGTTCTGGATGAAAAAGATGAGATCCGTGCTGGAGCAGCAGCTGCCTTCAGCGAGGAGAACGAAGCCACCGTTGCGAAAATCGCATGGCTTAGCAAGAGGGAGAGCGCAAAAGCATATGGGTCAATGGTCGTCTACCTCACTAAAGGTAGTGACGCACGGAGACTGCTAGCCGACGGGTTCTTCCATGCTGGGGGAGAATCCGGCGTGACCAGCACCTTCGAGCATCGACCACGACCGATGCAATGCTATAAGTGCCAGGAGATTGGGCACAAGGCTTTTCAGTGCAAGAATGCCCAGAGATGCGCAAAGTGCGCCGTAGAAGGCCATCGTCACAGTAGCTGCGACTAGACAGTTCCGAAGTGCGTTCCATGCGGGGGTCCTCATGAATCGTTCAGCAGAAACTGTCGGAAGCTCTATCCGCCACGCAATGAATAAAACGCTCCGAGTGATGCAACTGAACGTGAGGAAACAGGGTGAAGTGCATGAAAGCCTCATGAACGACCAAGATACCGCAAACACAGTGGCACTAGCGATCCAGGAACCCTAGGCGAGGAGGATTCAAGGCCGGCTCTTGACCACCCCGATGGGACATCATAAATGGACTAAGATGGTCCCTTCCACGTGGAGAGAAGGGAGATGGGCGGTTCGGAGCATGCTGTGGGTAAATAAGGATGTGGAAGCGGAGCAAGTACAGATCGAGTCGCCGGACCTAACAGCGGCTGTGATTCGGCTTCCTGAGCGACGGATTTTGATAGCATCGGTTTATGTGGAAGGAGGCAATGCCGCTACGTTGAACGACACTTGCGATCACCTCAGAAAAGCGATCACCAAAGTACGGCGAGACTTGGGAACGGTGGTGGAGATCATGATCATGGGGGACTTTAACCGCCATGATCAACTGTGGGGAGGAGACGAGGTGTCCTCGGTCAGACAAGGCGAAGCGGATTCGATCATCGATCTTATGAATGAATTTGGACTCAGCAGCCTGCTTAAACGAGGCACCAAGATATGGTACGGCGGAGGATATTCGGGGGACTGCGAGTCGACGATCGACCTCGTTCTCGCCTCGGAAAACCTGACGGACTCGATGACCAAATGTGCGGTCCACGGAACGGGGCACGGCTCAGATCATGTTACTATTGAGACTGTTTTTGTTGCGCCTTGGATAGCTCTAACGCAGACAGACAGACTGCTGCTCAAGAATGCACCGTGGAAAGAGATCAATGCCAGAATCGCGAGCACGCTAACTACCACTCCGGTGGAAGGTTCCGTGCAGCAGAAGACCGATCGGCTAATATACGCGGTGTCGGAAGCGGTTCGTGCGTTGACGCCGAAGGCCAAACCGTCACCGCACGCAAAGCGGTGGTGGACGGCGGACTTGACGCAACTTCGTCAAATATACATATATTGGAGAAACCACGCCCGCGCAGAGCGACGGGCAGGGCGCAAGGTGCCACGGCTAGAGGACATGGCTGCAAGCGCCGCGAAGCAATACCACGACGCGATTCGGAAACAAAAGAAGAAACACTAGAACGAGTTTCTGGCTAACAACGATAATATCTGGAAAGCTGCCAAGTATCTGAAATCAGGGGAAGACGTAGCCTTCGGAAAGGTACCGCAGCTCGTCAAAGCAGATAGAACGGTTACCACCGATCATGGGGAGTAGGCGAAAGAACTACTGACTAAATTCTTCCCACCGCTACCAGACAGCATTGACGACGAGGGAACTAGACCACAAAGAGCACCGGTGGAGATACCGACTATTACCATGGAAGAGGTGGAGCGGCAGTTACTGGCAACGAAGTTATAGAAGGCGCTAGGTGAGGATGGCCTACTAGCCATAGTGTGGAAGATGACCTGGCCCACGGTCAAACACTAGGTCCTCGATCTTTTCTAGGCGTTATTAGAAGAAGGCACGCTGCCGAAACAGTGGCGACACGCAAAGATCATTCCGCTGAGAAAACCGAACAAGGAAGACTATACCATTGCCAAGGCATAGAGGCCGATCTCACTGCTCGCTATATTAGGCAAGATCCTGGAGTCAGTGGTGGCAGAAAGGATCTCGCACGCAGTGGAGACCTATAGCCTACTCCCGACCAGCCACTTCGGGGCCCGAAAGCAGCGGTCCGCGGAGCAAGCACTCTTACTCCTACAGGAGCAAATCTACGTAGCGTGGCGAGGACGATGGGTGCTGAGCCTGATCAGCTTTGATGTCAAGGGGGCCTACAATAGGGTCTGTAAGGAACGATTAATCTAGAGGATAAAGGCGCGAGGCATACCGGAAGTTCTGCTTCGGTGGGTTGAGGCGTTCTGCTCGGGACGAACGGCGGCTATCCAGATTAATAGGCAGCTATCGGAGGTTCAGGACCTACCACAGCCTAGACTGCCTCAGGGCTCGCCCCTGTCTCCGATTCTCTTCCTCTTCTTCAACGCCGACCTCGTGCAGAGACCGATAGACGGCCAAGGAGGAGCACTTACCTTCGTGGATGACTTCACCGCGTGGGTAACAGGGCCAACCGTATAGAGTAATCGGGAAGGTATCGCAATAATCATCAATGACGCGCTCGATTAGGAAAGGAGGAGCGGCGCAACCTTTGAAGCAGACAAAACAGCCATTATATATTTCGCACCGAAGGCTCGCAAAGTCGACCAAGAACCGTTCACTGTCAAGGGACAGACGGTCGAGCCTAAAAACAAGGTCAAAATCTTGGGGGTCCTGATGGACACGCGACTGAAGTACAAGGAGCATATTACAAGGGCAGCATCTAAGGGCCTGGAGGCCGCGATGGAGCTACGACGGCTCTAAGGCCTCTCCCCAGCGACCGCACGACAGCTCTTCACAGCGACCGTGGCTCCGGTGGTGGACTATGCGTCGAATGTTTAGATGCACGCATTCAAGAATAAGAACATCGGACCGATCAACCGAGTGCAAAGGGTAGGAGCACAAGCAATTATGGGAACATTCCTTACAGTTGCGACCAGCGTAGCGGAGGCCGAGGCCCACATTGCCACGGCACAACACCGATTCTGGAGACGAGCCATAAAGATATAGGCAGACCTCCACACACTACTAGAGACCAATCCTCTTCGCAGAAACACAGATCGGATTCGGAAGTTCAGGAGATACCACCGCTCACCACTATATCAAGTAGCGGACGCGCTGAAAAGCATCGACATGGAATCACTGGAAACCATCAACCCATTTACACTGGCACCATAGGAAGCACGCGTGCAGACTGATGATAAGCCCATCTCAGAGGGCTCAACTATACCAGGCGGGTCAATGCAGATCGCGCTCAGCAGCTTGGCGCGGAATAAACTGGTCGGGTTTGGAGTGGCGATCGAGAAACAACCACCACGCTATCGGAAAGTGAGACTGAAGACCTTGTCCGTCACGTTGAGTGCGAGAACAGAGCAAAATCCATTTTCTACGGAGCTGGCGGCAATGGCGCATACACTGAAGACACTCGTGGGATTAAAAGACTTTAGGATCACACTGATCACGAGCAACAAAGCGGTGGCTCTTACGTTAAAGAACCCGCGACAACAGTCGGGTCAAGAATTTGTCTGCCAAATCTACAAGCTGATGAGCAGATTGCAGAGGCATGGAAATCAGATTAGCGTCCGGTGGATCCCCACTAGCGATGACAACAAACTACTAGGGCTAGCGAAAGAGCAAGCGAGAGCCGCGACGCAAGAAGATACCATCCTGCAAGGACAGGTCCCCAAAATGAAATCGACCACTCTGAAGATTGCGCGTGCCCAAGCAGTCCCCAATAGCGAGTTGCCCGAGAACATAGGGAGACACTCCCGACGAGTGGACACAGCACTCCCAGGAAAACACACGCGACAGCTATATGACCGATTGTCGTGGAAAGAGGCGAGCGTGCTGGCCCAGCTCCGCACGGGCATAGCAAGACTCAATGGATATCTCTTCCGGATCAATGCCGCCGAGACAGATCAATACGCATGTGGACAAGCAAGAGAGACGGTGGACCACTTTCTGTTTCGATGTCGGAAATAGACCGCGCACCGGACGGAAATGCTGCAATGCACCCACACTCACCGAAGTGACATGTCCTTCTTCTTGGGAGGGAAGTCACCCTCCGATGATCAAAACTGGAAGCCGAAGTTAGAAGCAGTGCGAGCCTCAATACGGTTTGCCATCGCTACGGGCCAACTTGAGGCCACTTGACCTAGCCAACGAACGCAGATAGAATACTTTCCCCCCCCCCATACTAACCCCAACACCTTGTGACAGACGGTAGACGCGCTTCAACTGCCGAAGATAGGATGTTGAACACTTGAAGAAGCGCCTTCAAGCAAGTCTACTAACCAATACTAACCCACAGAGACCAGCTATGAGATTGGAAACTAAATTGTCAAATACGGAAGGAAATACTACATGGGCTCCAAGAAGACACGGCGTATACCCAAACATGCATGTACTGGTAGATTAGTGATAGTTGCCCTTTCGGCTCAGCCGCCGGGCGTTAATGAATTGTGTGTGTGTGTGTGTGTACTGCATGAGTACGAGCAAATCATCGCAATGGATGCCACAGACCGCCATGATGTGATACGTTGCACTCCTACGTTGGTGCAGTGGGAAACAAAATGCACGAGATGCATTGCTGAGCAGGAAGACAGTTTGTAAGACTGAATGAATGGAATACCAGTTGACAGGCCAGCACTAGAACAGGTTGAATTTCGCATAGCTGAATCATACGTAAGCCACACTATAGTCACCAAGCAACAATGAATGACATGATATGACTTTCAAATTGGATGCGAACAAAACATAGAATAGTGCTTGTTCAGACATAGTCGTAGCATAGGTCCTACAGTACGATCAACAAATATTTTCTGCATAGCTATGGCTAGGGCTGTCGCTCTTCCCGAAGACACCAGGAAATCCAGACCGTATCCACGATCATTCCGCCGATCTGGACCCGTGCCGAACAACTAGCACGGTGACGATCATGCACCAGAACTACTTTGTAGAAAAAGTAAACGGAACTTCGTTTTTAGTTAGGACAAGGGTTGAATCAATTAATGTATGGGTTCATTTGCCTCTTCTCATCGACTGTCACACTGCAAAGTTTCCCGCTATATTCCGCACAAAAATAGCCGGATCGAGCACCACCGGTGTGGCTGAGTGAACGCAGGAAAATGCGTTTTCCCGGACAAGACCTGACGCTGCCTCTTTCCGCGGCCATATGTACAATTGGAAGTACGAATTTTCTAAGGCACCCCGGCTGTCCTGTCGCGAGATGATATCACATACCTGCCCACGAATCCGAGGCATATTTCCCAGTATCGATTCCACGCGAGGGAGAAAGAACGGGTGTTCCTCTACAGCCTCGCCAGTCGCCGTCATCAGCCTGCAGAGCCGAAATTCTACCCACTCTATTGGTTCGAAAAGCACAAATGCGGAGAAGTGGAGAAAGATGTCGTCGGCGCTCGTGCGAAAGGACAACGGGTCCGGTCCGGTCCAGGGAAAGCAGCGCTGGGCATCCTGGCTGGGACAGAAGATGCATTCGACGAGCGATGGCGTATAGTCTTCATGATTCGTGAAGATAGGTGCGTCGGGTAGTTCCATCGCGAAGGGATGATCATGATCAGCCGCGAAGCCCAGGGGCGGCGTTGATATATCCGAATAATCCGCCCATAGCTGCTCCAGATCCAAATCCAGATTCAGAGGGGGGACTCAATGTGGCAAATGTTAGTGTGCGAAGCCAATGTTGGGAAATCGCCAGACTAACCAATCTGTGAGTAATCCATTTCTTCTGCATATAAGTGCCGTCGCATCTACCAGAGGCACGTCCTGGGCTGTGAAGCAAGATTGGCTTTGGCTGCTGCGTATATCATCCGAGAACTGAGTTCATTGCAAAGTCTTCCTAGGCTTATCGAAACCTGAGTGCGCCTCTTTAAAGATTGGCCCCATCTTGAATGATGCAAGCTGATCAACTACCTTACACTCAGGATACAGTAGGGAAAAAGGAGCAAAGCCGCCATGTCTGTTCACACCATGTTTGTTCACAATAATGAGAATTGGATTCTCGCCAAGAAAAACGGTTACGTGCCGGTTCCACGCGTCCGAGTTAGCGCCGGGCGGAGAGAACGTGCCCCATATAGACAAACCGTGATCAGACCGCCGCACCCCTTTAAGCGGTACTGCAAATTCGTCCGACATGTTGCGCACTCAAATGAAGCGCGGCACGCCACAATCGGCCAGATCCCGCCGGGTACAGTAAAAGCACGCTTCGACACTGCCACTCCGAGAGCCTGTTTCAGACGACCACAGTACATAATTTCATTGTGTACTTTAGTAAAATACTTGAGTAGCATTTCGAAAGGGACACCAGAAGTCGATGAAAAGGAGCCAACAAGCATAGGCTCATTTGCCCTTCGTTTGTACCCAGTCCAAAAGCGTAGGTGCAGCTTGAGGCAATTAGGCCCTCCAATCATTATTTTCTACAGTCACGGCTACTTGCATGTCTGAGCTTTTGTGGGAGCAAACTCCATCCTGACTTGTGTTTGGCACAGGCAAAACTGCATCTAACCCCTGAAAATACATCCCTGCAGCTGCGGCTTCCTGCTTGGTTGTGATTCTCCCGGAGCAATTTCCAATTTGACGATGTGTTGCGGGTGGGAACCTTTAGAGACAAGGCCTTGCAAGGGATACTTGCCTTCAGCAGCACGTAGCATGAATACATTCAAATAACACCACCTTCACACATGTTAGAAAGCTAGTCAGCATCCCTCCTTGTTTTATTTCAATAGCAAACTGCAGTCCACATTCGACCGATCCTGAGGCAGCATATCGGTCATCAAGGAAACTGAAAGACTTCTCCTTCAGTCAGAGGCTTGCAAGATGGAATGGTCGTTGTACGAAGTTTCTGACGAGTGCGGTGTGCCTTGGGTAGCGGAACCAGGGGGTAGAGATGCTGGATATGATCCAGGCCCGTTGAACTTTACACCACCAGCCTCAATGGTTACCAACCTTGCTTCTTCCACATACTGTGTATTGAACGATTATTCCTTCTATAAACCCAGCATTCGTCCAATTGTTCCTGTGGCCCCGACCATGATCTATCAACAGGGCATTAGTTCAAATACTGCGCAGTATCCATCAGTTGGGGCAACTGATGATGAGAGAAGCAAAGTTGATCAAGGAGCGGATTATGACGATCTCCGGTCACAACATCTTCTTTTTACACGTGCCTCAGAACAGCTTTGTTCACCAAAAAGCAAGGGGGAGGCGATTCATCCTCCGGGTTGCACCGAGAAAATTGAGTAAGTCCAATTCCATGTTGCTCCCTGTTTTGTGCTAATATTCAATCCTCAATAGTGACGGGTCTCTCGTTTGCGGATGGGAAAACTGTAGACGCCCTGGTCCTTTTTCCACCAAAGGAAATTTAATGCGACATATGGACTCGCAGCACATCGCCCCACAATCTGTTAAATGCCCAGATAAGCGATGCAACAGGCTCTTCAACAGAAAGGACAACCTGGAGGAACATTTACGACGAGTTCATGGTTGACAGAATTGGGACAGGATTGCTGCCACTTCTCCCGATGGGCAGACACCCGTCTTTGTTAGCATGTTTGCAGGTTCAATGTTCTAGAAACCCTAGAGACTACAGAGCTTTAAAATAGAGATTATTTTATCCTATTATTTACAACTGTGTCGATCACCAAACACCGCTCGCTTCGCCGCATGTGACCCGACATTACTCGCCACCTTTCCCGAGCTTCGAGCTTAGCTGGAGAACTATATTTTTTCTTCTCCTCCGTCAGTAGCATCATCCTCACTCTTCAGCCCTTCCTAGCAATCAGCTTACCTCAATTTGCGCCATGCCGCGTGTATGCCTGGTTTCACAGAGGCATATCCCAAAGCTCCAGATCTCCCTTCTCCCGAGCATGCTGAGGACCGTTGCCACTCGATTTTTATCGATGAGAGTGCGGCAGGCCCGTACTATAAATCAGTCTGCTCTTTCAGCACCTGCAGCTCTGCATTATCCTGCATTCTCTTCGACCTTATTACACACACACACACACACTCACAATTCATTAACGCCCGGCGGCTAGGCCGAAAGGGCAACTATCACTAATCTACTATACATGTCCTAATATATACAGTTCTGTGTCTCATTGGAGCTCATACATAAAACCTTGCCGTATGTGTCATTTCCAGCACGCAGTGTTGCAGCGGATGCTCGTGGGTTAGTAATTTTGTTAGTAGGCTAGCTTGAAGGCGTTTCTCCAAGTGTTCAACATCCTATCTTCGGCAGTTGAAGCACGTCTACCATCTGTAGCACGAGGTGGTTGGTGGCTTAGATCGGAAAGAAAGGGGGGTGATTTATGTTCGTCGGCATGGTCAGCAGACCTCGAGGCGGCCCGTGGCGATGGCGAATCGTATTGAGGCCCGTACTGCTTCTAAGTTCGGTGCCCACTTCTCATTGTCGATAGGTGATTTCCCTCCTAGGAAGAAGGATATGTTCCCTCGGTGGATATCGGTACACTGTAACATGTCCGTCCGGTGTGCAGTCCACTTCCGACATCGAAAGAGGAAGTGCTCCACAGTCTCTTTGGCTTGTCCGCATGCGCACTGATCCGTCTGTGCCGCATTGATTCGGTAGAGGTATCCATTTAGCCTTGCCATGCCTGTTCGGAGTTGTGCTAGTACGCTTGCTTCTTTCCACGACAAGCGATCATATAGTTGCCGTGTGTGTTTTCCTGGAAGTGCTGCGTCCACTCGTTTGACGTGCTTTCCAACGTTCACTGGCAGGCCATTACTGGGGACTGCTTGGGACCGTGCGAGACTCAGCGTGGTTGACTTCATCCTTGGGGCGCGATTTTGCAGGGGAGCATCTTCTTGTGTCGCGGCTCTAGCCTGTTCTTTAGCCAGCCCTAACAGCTTGTTGTCTTCGCTAGTGGGGATCCAGAGGACGTTGAGATAGTTTCCGTTTCTGTGCAATCTTCTTATAAACTTGTACATCCGAGAAACGAATCCCTGGCCAGACTGTTGTTGAGGATTATGTGGTGGAATTACATGATAATATCCGAGGCGCCTCTGCTGTTTCGTTCCCCTTGTTCCCCCGTCCTCCCATCTTTTGGAAGGTGAGCTTTCAGGGGCGCGTAGCATCGAGTCTCAAAAGCGGAAATACCGATATTGTTAGGTTTGCCCGTGAATCCTGCAACCCGTACTTCGGACATTACCGGACTGCAAGTTGTGAATCCCTCGCGCTACTAGCGCACTTCCTCCTCTAACCTGAGATAGGTACTGTACTTATATTTGTTGTTACTAATGATAGGATTTCTTTTTACCTAAAGAAAGAAGATATGGAGAGTTGATTTTGCCCTCAATACATAAAGAGCTTAAACAGGGAATAAAGCAAGACACTAGAAGACGTAATAGAAAGCCCGAAACTCGATGGACCTGCAGAGTAGTGAAAGGTACATCCCGACAGCAATGCCACTTTGCCAATTGTCCTAAATTTTCAAGCCCCGGAACAACCGGAAGAAGGGGCGGTCTGGAAGGTAGTCAAGGCTGACTCAGAGACTGACAACGAAGATCCGGGTGTAGCCAAAGCGGAGGACAACTTGGTGGAAGATCCCGAGTCAGAGGCATTGCACCGGCTGCCAAGCTTAAGTCCATTGTCCAATTTACATGCTGATTTGTCTCCTTGGTGATTGAAGAAAGTGACTAAGCCAGTCTTTTCCACTTCAACCCATGCGACTGACGAATTGTTTTCTGTGCCACAAGCCTCCACACCGAGCACAGGGTAACCATGATGGGTGCCGTTTTTGACTTCGTCCAACACTGTGACTATGTCAGTACCTTTTTGTTGATTTCCATGCGGAAAATTTGCTTACGTGAACAGTCCTCTCCCTTGAGTTGGCTAAAATATCCCGAATGACCCGTACAGCCATGGTTGTCATAAGACCATATCGCGCACTGATTCTCAAACTCAATGACCTCCAGAGTACCGGCAAAAGATGTCCATGCATGAACACTCGCGAGAATTAAACTTATAGAGATGCGCATCTTCTCTATCTTCAGGCAAATTGTAGCAGCTTTAAACTCGAAGATATCCTGTGTGCTGCGTCTCGTGTGCTGTGTTTCTTACCAGGCTTATTTGCTGTTGTGTATCCAAGTGAAAGGACGGATGGAAGCAGAGGCTTTTATAACGACATTTGTAGAATCCTGGGAGGCTTCGAACTGATTGTGGGGGATTAAAATGCTGAGAAATAACTGTGAGTCCTTTGACCAAACTTGAGGTGCATCGAAGACCATTAATTTTGCAGCCTGGGCAGCTTATTGAGGCCTCCTTTACAGTAAATAGAGGCGCGTATCCATTTCCGCCAGCGAAGGCAATCTGACACCTGATCAGTAACCCCTGATGTATCTACGGCCAGAACATGCGGACACACTGTTATCCGATGAAATCCATATATTCGGCAGTGCTTCTCTTCAACAGCTAACTACACCACCACATACCAGTAGCTGACGGCCTTCGCCATCATTTTCCTCGGTGTTGTTGTTTTTGGGGAGGAGGGTGGCGGTTGCTTCATGGTGAGATATTGCGTCATAGAACGGCAATCGTCGAAGGTGAAAGCTTTCAACTTTAGACCTCAACCCTGGGGCTGCAAATTCTGTTTCCGTTTACGACATGGTTGGTGCTGGGGTCTTTTGGGCTGGTCCTGGGAGCTTTCGCGCTCCTTGTGAGGGTCTGACGTATACATAGAGGTAGCAACACATGGATGGAGAGCATCGAAACGCTTTTAGCGATGATATGCATACATGGGTTGCCACCAAGGCAGCGGATAATGCTTCTGGTGTTCAGTTTGTCCCGGCATCACGATCAGATGGCGATTGCTTGCAGAACAGAACAGACCCTATAAATTGCGCCTAGAGACCTTCTCTTATCTCATCTTTCTACTCCCATGGTACTTTGCTCAACTTTCTTCGGCCAAGACCCATTCCACCTTCTCGACACCAGTTTAGCTGTCTCCTACGCTCCTCAAATCGTATTGAATACGACAAGTGCCATGATCAGAACGCGCCTGACTGTTCTCTTCCTTACTACCGCTTGGCTAGCCCTTGCTGGTCTCAGTTCGGCTATTTCTCACTTCGCAAACATCCTGCAAGATCGCGCAAAATCCGACCTCGCCAATACCAATGCCTCTATACTGGATATCACATTCGAAAACCTCATGAAAAACGTCCTTGAAGGCATGGTGGTTGTGGCCCTTCTCTCAGCCCTGTTTGACATTTTCGGTATTATCCTTGTGATTTACCCAAGTTGGCTCCAAGAGAACTGCGAATCTGGACTGGATTACGGCTGCATTCAAGTCGTGCTGAGCTTGGTAGTTGTCTGCGTGGGTGGCTATTTTGCAAGCCGCGTACACGGCTATCAAACTTCTTTCGAGTATTTTGACCGGGCGGGCCAGTTCCATACTACAAGATCATGTATTATGGAGCTGTCGGCGAAGCCGCGTTCGGATCTCTAATGGTCATCGTGTCTCTCGTGTGGGTCTTCGTGTCGGACTGGGCGCGGTCACTAGCAAAGGCACTCAGCCGACTGAAGAGTCAAAGCGGGCTTTCGAAGTGCTTCTCATGGTTAGGGCTGCGTGAAAAAATGAGACAGGAAGCATTTTGAAGAATACCGATGGCAAATGTTCAGATGATTCCAATATGATCCTTTGAAGGGTGATGGGAAGAGAGATGGTATTCTGGACTATTAGATAATTGGGCAGATTGGCGTCCGCAAAGAAGTTTCAAGTAGTTGCTAGAATAATTCACCAATTGAAGTTCCTAGTTAAGATGGAAGCGTTTCCAAAAATTGTAGCTCCAACCAATACTTTCACAGTACGGAAATTGAACCAAATAGTCATGATGGAATGGAGACAGTACATCCAGTCTGCGCCGAATCTATCAACAACGATGAAAAGTGATGCCACAAAAAAGAAAAGACCAATACAAATAGAGCATCTTGCAAAGTTGATGCTTAACGTTGAGAAACTGAATATGCGTTATCTGCAAGTCTCCGGGTTTTGCGTTTCGTTTCTTGTTCCGGTGATACGTCTCTTTGTGGCTCATATTTACGAAGCTCTTGAACTAGTCGTGCTATGCCAAATGGAAGCTTACAAAGAACAGGATCCTTGCAGTTATAAAACATATATAATTCTTGGCTCCCATGTCCTTCCAAGGGATTGCAGGCCCATACCGCTCTGCATACGTTGCACCATTTCATCAAAATACACTTTGAACCTGTTGCTTGGCACCTGATTCCTCGACAAAAGCAATCACATACTCCAGAAGGGACGATGCCATTGCCGGGTATGATAAATGAACCGTTGTTCGATAATGCCCAACCTGAACTCAAAAGTCAACTCAGTTTACGAGATATCATAAGAAAGACCGATGCAAAACTACCAGCGGACATTATTCCTCTCCCGGCTGAGTTAATATACGACATATTGGACTATCTCTCCGTGGAAGATCTCATCTCATTCGCATTTTGTCGATGGGATTTCTTTCAAGCCTCAGTCGACTTCCTAACGCATAAAGTGGAGCCTGCACTCCAAGATCTTGATTCGCTCGTGGAACACTTCAACAAGAAGAATTGGCCAAGACAGTGGCTACGGGACATAGTTCAGAAGTCCGCCAGATCTAAAAGACCGATACTACGGGACTTCGATGTCCTCATAGCACTGTTCGAAGACACAAAGTTGCCTGAAAACGAACTGCGAGATATTGTCCATGCGTGCGCCGATTTCCAATTGCCAATATTGCGCAGCTGTCTTCGTTTTGGGCTCAATGAAGCGGCCAGTGTTTATTTGCTGAGAAACCCACACGCGATTTTCGATACAAATGAGGTTCAAATGACTGCTCTTCATATTTCAACGCTGTCCTGTGCCACGGAATGTATTGAAGCAATCGAGACCATTCTTCGAGATGTGCCAGAACTGAAGCGAGTAGATTATGTTAATCAGCTTGATGATACCAACCAGACTGCCTTTGATTATGCGATGAATATCTCTCCTCTCGCTGTCATTGATGCACTCATCCGTGCAGGGGCTGCATTTGACAATCGCGACCGCCTGGGTTATACACCGCTAATGAATGCCTGCCATTTGGGACGTGATGAAGCCATTGAATGCTTGGTTAATCACGGCGCTGATATCACCGCCCCTAACGTCTTCAACCAATCGGTCTTGGAGATTATCATGACGGGAGATAGCCAAATGAAGCATAGCCTGTTGAAACGCTTAGCCCCGCGTGCCAGCCAGACGCAGCTGAATAGAGCGCTTTGGCATGCAGTCAACAACGAGAGTGAGAAGGAGTTTTTGGGTGTCTTATTAGAGTGCGGTGCAGACCCACAATATGTGGGTCTCTCAGAAAACGCCGTTCGCCTTGATCAGGAGAGTCCTCAATCTTTCGAAAATGTCGCGGGCCGTCCTGGAATACCCGCACACGAGCACTTGCAAGAATTTCGGACAACCAATGTCTCTGAACCACAGATGGCCGCTCCAACGAGTTCGGCTGACGGAGACTTGTCGATTGAAGGCGGAAATGAAGAGCGCGATGATGGCGTTTTGGCCATGATGAAATCCTTGAGCGTCAATGATGGAGCTCGTAAGGTTGATGCTTGGTGCTATATTGGGAAAGGTAGGTTCTCCATCGTGCGCATCGGTCCATTGGAGATGTGTAAGTACATATTTGAGAAAGGAGTGTATGGAAACATTGCTTCTCTCCAAAATGTTTCCGACTCGCGAAGTCGCATATCGCATATCACATACACAGACGAAATGGGACTTCCTCAGCGCCGATATGGACGGGATAACATCAAAGGAATTGCTGGTGTGGTTATTGCTGAAAGATCATCGTGGAAGTATTCCCGAAAAGCCCCGACGATCTATGTCAAAATCAAATGGGTTGGTATTGATCACCGTGATTCTGTGTTGTGCCCCCATAGTTATAGCTGGATCACGAGATCTGATTTTCTACAAATGGTCGGCCGAGCTTTTGGTGATTTCCATATTCAAAGGGCTTGGAAGAGGAAAGAAGAACGATACCGTAAAACAAACCAAGTTGATCTCTATTCAACTTGATCTTCTCGCGCTATAAATAGCTTTTATATCTATTCCAGACATCAACATGGAGTTCTCGCTACTGAGCGTGAAATCCTTCACGCAAAATCCTTTTGAATCACCAACTAGAAGTCAAATGGTGGGATATCAGACTGACATCTCCTTGGCCGTAGCTCGCGGCCTGACTGACAGGGTCTTACTCCGCTTGGTATACGGTGCCGATATTAGTATCCTTTGATGAACAGGGTAATCACCCTGTTCATCGGTCACTTTTTCGAAGTGAAAACTCTGCTATAGATTACATGATGAAATAATGGGATTTAGTCAATGTCATGAATCTGAACGTTCACTTATAACCCCGATATCATCTTAAATACCAACCAATATAGAATGGATATCTCTTAGATTGCAACATCGTGATATAGACGGCTTTGAATTCTGCTCTCAGCAAAAGGCTGCTCCATCTCGGGCTTGGTCGTGGGTCCAAACGTTGCAACGCTGTAGCAAAGATTCGGTTTCTTTGCATGACTAAACTTCAGGGCGTGCAAGACTGGAGCGATGTGACGAAGGGTAGGCCCCCCACAAAGCACACGCACGATCGCAGAGATGGAAATAGCAGGCCTGTGACGACTTGACTTGGTGAAAGCTGGTCATGATAGAATAGACGAACTATGCCAAGTAAATTAGTTCGCATCGTCAAACCTACCATGAAGGCAAAGATCGACTGCGATACAGCATAGGGTCGGGAATTCCTGTGCTCAATTTACACAAGGCAATTTTAGGCCGATGGAGACTTGGATCTGGGTCAAAGGAAATAGTTTATCCCAAATCCACTGTGTCAAGATGCAACACAATCGCACCGATGGATTGATTACCACGAGAAAGGGTCGGACAGCAGTCCATGCAGGTAGGGCAGTATATCCAAGGCCACAGCCGGCAGTAAAATTCCCAACGGAAGCAACGCTGTTCAATGGGCGCTATTCTGTCAGGATGCTGTCTTTTCGATGCCTCATTCGTTTGTTCTTGGATGCCCACTACTAAGCCTTTCCCGTCGGCGATTTCGTGGTCCGGTCGACCGAGACTGTCTGCAAACCGCACTCTTTCCTATAGACACGGGAGGCTTGTGCACGTTTGGTTGTTTACTTGCTCGTCCATTTTGACGTTCATGCGAGATCTGGGTCGAGGAATAGGGTCGGGGACTTGTTGGCCGGACCTGCAGAGAAGCTGAAGAAGACTGCGTACTGCTTACGCGCACGACCCTTTGACAGTAAATAGATGCAATTATTTTTGGACCCACACGCTCCTCTTTTCCTTCCGTCATAGATCCCGACACTTATTTCGATCTATCAAACGTCAAATTGAAATTTACCCAAGCCACAGAATTATTCAGGGAATCTTCAACGATGAAACTAGGCAATTGACTACAGCAAGGCACAATCTAGTTCGACATACGTTCCTTGGCAGTCCGCTTGTGGCACAGCATTGTAAATCGCACGACCCGCGGAACCCTTCCAATTGACTTTCGCTAAACTTGGCTGGGTCGGTCCGTCTATTATCTACGAAGTGGCAACCTTGGTTGAGCAAAGCGTGCGAGCAAAGGTAAATTTCTATGTGGAACTCACAGAGGGAAAGTCTCGCAGCGCGTACGTGAAGTCACCCTGTGATGCGTGAACAAGTTTCTCATTTTAAATCTAGACAGCCCAAAACATGGAGCGTGGACTGCATTCATTCCTTAGTCCTCTTATTACCACATAAAGAACGCTGCGTGGGGAGTTTGGGGGTGGAGGAAGCGGAGCGAACGACGATCAAGCCACCCGGTTGTGGGCCCTGTTACTAACCAAATCCAGCGGCTATGAAACCAAGGTACTGTACTTTTTCTTGCGCTTGCCAGCGAAATTTATTTGTCGATAAAGCCTTGTATCCAAGAATTCTGCCAGAGTGGTACATGAATCGACGAATGGAATCTATCTTCTATTCTTATATGTTGTCATAGCATGGCAATAGTGCGAGGATGCTGTCATGAAGTTTTTCTTTGTGAGGTAATTTATCATCCAAACAATGTAGACCCGCCAAAGTAGGTTCAGGGTTCCATACTTAACGGGCCGCCCTTCACACAAGCGAGCTGTATACATTGGCTGGCGCGGGCTCTTGCTGAGTAACCAGCGACAGATTACCCGATGCGGAGAACCCGGGGAGGTCACTATGACTTAGGGTTCCCAGTGGGCCGCCCTGCTCGGTCCAATCGCCGTGGATCACTCCGGAGCCGGGCAAATAAGATGCCAGTCTGCGGTTCTGGAAGGCCTCAATCGTGTTCCAGAATCGCGTGGTCGCAGACACCAGCTCGCCATGTGTCTGATGTAAGACTAGCTGAACATCGTTCCATGAGACCTGATCCTGCATCGTGGCGTTCGTGGACTCCACCTGCTGCTGCAGTTGACAGAGTTCCCTTTGAAGTCTCTCGTTTTCAGCCACGGCGGTTTCTCTAACCGTGATGGCTTCCTGTAACTTGGAAGTCTCTCTGGCCTTTTCGGCACGCAGCTTTTCCAACAGCTGAGAGTTATGAGCTCTCTCGTCATATTTCTCTGCGAAGGCCAATTGAAGATCCTCTTCAAGCTTGTCCATCATAACGAAACATTTTCGATGAGTGGCTTCGCGGTCTTTCCGCTGGACCTGTTTCACAGAATGTCCCTAGAACTATGGTCAATCAAGAGTGCATAATAAGCCATGCTGAGCGCGGTCGTAGGTACCCCAAAACATAAACAAGCGACGAGGAGACAAATATTAACGTACCGACTCTTTGTAAGTCTTCCGCTTGGGTCTGAGAGCGTCACGGTTCGGGTGAGACGCAGAGACTGCCGATCGAACAGAACAGGGAGACCCAACACGAGATCCCCCAGCACGCGATGTGGCTTTGGAGATCCCATTGTCCGGTCCCCTGCGTGAGCCTTTGGGGTCCCTTGTCATGGTGAGTCTGTGAGAGGGCACTTAATGATTCGGCAAGTCGTTACAGGAAAGAAAAGAGTGCATTGGGTGACCTCTTGGGGAATCGAGCTTTTAAGACCTAAGTTAGGTGGAGAGTCAATAGACAGATTTGAAACAAGGTCAAGACGCAGTTTGTCGCAGCCAAGCAAATGTATCTGCATCAAGATCATGAGCCTAGAAACTGGAGTGGCCATTTCCACACCGGACCCCGTGGAGTGCTAGCGCGAAGCACGACTAAACTGCCATTGGACTGTATATGCAATAATTGACCGGCCCGCACAGAATTCTACATTGACGCACCTAGTGATATCGCAACATCGGTCGCAGCACAAGAAGTGGAGTTGTTCTTGTATGCAAGGAAAACCATTCAACCTCAATATGATGCCAATGCATTTTTCGCCCTACCGCGCTTCGACATGTACTATCTAATTAAACTATAGTGAGTCTCGCCTTTATTTTGAGAGGACCGAAGTTTCAAATCCAAGTTTGATTGACCAATGCCACCGTCGACCATAGTAGGTCGCTACGATATCCCCCTCATAGCTCATCAGTCTTACATTGAAGGATCTAGACTTTGCTGAAACAGGTTAGGAAACCCGAGTGTAGTACCTATGAGGCATTTCTTGCCGCCAAGGCTCATTATCTAGGATCTCCATCCCCATCGATTGTCACCTCTGTGCGACTGAAACGCTGAAATCACACTAGAAGGGAACATGGAACATAGCAATCACCTCCGCCACCAATAAAGTACCACGCGGGAGAAAGAACCACGGCAATCCCCTCTCAAGGCCGAGCTCCCATGGAATCGTGCGAGCAAGCCTCTGTGCCTTAGGAGCCACGACGCAGATATGGTTGGAACAGCTGAAGTGCTGAGGATAATGCATAGCCTGGTGCATCTTTGTCTACTGCCCATCTACTGGGTTTTCTCCAATTATTCCTGCTGTGCTGTTAGCTTCCTTTTCTGTAGTCGAATTTGACCGCTAAGTGGATAATGCTTACAGACAACTAAGGTGATCTCATGCTTCTCTTTGACGTGCCGAGGGGACCAGAGGAGTATTTTCTGGGTCATAACAAAAGCCGAGAGACTAATTGAAATTGACATTATGGGCCTGAGCATGCGTAGATCCGGTATTCTATTTCCCAGGCACACCAGTAAATGTCCATACGTCTGTCAACCAGAGGCAATTATCAGTAGATCGTTGTCACCTAAAGTTAGTGCATAGCTAGCCATGTTATTGTGATCACGACTCGCGCCTTGGCTGTCGGCCCCTTGACTAGTAATTTGAACAGTGAGTCTGAGCAGAGGCCTGCCGATAAGGTGTCTGACTGGTTCCGAAGCCCAACTCTAATCTTACATGTATAGACGCATTTTCTCACCGACTGAGCGTTTCCATGGTCCAAGATTTGTCATTCGTGCCATCCGGATGGTTTTTGTAGATCTTGCATGAAACACATGGCGAGGTGGTATCTGCGACCACGCGGTTCTGGAACGCGATCGACGCCTTCCAGAACTACAGGCTGGTATCCTATTTGCCAGGCTCCGGAGTGATCCACGGAAACTGGCCCGATCAAGGCGGCCCGCTCGGAACTCTGTCACTGCGCTCCCTAGGATTCTCCACATCTGCCAATCTCCCGCTGGTCACTCAGCAAGACCCCGCTCCAACCAATGCCTACGATTCGCTTGTGGTACAATTGTAATATACTAGACAAATCCATTCCTTGATTTAGACACCGAGATCTTTCAAAGGCAAACTTTTTCGGGGGTGAATTTCTCTGGCGAGCAGAGCAGTGAACGCATTGGTTCCCTGGCCGCTAAATTTAATAAGCAGAAGGGCCCACAACCCGGCCACCTCCGCCACTTAAAATCCCCATATATTTTTCTTTTCCCAAGCGAAAAGGGACATAAACTTCCATGGTTCATCTATGACGATGGTTCTCACGCATTACTTACAAGACCGTAAGTTTCAGACTCTGCTAATATTTGGCTCTGCTGCGAGCTGCGCATAGAGATTTAGAATTTGCTCGCAGATTTCGCGTGACTTCGGAACGCGCTCGCCCCTCCCCAGATAACGAACGATCGAAAGGAGCAACGTACAAACCGATATCATTTGATTCCTGCCAGTAGCCGAGCCAAATATAATAAAAGTCAATCGTATGGGTGCCCGCGGATCAAATGATGCACAGTGCTCTGCCACAGGCGTCGACTGCTACGCAACGTAGCAATGCGCGGTATTCATTCACATGTTTTGTTTGCGAAACATTCTACGAATATCGCCTTGGCTTTGGTGATTCTCAAACTCGGCGTTTGATAACCTAGCGTAGATCTTAGGGATCTACGAAGCGGGGAAAAGAGGAGCAGGTGGGCTAAGAAATGATTGACTAGCGCTGAAAAGCTTAAATGGCAGGTCCTCGTGTTAGTTTGCGAGGTCTAGCCGGCCAAAGCAAGAGCCAACTTTCTACACCAGCGACCCAGTCCGGAGTCTGTCATGTTCCATAGCCATACTAATGTAATACGTGGAGGATGAGAGCCTAGCAATATTTGGTGCTAGGTGATGAGGTACATAGATGTGATATTCACACCTGTTCCTGGAACAGAAGCTTTCAACAAAAGCTGATATAAGAGTCCAATCACAAGAAATCAAAAACAATCACGTTCTAGCTGAAATGGGGTCTAGGAACGACGCGTGCGCCTAGTCCTATTACCCTCGGCCGTATTGTTCTCTCTATCTTTGGCCGTCATCTCTATAACTGCCTCTACAGCCGCCAGCCGACTGCGAATCTCGTCCAGGTCACTGCGGATAGCTTCATTCCAGGTGGTTTGGTTGCTCAGTGAGTTCTGCATAGACCTGAAATCATATTAGCGGTGTAGTTCTCTCCGGAAGGTGGCAAAGCTAACTTCATTCGGGTGTCGAGTCTGATGATTGTAAGCAAGTAGGCTACAAAAATTCATTATACGGCAGACTCTGTTACTCACTCTGCAATGCATTGGAAAGCGATTATGTTACGTTTCCCAGAGAGATCTGGCTCTTGTGGCAGACTCAGCTCCACTCCAAGTCTTGGACCTGAATTACAGTCATGTCGAGCGTCATCCTCGACTATGTTTACGGCGTTGCCCCGTCTCTGACGGCTAGAGTGGTCATCCTCTTCCTGAGTGAACTCGTCGTCCTCTGTGGTATCACCCGCAGCCGATCTTAATGGGCTCCGATGATCCTCAGACTCGGAGGATGACAAGGATAACGCACGATGCAATCGACTCCGAAAGCTTTCTCGTCGATCGGGGTGGGGAAATTTTCGAATGGCAGTTATGCTTGCAGGCGAGTAGTGCTGAAATGTTAGAACGAGTTTCCACAACTCTACTACGTTTCATAGATAACGCCTCGGTCTTTATAAATTCTGGCTCGTACGACCGGAGCTGAGCCATCCGCTTGTTCGCAACAAAAGATTACAAGGCCCACTTTCTTCCATCCATACTTTCCGCATTCGTCGCTTCAGTCTTTGGACAGTTAGTCACGAGAAACATTCAATTAAGGCCGTTGACGCTTATCGGTAAAGTCAACTGGAATTTCCAACGAAAAGAGCGGTTTTCTATGCAACGTCTCTTTGCTCTATTCAATGCAACACATGATGAGGTTCGGGTTGAGAACTCGTTATTGCGTTGAGTGAGTATTGTTGGATCTCACCAACCAGGTTTCCAACAGTACGCCGACGAAGTGAGACGCCTTGAACTTCAACCTCCGGACTTAGTTGAAATGGTGGAAAGTTGAAACGCGGGTCCGATATTACAGTATCTAGACTCACTTTGGTGGCTCACCAGATGGACCTATGGGTCATAATCGAGCTTTGGGTAATGTCTTGCGAGGCAGCGGTATCCTGCTTAGCTTTTAAGTGAGTCCTGGAGGAAGTTTAGACCTCACCATACCCATCTAAGTGAGATTCACCGTTCTGCCATCATCTTGACTGGCCCTATCACTGCCACTATTTAAGAAAGAGCATGTCTCCGCGTAGCACGGTGGGCTGGCCCGAATGGGAAGAAGAAAACCTTCTCCCCTGGTTGGATGAGAATCGGACCTTGTCGTGGAAAGCCCTGCAGGACGCATATTATGAACAGTACGGGGTGAAGCGAAGCCCTGATTCTCTCCGAGGGAAGATGTACTATATTCTGCGAAAGCAAAGCCCTAGGGTTGCCCGACCTTCTGAAGATCCAGGCCGCCGAAAACGATCAGGGGCCATTCGCCCGCGGGTGGGAAATAGGCGCTCACGGCCAAAGCTTCCGAAAAAAAGTGTGGCCCGAAGCAACATCGACCGGTGGTTTGAGACAATTCTTATGACCGAACCTAGCCCTACCGACAGCGGCGACTCAACAAAAACAAAAGGATCAAGATCAGGTACGAACCGGCCTTGATATATCACTCGGTGCTGACTCTCATCATAGAATGCACAACGTCGGTGCCCACCTACTTAGCGCCTAAAGAAAACCAGTCGTCGGCTTGGATGTAGGAATATATACATCGTGTTTGCGCGACTGGGAAGCTAGATTTCTAGAGTGCGTAGTATAAACTGATTGTGAGAAGTTATAGGAGAGCAACAGTTCAATGTTATTTAAGCAGCGCACAGGTTATAGGATGATACTATACAAAAACAATACGTGACTATATGTAAATTCAAATAGCACGCGTCAACTTGCGGAATAAATCAGAGACAAGATCAGTCTTTAGGCATTGAATAACAAAAATGAAAGACTGTACTGCAAACTATGCTGTTCGAATATACTCACTATTGTACTTCATTTCATCCAATGTTCTCTACATACCTTGTTAGCCTAGATAGGATCGTCTTGGAACGAGACTCGCTTTCTCTTGCGTCGCTCAGGCAGGAGTGGCTACAGAGCGATGACCGTTTGTTTAAGATCCTCCACCTCGCTCTTTAAACTGCGGATATCGTCGGCCAATTTTCTCTTAACTAGTCGTTTAGCAGCCTTGTTTTCCGACTGCCTGCATTGCTCTATCTGCTCCTCTCTCACGGCTGAACTTTTGAAGGGTCCTTGCTTCACTTCCCCTGACGTTCTAGACATAGCTGATTAGAATTAAGAATCGGAGTTATATAGTCGAGAAAGTATTCACTAACCGGTTGTTTGCACATGTTGTAGGCTTGTATAGCCTGCATGGTGAAGAATCGACCAGTTCCATTTCTCGATCGGGTTTGTGTGGAGCCTTGCTGCTGTGGCGGCTTCCGAGTTGCTCTTCCCTGTTAGGTAGTGCGCCTTCATGCGCTATTTGAGTTGACAGAGGCATTTCAGATTGGCGTTCTATTGTAGCTTGGTATCGAGAATTTTCTTTTGCCCTAGCTTCATCTTCGAGAGATTTGGCTAACCAGGCAATATATTTGCCTGGCTGAAAGGCAGGGGTCTTGGTTGCGCGATTCGTCATCCCGAACGTTATATCCGTCAAACTAGATTAAAAGAGTAGCTGAGTGACTTCTCAGGGAGTAGGCTGGCAAAGAAAATTTTCAAAAGGAATGAATTTAGGTCGGAGGTCAAAGACATTACGCATTTTAGGTGCGGGTTTAGAGATTCGCGGGATCATTATCTTCTTACAGTACTATTCTTTCGCAGAAAATTGCTAGAAATACTCACCGCAGAAAACGCAGAGGTTCTAGATAGGTGATTCTCATAGAACCAAGGGGCAGTACCTCTTGGCGAGATTAGGCCAACCGCGGGTCAGCCAAGGCGTACGTCTACCGAGGATGGTAGAGAGGCCTCGGACAAAACTCCATTTAATAGTGGCACTAGGCCTAAAGAAGTAACTTATACAGTGATGCGAGAACAAATTTCTCATTATAAATCAGACGAGCTATAGCATAGAGCATAGGCTGCATCGATTCTTAAGTTCTCTTGTTGCGAAAAATAGGAAAGCTATTTAGGGAGTTTGAAGGGCGGAGAAAGCGGAGCGAAAGACGACCAAGACCCACCCGGTTGTGGGCTCTGCTACTAACTAAATGCAGCGGTCGTTAAACCAAGGTACTCTGTGCTGCGCTTGCCAGCGAAATTCACTCCCCGAAAAAGTCTGACATCGAAGGATTATCTGTTGGAGCGGAACAAGAATCAACGAATAAATTTATCTAGGGGCTATCCTCGTGCTTAACAGGATGAAATATGTTCTGTGTTCTGCCCGATATTTAGCTATATATGTATGTCGGCTCAGGAAGTATGTGGTGCTACAAGAAATATTCGCTGTATAAGTAAGATACCGAAAGTAAATCGATCATCCCCTAGCATTATGTATTGAAATTTGCTTGAAATATTATAGTATTGCTATAGAAACGTACCCGTAAACATCATAGTCTAAATAAATAGATAGGATACACCAAACCCTCGACGTCATAACCGCATACGCTTCTGCCCCAAGGCGGATTCGATGAAGCGTATCTTCCTCTTCGTGGCGCGCACGCACCAACAGTGCCTTGCCGGTGGCCATTGTGGCGTTTGATGGTCTGCCCGGCCAAAGTGAGCAAACGCTTGTTGCTCGTCGAGGAACTCCTATATAGACTTCGGGAAGCCACCGATCTTTTCACAACATATACTGTTGGCAATATTGATTGAGAACCGTTCTTCAAGACTAGCAACGTGAAAGGCAACGCGTTTTCTGAAATATCCACAAAGTTGACAGCAATCGGCTGGATCCACAACTCCCAAGGGATGGTCCTGACCAGCCTAAAATTTCGCACCAGGGGTCTCAACTAAGACACGGGCGAGGATCTCGCCGGCTCCAGGTCGTAAACAAAGGATGGACCCTTCGCAATGATATCCAACGTGGCTAGGAACTAGAGTTGCATCTAATTCGAAGAAGAACATTGCTAATGCGAGAATGGTTCTCACGAGCTCATCTAGAACCACAAAATTCATCTTGGAGAACTCCTCCAGCGCGCTAATATCGTCCAGTTCGGGGAGTGGACCATAGATGGCTTGATCGAGTCGGAATACATCTAGTTTCGAGTGATGCGGTAGGTAGTTCAGGGCTTCAAAAAATCCTTGCTGTCCATCCATAGAAGGGGAGGACATCATGGCGCGGAATAGTCGAGGGAGAGCTCCATCCCAGGCATTGCCATATCGTGAGTCATGATCGGGGCTAGTCGTGGAAACCCCTGTTCCTACCGATAATAGGAGATCGTGTCGTTTCGAGCTAGGCCAAATGATGCCCGACTCCCTTAACGCAATAGCAAGCGGATTATTCGCGCGGACCCCGCCGTCTTGCAAAGGGACGAAACCTAGCAAGCGTCTTGTCTAGAAGTAGCTTTGCAATGTCAGCTGCAGTTATCTCAGGATCCACTCACAGTTCTACACTTACAAGGGAGCCGCAACACTACACATGGCTCTACCGAAACACAAGAATAGTTAGCTATATCCGATTCAAGGATCTGGTAGGAAGAGGCCGACTTACACATCCGACAAGGAAGGATTTTCTTGACTGCTGTTGGGGACCAAGAACTGGTAGGCGGCCTTCGCACTGCGCTGACCGATGCCTCGGTAATTTGCCAACACGCAGGCCTTTCCGTCGGACGTACGACTTGCCACGACGGCAACCCGGCATCCTACAGGGCTAGCCGTGGCAACATCAAATATACGACGCTCCGGGGTGACCGCCTCCTTCAGGGTTTGCGACAGACTTACCGAGTCATAGAGGCCGGTGAGCATCAAGTTGAACGCAGACGCGAACCACTAAACGAAGCGAGGAACCGGGATCCGTGACCGCTAAAAGATTCTTCGCGCTAGGTCCGGGAACGCTCGCAAACAGTCCTCCACAGAAGAGTTGTTGAAGAAGATATCGATCGCCGTCAATACGCCTAAACAGTGAACACTATTAGCACGTTGGTCGAAAGGAAATTTATTCGGCCAAGGATGGTACATACCGACACTAGTTCCAAGGCACAAGTCCGGGAGAAATGCGATCGATACGCCAATGCGCTTCTCTAATACTCGCAGAAGCCCCAACTAGTACAAGCCACGGACACCACCACCATCGAGACTAAGGATCACCGGATACTTAGTAGGGGGTAATTAGCGTATGCTAACGGCAAACTTTTCGTCGCACACGGGGCATTCAGCCACGTCCCAAAGATACTCCCCGAGAGAACTCGACTTGCCGAAAATCACGACACAGGTGTCGCAGAGTGCGTGTTTGCATAGCATCATATGCTCGGGCGGACGAGTCAAGCATACAAAGCAGGTCGAGGTGGAGCGAAGACCACCCCATCGGCGAAAGAAGCGACGAAGTACATCTTTTCGAATGGTCGCGGATATATTATAGGAGTTCAATTGCACGAATTACTACTTAAACCCGGTTAAGATACTCTCGCAATAGTGGTTGGAGGAACCGTCCTTCGAGATCTTGACACAATGCTTCTCATAGAGTGCGGCAAAGACGAGGGTTGGGGAAAAACCTATAAATGTCATTTAAGAAATCCAAAGTGAGGTTGAGGCTCTTACCGTGCATTCCTAGGGGGTACGCATCCATCAAGAAAGCAGAGACTACAAATTCCTACATATGTTCTTCGGGACAGCCGGAGGATATCAATGCATACGCGCTTTCCCGAAGACAATCGCTCATTGATTCGTTTCTGGGATAGCCTCTTCGGGCTTGAGCCAGGAGATCAAACTGTGGTGCATTCAAAGATCGTCTGTAACCTTGGACATAAGAATTCCAGAACGCACCGATATGAGATACCGAGAAACGACAATAAGTAGAGTCTTGCTGAGTACGAATGGTGGCTAGGTGCTCACGAATAAGGTTGCGGAGTGGTTCGAAGGTGACCATGTCGGAAAGGCCACACCTTTGACGTAGATCGAGAACTGTAATCCCCCAGGTCTCGGCAACTTCATGGAAATTGGCAAGCATACTTGCTGCAGAAACGTTGGGGCCTTCTCGCTTGGTCAAAACAATGACTACCTGCATAGAAGCAGGAACTGGGTTGCCGCCGATTGCCAGCTCTCGGAGTGGTTGTTGGAGCAGGTTTTGTGCGGACTGCATGTCCGATTCCGAATCTACAAACAGGCACAAAACTTAGGTCCACGGTAAGATGAGTTGTTTTTTCACTTCCTAGTGTAGTTTTACCGACGGATAGAAACTATCTGCATCCGGTATAGTGAATTTTCGATGTCTTTTTGTGGAGTGTTTCAACCACTTTGAATCTCCCAGGCTTTTTTCGAGACATAAGCTACTCTCGGCGAACAAGATGGGATTTTCTGTATTTCCGGTTTTCACGCTGAGGTGAAGACGAACTAATCCAGCGGGGCCTTTGCGTGTGACATTGTTGTGAGGATAAAAGACTCGCAGGGCTTTCAGGCGATTTGAGCTTCCAGCAAAGTAGACCAAACATGGATATTGGCGTTTGGGATATGGCATGCCCTGCACCAGCTCTTCCAGACGGCCGGTATCCACCAAAGTCCAAGCTTCATCTTCATTAACAAGATCAAGCCATGCTGCCATTGGGCCGTCTGATCATTTGAGCAGCAGATGGAGAGTTAAGGCTATCTTTATACCGAATGACACCAAACTAAATCCGATGGGTAGGACACCAAATGTGCCGCAAGCCGCACAAAGATAATAATATACTTCTTTTTTTGCCTCAGGTGTTGAGACTAAGCATAAAAGAGGAATGTGAGTATCGTTTGAAAACGTTCATATCATTACGCTGCCTTAACAACGGTCGGTGAGCCCTGTGTGCAGCACTTACCATTTTCTGTGCAGTTTCAATTTATTTTGCAAAGAATGGCCATCATATATTGACCGGTTTACTTCAAATACAAAGTCGCGGGGATAACGAAGATAGACGCTTGGTTTCATCGCATCATGCAAAAGGTCAGATGCATGATTATAAGTTCCGATGGCCCGCGTCGGTATCTCGAATTCATAATACCTCTAGAGATTCTCTAACACCATATCTATATCTGGTCTCACGGCAGTCTGTCATGCCTAGATTTGCCAAATCAGGTATTCCTCTTCCAAGGAAGCCTGCACGTATCCGCAGCTTCCCCAATGATGGCTGTATTCCCTCAGTGTCAAGCACGCCCTTGCGTATTGGTTGCACCAATGAGACCACATATGCGAGAATGCTTAGAGAAGAAGAAGAAGTAGATCTGATCTTCAACGTCACTGTCAGTGCAGCCAACTGGGCTCTGCTTGCCGGCTATCTGGTAGTTCCTGGCACATTTACCTCTCTTCAAAGCTCAGGGCAGGTGGAGCATGCTTTACAAGCCAACAAAGCCGGTCGGACGGTGTTACACACGATCCAGAATCCTCCATTACTCTCTATTGCCTGTTGTCTCCTCGTCGGTGGTATTGCGGCTTTCATATGGCTTCTCCATTTTGCGAAGCTCAGAGGCAATTACATATGGTTGATCAATAAGCTCTTCATGTAAGCTCTTGCATCACAGACAAATATCAGTCAAGACGACTGGGACTAACTATTCAATAGGCCAGTGTCGCTGAACGCTGTTGCTGAGATGTTAACCACAATTATCAACGTTTGTGCATCCCAAGGAGGAGATTGGTCCGTCATGGCCATTGTAACAACAGTCGTTACTGGAACGACTCTCCTTATCTCCCTGGCCCTGTTGTGTTTTTATAAATTCTACTTGTTGGAGAAGGTTAAACAGGAAGACGCGGTCTTGACACATGTTTTGCCTTCGTCAAGATCACAGCATTAAGTCGAGAACCTGGTATTAACCCGATCATGGCCGATGAAGAAAATTAGAAAAAAAGGAAAACGATAATCGGCTCTTTTGGATCTTTTCATACTGTCATTTACTTCTGTTAAACAAGCTCCGGAGCAAGAAAATTAGAAAATTACAAAGAAACAGCTTTGTCTCTGCGCATGATTAAGATGATATATTGGTTTTTTCAGATGAATATAAGTTTTGAGATTGAAGGAGGCTCGCCACTGTGAGATTGCATTCTGCCGCTATAGAGCTCGGTGATGTATGTTTGTTGTAGGCAAAGCACTGCAGTAACAATCAATATGAGTTCGTAAACACCTTATTTTGGGAAAAGCAATTGAGAACTAGGCTTCAATGTAAAACCTATCCTCCGACAGGCATTCCTTCTGACATCTCGTCGGCAAGGTGTTATCTGAGTCGAGTGTTCCTAGCACTGCCGCAATTTAAAAATTGTAGATAGACAAAACATTGCGTGCTGCCGCAAAAAGTTTTCTTCTCATGATTGAATCTTGGCGCTTGATATATATTGTGGGTGGTCTGGAGCAAGGTATAAATAATGCTAATGGAGCACATCTACTTTCATGCATGAAAAGATTTCGCACCGATCGACGGCCATGACTCCCAAAACATTCAAGGTTTCAAAACATGGTGTTGGCAAGAAATCCTGCCCAAGAGCGACTGGATTCAGTAATCGTATCAGGCATGATCAATTAGAGCAATTGGTGATGGGCGATTTATTATCTCAGGAAGAGACCAAATGTGACACGGAACAACCATCCATCTCTTATCATCATGAAGCGCAGCGCCCAGAGGAACGCCACCATGATCCGTTCTACCGAGGCGAAATCCACAGCACTCGAAAAAGGGATTTAGTTCCAGCGAGTGACCACGTGAGGGAGTCAAACGTGTCTGGCGATATTGAGATGAGCGAATCTCATCCACATCGCCGAATTAAAACCACCAAGAATTGTTGCACTCTGACAGATGATGAGGAGGCAGAAAAAGCAATAGGAGATGCAGCGTGATGCTCTTGTTTTGGTTCATTGCCTTTCCTTTCGTCGCACTTCTTTTCTCAGTGTGAGAATCGAAATTTCGAGCCACACATTGAGAGATGCAGAGAATAGAATGTACTTCCCTGTCTCAATATCCATACAGTATTACATCATCTCCAAAGCTGTTGGAACCCCTGAATAGTCCTGCAACTCAGCTTTTTGTTTGACCGTGTCTACGACACGGGGCGTTCCCTTTTATTCAACGCAAACATCACCAAAATATCTCAACAGGACATAGAGAAAGAACACAGCGAGAATGGTGAAGGTGAGAATGGTGAAGGTGAGAGTGGTGAGAGTTGTGAGAGTGGTGAGAGTTGTGAGCGGTAATCACTAAGACAAGCCGGTCCTCAAGAGCTATTCAACAGAGCATACGGTTGAATCATCCGAAAGGGCTGTGCAGTTGGCTTTTTCTGGGTTGACAAAGGCTGACTGGCCCAACGGCTGCTGCTCGTCCAAACCCTAACATTTCGATCTTATGACACAGGCACAGGCGCCGGAAATGTAGTTTTCTATAAGAGTAGTGATCGGGTGGTTCAAGACAATTGACTTGAGAATATCAACCGATTCGGGAATCATACAGTCTCCATAACTTTATTCGTACATTCTACTGTAGCACTAGGGGCCGGAAAAAATTCGTCTGAAAGTCTGTGGCCCCCGGAAGTCTAGTCCCTGGAAGTCAACTTAGACTTGAAAAAATATAAAACCCGAGTGCTGCCCCGAACTTAAACATGAATTTTTTAGTGCACCAACCTTCACACTCCATTGTCTGGTCTCCAGTCACTCATACAAGATAGGTTTTGGACACAAAGATCGGTCTTGGCTGGCTGCCGCAGAACCAAAAGATTTTACCTGCATTCTCAGAGCACAAGGAAAAGCTTTGACAGCCACATATAGTACGTGACGGAGAGGCCTATTGTCTGGAAGTAATTTATCGATTCCGACACGCCCGCTGCATCCTCATTCCGCATCACGTCTACCCGATCTGCAGTCCAATCTCGGTTAGTGCTTTAACTAGGGATGTTTATGCCTATTCACTAACGTAACTTAGTATCAGGATGTTTCCATGCAACAATGAGATGATCGGAAAAGCTTCCATTGCATGTCCTGGGGAGGAGATTGCCCCGGCTGGAAAATCTGACGCAACTGGAGAGCTAGATTGGAATACTGCAGCTTTACCTTTGTCATTAATCATTCCCACATTTCCCCTTCCGTCTCTTAGCGCACCTGTCGTCACTACTGCATCTTCTGCCAGTGCAGCTGGTGCCCCCGTTCCAACACTCTTCTCGCCCAACATGACAATGGAGGGATCCGCCAGTAGGGCGGTTCCCAATGCCGCGCGATTTTGGGCGTTCTTCGTGGTGTTTCTTCTCATGAAAAATATCCTCCTACGCAGTTGGTGATATCCTAAGTTATGGTTTGATTCATATTACTATCGTCTGGTATAGCTGCGCTTTATGTACAATAAATGAAGCGTCTTCTCGATTGTACTGCACTTCCTTTCAATATGCGAAGGTGCAAATTCTATTAATATCACTTAATTTCGAAAAATGATCTGCGAAGCTTTCCAACCCATCACATTTGCGAACTTACAGCTTATCCATAAACATCATATCTAAGCGTTCACTATCGTGCGAGACAAGAAAATACAAGTGATCCGTGAGCCTTGACCGAAGTCGTCTTCAGTTTGAATCAAATGCACAGCCAGGCTGTTCTTGCTCTCTGCTACATTCTGGAAGGCAGTCGTAACCCTACCGCTGTCCGGGTCCATACCAAGTGGATTGGGGTGAATGCCACTCTGGGCTAGAAGCAGATTTCTGACCCTATATGAACCCATCCGAGACGCCCACCATAGCGACGTGTTGCCATACTTGTCTTGAGAGTTCAACTCTAGACGGCCGTCAACGAGAACTTTTTTGGCTACATCATACAGATCATTCATAGCAGCATAATGGAGTGCAGTTCTTCCATCGTTATCTTGCAACTGAACGTTGACACCTTGCTGTTCAAGGAGTAAAAGAGCCGTTTCTTCCTGTTTCCACTGTGCTGAGACAAAACCTCCAATGTTCGTCTCATTGACATCTGCGTGCTCAACCAATAGATAATGGACAAAATCAATGGCGCCGTATTGAGCAGCCCAGCACAGTGGTGGTGAAAGATTGCCAAATCCTGCCCTTCCAATCCAGTCTCGTTGGGCATGCTCTAGATACGCCAGTTGGCCCGCAGTTGGTTTTTTGGCTTGAAACACTGCCTCTTTGAAAGGCGTCAACCCATTTTCATCAGCTGTGAGGCCGTTGGCTCCAAAATGTAGCAGTTGTCGCTCTACTTCCACGGGGCCTCTGTAAGTGGCATGCCACAACGCTGTCCGTTCCGCGGTATCGGGAAGATTCACATTTATATCATCATGTCGAAGCAGGTTGGCAACAATATTGGTGTGTCCATTACATGCAACGTAGATAAGGGCGCTTGATCTTTTGTGTCGGGCGTTTATACGTAGTTTCCGGTTTCTTAACAAAATTCCGGTAACAACGTCAGACCCATGTCGAGAGGCCACTGTCAGTGGTGTTCGACCTTTAACTTTCGAACTGATGTTTGAAAACATAACAATGGAGGGCTTTCTTTCCCAACTCGCCGTGATTTCCTTTTGCTGCCCAGGGAAGTACACAACTTCTTTGGTGCTTGATATTGAACTTGTAAAGGCTTCGATTGAGCGAGGAGTATAGTGCTTTACTAGCTTTGGTAAGATGGGAAATATTGGCTGCTTTTGATAGACAGGCGAATATGCGAATGAGCACCTCAGGGGGAAGAGCTGACAGCCTGTTCTGGAAGGTCTTCACTATGCGTGACTGGTCGAACATCTATGGGCACATGATCGAGCGGAACGTATCATTATCGTTGAAAACCGTCGTAGAAAATGAGCTGAAGACTGACTTGAGAGTAAGCAACAGTGAAGAAGGTTTTTACGTTGTAATTATGATACTCAGCACTAGAGAGATTATATTCGTTTTGCAAGCCGTGTGAACCGGTATTCTTTATCTGCGTCCTAAGGGTATTTAAAGCCCCTCGTATACTATAAGGCGAATAGCATTACAGTATAGGCAATCAGAAACTAGATCAGCTATGGTAGTCTCTCGATAACGAGGTAGCGCATACACGACATAGCGCAAAAAAAGCAAAGGAATGGGGCTCTCTTGCATTTCTGGGTAATGTAAATGCGGTATGTGAGGCCTTCAATAATATTGTATTATTGGCTCCCGGGAAGCAGGGGGCTCCTAGGATCCATAGAATCCCGTCAGAACTAATGGGGTCGCCACCGCCTCATGTTGGTGCAATTTGTCAAGGATATACATGGAGCATACAGGGCTGATGGAGATATGATCTGCGCGGGACCCACGTGGTGTATATGGGCTCCCCTGAACGCGAGGAAGCTGCCTCTCTTTTGCTTCCTCGCGCTACGTCTTGTATCTGGAATGGACAATAGCTTTTGTTAATATTGATTATTCAACTACGCATACGTGAGATCCTCACACAATTGAGGCTATCTTCGAGGAGCCAATGTAGTTATTGAGGGGCCGTAGTAGTCCCAGGACTGCCGTACATTGGTCCTGGCTCATAATATCTATGATAATGCGGCTACGTGGTCTATGCGGGGTAAGTTTGCGGGCAATACAAAATATAAATATGCTTGCTTGAGTAACAAGCGCTTCTTTCTATTTTCAATACACTGTACCTAGCGGTCTACTTTCAGTTCCTTTCACAAGTGAGGCCTTTGATCTCATTATATCCTTTTCCTGCTGTGAGTACTTTTTTGTTTACAATTTTCTTTTTGATCACTATAGTATACACTGGTTTCCTATTCTGCGTGGACTGGGCGCGTCACTAAAACGGGCACAGAGCCTAGTGAAAGACAAGATCAGATATCGCAACATAACAGCCGATTGGCGTGAAGATAACCAGCCAATCCCCCCCAAAAATGAACCGACCCGCCGTCCAGCTTCACTTATCTAATACTGCCCTCGGCCGAGCCGCCCATAATCCGATGGCTAAGAGCGGTTTTACCACTACAATCAATGAAGGCTGTGTTTTCAATGCCCCTTCATCTGTGAGACATTTAGGCCTGCGGGATCCAGCTGTTTCAGAGCCTTACTACAGAATGGCTATTCCTGTATAGTTGCCATGTTGCGTTGATGATTGAAAGCCCAATTTCTGACACTACCAACAAGACTAGTCTACCACCACCGCCAAATTTCAATCTTACTTCCCTTGAAAGAAACAACAGCGAGCCACACACTTTTCATGAGATGCTGCTGGTATTAAATTACCTCTTTATCTCTTCATTGCTTCCCAAAGATGAGGGGGCGTTGTGGAAAATCATATGCCGCCGCGCTTGTGATTGGGAGAAAAGTTTTATCTTGCAATACGACAACCTGCACTATTGGCTAACTAGCGCGCGCAATGTTTTGTGCACATATAAAGGTCCGCATACAATGTCTCTAGAAGATGTGGAATTGCAAGCGAGGTATTGTATTTTCTTAATCGGGCTTCATACTGTACCTGAATCAAGTTTTCTTGCCGAGTGCTTTCAAAATGGGAGATCGCCATATCGGCCTTTTGGTGTACGGGCAAGCATCGCACTTCTTTGCCTTGTTTTTGAAGGAGTCCAAGCCGCGGAGATTAAGGGCTACGAGTCCGCAAATATTTGGGCTTGTGACCATGGCTTCCTTTCCACCACGTTTGATCGTCTGCAACAATCTCCGCTTTTTGAATCGGAATATTCAATGCAACGTCTACAGTCTGCGATACTGAGTCTCCAGCAAGCTTTCCAAGAAGAGGAAATTCGGGTCGCTTCAGTGACGCCACAGATTATCAATTTTGCAAGTCAAACCGAAGTATTGGGTTACTACCGGCAAGCTTTCTTAGCTTTGGACCCGATGCTTTTGCCAGATATTCTGGCTGTCATGGAGAGTGCAACTGAGACATCTGTATCGTCCAGAAAGCATCGGCTTCTGGACATGAAGGATAGGCTAGACCGAGGTTGGTGAAACGATCGCCATACTGTTGCTTTCATTGACTTGAGTGCAGTTACTCTGGCTTTTCAATTGGCTGATATGTTTCACGGCACCTGTCCAGCGGAATGCTTGGACTTGGCTTTCAAAAAAGTCGCGGCCCTTCGGCAGTCAAAGCCTGACGAGATTGTCGTTTCCGAGATGTTCCATGTTAGAGAATTTGAAAAAGACTACAGAGGTAACATACTTGGTGAGTCTTCGGTTTCCTGGGCCCCAAAGCAGAGATTAACAAATTTTGAAGCTCCTTCCTACGTCTTTGCTTTCCATGTGTCACTTTAAGCTTTCAAAACCCTCAACCCCCCTGAGGGAACGAGTGGCAAGGTCTTGGGAAAAATGACCGTTGAATTGAAAAGACTGATCACAGAGGCTTGTGACTACTAAAAGTAAAAACTATTCGGAAGATTAGATTTGTCATTCATTCACACTCGAATATGAGTTTTGCAGTGGATTCCTTGGTTTTGACATACAAAGATTGCAAACTGGAGAACATCTCACATCTCATCGTCTTCCCAAGAGTACCATAATACAAGGTACCTGGTAACCTCATGTTCATCCTGGGTGACCGAGTGCTTCGCGATTGTTTTGATAGCAATCTTCTCTCCCTATGATTGGTTTCACTTGCTTAGTGGGTTCATCCGAAGATTTTTGCGCTCACTTACCTTTACGCCGTATTTCCCATCGCATCGACATGAGGCACAGTAGTAAGAATTGAAACCTTCGGTCGACCCAGCAGAGGCGTCAGAGAAATTTTCTGTGTCCGACACGATGAAATCTCGGTCCTCACTTGTCTCTGAGGGTATCACGGACGATTTTTCGGAAGAAGCTGAACAGGTGTCCTCGGATTCCCAAGACAGCAGCATATTGTCGTTGCTGTTCATGTTGGTCAAAGAAAATATTGTCGAGGAGGGCGCTCAGTTATCAATGCTGGATGAATTGTTAAACATTTGAAGATTTTTGTTCAGGATCCAGCTTTCTTATATTCGTAGGAATTAAAGTGAGGGCTTTTTTAATCAACCCTAAGAGACCGCGGATTTGGAAAAGTATGTTCAAGTTCAGGTTGTTCCAAAAAGTATGATACCATATCTTGCGTCTTTTCACCATGTTGAAATCTGTGGAGCCATCTGATGTGAGGCCAACGCTTCCTATTAGCCAACGCTTCCTGTCTAGCCAACCTTTCACCATCTTAGCTACCACCCTCACCATCCTCACCATCCTCACCATCCTCACCATCCTCACCATCCTCACCATCCTCACCATCCTCACCATCCTCACCATCCTCACCATCCTCACCATCCTCACCATCCTCACCATCCTCACCATCCTCACCATCCTCACCATCCTCACCATCCTCACCATCCTCACCATCCTCACCATCCTCACCATCCTCACCATAGCCCTTTTCCAATCCAAAGATATACTGGTTGTGGTGGTAAGAGAAGGCCTCCGGAACTTTGTGAGCAGTATGGTCATACCGGGAATGAGAATTTCATTTCAATGCATATCAATAGTTGACTCTAAATCACTTGCAGAGGCAATTTTTTTTCTACTTCATTTAGCCCGTAACGATGATGATTTTGATATGTTTGGACGAATTGGCAAGGCTTGCGATCAAAATTAGGATCGTAGATCTCATTCCAGGCCATAGGCCGTACTAGTCGAACTTGTGAAGGCCAATCGTGTTTCTTGGAAATATGAGGCACTAAGAGCTGTAGTGATACTGTAGCACCCACGAGTAAATACCTTTGCCCTGCGAGATCTTTACCTAAGTTCTGAGCCCCGTCTAATGAACAACTTCAGCTCAAAGCTACCAGTTTGCAAATGGTAAAGATTAGGAAAGCTCTGAGAATATGTCAAAAATAAGCATGAGTGAAATATTTTCAAATGACTTTCTCTCAACAAGCGAGAATGATACTACGCAAAATTTCGTGTGAAGTGAGATAGTGATATGTTGACGCTGGCTAGTATTACAATACCATAACGACGGCTCGTCATGGCTGTAAAGTCGTTACAATGAACGTTCTGCCCCCATTATGGTCGAATGGATCATTCTGCCGGAATGATGAACCGCGGATCATTCTGCCGGCCTTATGGATGGTTCTGCCCGCACATGGTGGACTGGGATCGTTCTGCCGGAACAATAAATCGACTGTGGTTCTGCCGGAAATATTAAGCGATAACAGTTTTTCCAGCATTACAAAGTCACGCACATGATGATATACGCCCTTCGGACTCATTCTCCAATGCTCATTTTGCGAGACGGGCAGTGCGTAACTGATTCCGGAAAATTAACCTGCCCTATATCACTGTAACAGTTAGACTGCGGCATGGTCTTGGTCTTGGTTATCACTTTACTAACCAAGACCGCAAATTTGCGGTTGCGGTTAGCAATGTGATAACCAAGACCAAGACCGTCAGTTTGCGGTTAACCAAATCCGCATTCCGTCGGAGGAGAATCCGGGACAACCAGCATCTTCGAGTATCGGCCGCGGCCAATGCAATGCTACAACTGCCAAGAGATTGGCCACAAGGCTTTCCAGTGCAGGAATGCCCAGAGATGCGCAAAGTGCGCCGCAGAAGGCCATCGCCACAGTAGCTGCGACCAGACAGTTCCGAAGTGCGTTCCATGCGGGGGCCCTTACGAATCGTTCAGCAGGAGTTGTCGGAAGCTCTACCCGCCACGCAATGAATAAAACGCTCCGAGTGATGCAGCTGAATGTGAGGAAACAGGGTGCAGTGTATGACAGTTTGATGAACGATGAAGAGACACAGGACGCAGTGGCACTAGCAATCCAGGAACCCTAGGCGAGGAGGATTCAAGGACGGCTCTTGACTACCCCGATGGGGCATCATAAATGGACTAAGATGGTTCCCTCCACGTGGAGGGAAGCGAGATGGGCGGTCCGAAGCATGCTATGGGTGAATAAGGATGTGGAAGCGGAGTAAGTGCGGATTGATTCGGCGGACCTAACAGCGGCCGTTATTCGGCTTCCTGAGCGACGAATTTTCATAGCATCAGTTTATGTGGAGGGAGGAGATGCCTCTACGTTGACTGATGCGTGCGATCACCTCGGAAAAGCAATCACAAAGGTACGGCGAGACGCGGGGACGGTGGTGGAGCTCATTGTTATGGGAGACTTCAATCGCCATGATTAACTGTGGGGAGGAGACGAGGTGTCCTCGGCTAGACAAGGCGAAGCGGATCCGATCATCGACCTCCTGAATGAATTTGGACTCAGTAGCCTGCTTAAATGGGGCACCAAGACATAGCACGGCGGAGGATATTCGGGGGACTGCGAGTCGACGATCGACCTCGTTCTCGCCTCGGAAAACTTGACGGACTCGATGATCAAATGTGCGGTCCATGGAACGGAGCACGGCTTAGATCACAGCACCATTGAGACCGTTTTTGATGCGCCTTAGACAGCTCCAACGTAGATAGACAGACTGCTACTAAAGAATGCACCGTGGAAAGAGATTAATGCCAGCATTGCAAGGACTTTACAGAACACCCCGTGGGAAGGCTCCGTACAGCAGAAGACCGATCGGCTTATGTGCGCGGTGTCGGAAGCGGTTCGTGCGTTGACGCCGAAGGCCAAACCGTCACCGCACGCAAAGCGATGGTGGACGGCGGACCTAACACAACTTCGTGAAATATACACACATTGGAGAAACCGCGCCCGCTCGGAGCGACGGGCAGGGCGAAAGGTGCCACAGCTAGAGGATATAGCTACAAGCGCCGCGAAGCAATACCATGACGCGATTCGGAAACAGAAGAAGAAACACTGGAACGAGTTTCTGGCCGACAACGACAACATCTGGAAAGCTACTAAGTATCTGAAATCAGGGGAAGACATAGCCTTCGGGAAGGTACCGCAGCTCCTCAAAGCAGATGGAACGGTTACCACCGATCATGAAGAACAGGCGGAAGAACTACTGACCAAATTCTTCCCACCGCTGCCGGACAACATTGACGATGAGGGAACTAGGCCACAAAGAGCGCCGGTAGAGATGCCGACCATCACCATAGAAGAGGTAGAGCGGCAGTTGCTCGCAACGAAGTCATAGAAGGCGCTAGGTGAGGATGGCCTGCCGGCCATAGTGTGGAACATGACCTGGCCCACGGTCAAACACCGAGTCCTCGATCTCTTCTAGGCGTCATTGGAAGAAGGCACGGTGCCGAAACAGTGGAGACACGCAAAGATCATTCCGCTAAGAAAACCGAATAAGGAAGACTACACCATTGCCAAGGCATAGAGGCCAATCTCACTGCTCGCGACGCTAGGCAAAATCCTGGAGTCAGTGGTGGCAGAAAGGATCTCGCACGCAGTGGAGACCCACGGCCTACTCCCGACCAGCCACTTTGGGGCCCGAAAGCAGCGGTCCACGGAGCAGGCACTCTTACTCCTATAGGAACAAATCTACGTAGCATGGCGAGGACGACGAGTGCTGAGCCTGATCAGCTTCGATGTCAAGGGGGCCTACAATAGGGTCTGTAAAGAACGATTGATCCAGAGGATAAAGGCGCGAGGTATACCGGAGATTCTGCTTCGATAGGTTGAGGCGTTCTGCTCAGGACGAACGGCGACCATCCAGATCAATGGGCAAATATCTGAGATCCAGAACCTACCACAGGCTGGACTGCCTCAGGGCTCGCCCTTGTCTCCAATCCTATTTCTCTTCTTCAACGCAGACCTTATGCAGAGACCGATCGACGGCCAAGGAGGAGCAATTGCCTTCGTGGATGGATGACTTTACCGTATGGGTTACAGGGCCAACCGTGCAGAGTAATCGGGAAGGTATCACAACCATTATTAATGAAGCGCTCGACTGGGAGAGGAGGAGCGGAGCGACTTTTGAAGCAGACAAAACGGCGATTATACATTTCGCACCCAAGGCTCGCAAAGTGGATTAAGAGCCGTTCACTGTCAAGGGACAGACGGTCGAGCCTAAAAGCAAGGTCAAAATCCTAGGGGTCCTGATGGACACGCGACTAAAGTATAAGGAGCATATTACGAGGGCAGCATCTAAGGGCCTGGAGGCCGCGATGGAGCTACGACGGCTCCAAGGCCTCTCCCCAGCGACCGCACGACAGCTCTTCACAGCGACCGTGGCTCCGGTGGTGGACTATGCCTCTAATGTTTGGATGCACGCATTCAAGAATAAGAACATCGGACCGATCAACCGAGTGCAAAGGGTAGGAGCACAAGCAATTATGGGGACATTCCTCACAGTTGCGACTAGCGTAGCGGAGGCCGAGGCCCACATTGCTACGGCACAACACCGATTCTGGAGACGAGCCGTGAAGACGTGGGCAGACCTCCACACACTACCAGAAACCAACCCTCTTCGCAGAAACACAGATCGAATCCGGAAGTTCAGGAGATACCACCGCTCGCCACTATATCAAGTAGCGGACGCGCTTAAGAATATCGATATGGAATCACTGGAAACCATCAACCCGTTTACACTGGCACCATAGGAAGCACGCATGCAGACTGATGAGCCCATTACCGAGGGATCAACTGTACTAGGCGGATCAATGCTAATCGCGTTCAGCAGCTCGGCGCGGAATGAGCTAGTCGGGTTTGGAGTGGCGGTCGAGAAACAACCACCCCGCTATCGGAAAGTGAGACTGAAGACCTTGTCCGTCACGTTGAGCGCGAGAACAGAGCAAAATCCATTTTCCGCGGAGCTGGCGGCAATGGCGCATACACTCAAGACACTCGTGGGATTGAAAGACTATAGGATCTCACTGATCACGACCAACAAAGCGGCGGCTCTCACGTTGAAGAACCCGCGACAACAGTCGGGCCAGGAATTTGTCTGTCAAATCTACAAGCTTATGAGCAAACTGCAGAGGCATGGAAATCAGATCAGCGTCCGGTGGATCCCCATTAGCGAAGATCAGGGTCAGTATTCCAACCCATATCAGCCTGATATAATCGGGTCCATCGTTGGAATGTCGTATCCTTGTTCAGGAATCGGACTATCATTTGGACTATATCTTCGGAGGCCTGAGCCCACGCAGCATGGCTCGTCCAGATCTCTGCAGCATAGCGTGCCATCGGAAATTTCTCCTTGATGGCATTATGATCACCGCCTATGTCTGTAAGGTAAGTTAAGCACGTCTTCGTGATGCAAATGCTGGCAGCCGTAATATTGAACTGGTTCTGCCCGACAAGGTATTCTTTGACGGAAAAGTGGGCAAGATGTAACTCTTTCTCAGTGCCATGAACGACTATTACTAAGCCGGGACAATAACCCAATATATTCTCGCAAAACAATCGACGCTTGGTGTTGAACCCTTGCAGCTCATTTTCGATCTTTGTCGCTATTACTTCCTTAGCCTCGTCGAGCTTGAGCGGTCGCTTGGAGTGGACTAGAAATTGAAGCAGGCGTATCGCGTCGGTTTTAAGCTCTGTCGGTATACTTTTAATCATACGATCGTATGTCTCACTAAGATTCACTGGCAAAGATGCAAGAGCCTCCTCTATAGCTGCCTCGTGATGACATCGAGCTAGGCTGTCCAACTGACAGAATGCCCACCTAAACCTAATTTGCGCTTTAGCAATCTGTCAGCTTATTTATTGAAGCGCAAATTTCTCACATCCCGTCAGCACCTTCGCCAACTTTTCTCCCAATTTCCTCAAGAAGATGCCGCGACAAGGGCTTCTCTGTAAAGTCACGCCGTTGGGAAAGTTGTGCCAAGACCCACGAGCGGATATCTGAGTTGACAGCCTGCTTATCAAATGGAAGGCAACTTTCTCTTCCTATCAAAGCGGGAATTTCGCGCAGAAACTCGGACTCAGGTCGGCCGGTAAGAAGTAGCTAGACATGGGCCAACTCTGGCCTAGATATCATATCTTTGATCCACTGAAGCACATCGATCCTAGTTTTTGATTCGTCCAATGCGTCCAGAATGATGGAGACCTCACTCTGGGCTTCAAGCATCATGACATCCCAGAGCACATTTTTCCTGGCTTGTTCACTGCCATTCTGGTGTGCCTGGAACAAAGTATTGAGATGATTGGCGGAGATTATGCCGCTGTGGTAAAGCTGGAAAGCGAGTTTATGCCGCTGTGGTAAAGCTGGAAAGCAAGCGAGCGCAGCATGCCATCCAATGTTTGTTTTGCGACGTCGTTAAAATCGAAGAAGAAGCTAAGGACAAGACCGTCGTTTCCCTTCGCAAGATAATCAAGCACGTTTGTACTGAGAACCGATTTTCCACATCCCGCGACCCCGTGCAGCCATAATTGTCGACGTGACCTCGAGTACCACGATTGAAAGACTGGGTTTTTGAGCAGCCACGCGCCTGTCCCCTCATGGCGGAGCGTCCTCGCATGGTTGGCGTTTGAAGATGGATCCGGGGGATAAAGCCAGCGCTTGATTTCACCGGTATGGAGGTTAAACCTGATAGAATCAGTGGTGGCTTTTGTTTTGACTGTCGTCTGCTGCATGCTATCAATCTGTTGTTGGACTACTCGCAATCAGGACGTAGTCTAAGATCATATAATATCCGGTCTCGGCTATTTGCTGGTCATTTCGACATCTGCGACCGATAGATTCAGGTAGGTAGGTAGGTAGGTACTAACCCTTTTCCAATGTAGCCTTCGCTGAATCCTCGGCATCAACAACACTGGGCTGCACACATCCCAAAAGTTCCTTTGCGTATGCAGCGGCCACGGCTGCAGCATATTCTTGCCAGGTTTTTTCTTTCCCTGACTCCGCATAATCACAAATGCCCCGGATAACAATACATGGAAAATCATTCATAAGCCCGGCTGCCTCCATCTCGACACACAACAAGTGCCCGCCAAATGCTTTATCGGGGGAGTCTCGAGACTGGGCGTCCTTAACCACTTTGTTCCCGGATGCGATCAGGCCATGATGTATCCTCACTTCTGTTTGTGGTCCGTGCTTCCTCTGCCTTCTCTGACAGCCGCTTATTCTCCTCAATTACTGGGCTAATAGCCCATAAGCCAAGAAGATATGCAATCATTGTGATGATCGCCTGCCATGGGCTAGACAGAAAATGGTCTTCGGTCGAAGTCCGACGTCCCCTCTTTGAAACCAACAATGGGTCTTCCAAGCACTCACGCCTGGTATATTTTGGCGCCAGTCGCGGGAATCTTCTTTCCACATCATCCAGATACACATTTATCTTCGATCCGTACATCTCATAATTACTTTTCAGCCGATTGGACGCATTAAGAAGCGCGTTCGGAGGTCTGTTCAGCGAGCCAGTGTGGACGAACTGCCCACCGCGTTCCAGCTTCCCCATGTCCCATTGTACCACCCCGTGGTAGTCAGCAACAGGTTGGCTAACCACCACATCACCCAGATTGACTTTTGATGGAATTCCGCCGCCAATTCCTACCATCAGCCCGAACCTGATTGATGGGAACATGTTTATCATAGAGGTCGCGACAGTCGCGGCAGGGTTGATTCCCATATTAGGGAGGCAGGCTATGACGACGTTGTGGCCGCATATTGAGCCAAGGGTATATGCATTATGGTCGTTGCGAGTCGGAAGAGATTCGTGCTCTTCATCTAGCATGGCTCTCGCTGCGGTCTGTTCTTTTGGAAGGGCGCATACCCATCCGATAGTATAGGCATCATGTCGAAGGCGCTTTTGGCATGGGAGTGTTTCCGGGCTAGTATTATTTTGTGGTGACACTGATTGCTCTAGCTGTGATGGGGGGTTCTCAGCCATCTTGAATGGAGGACGACTCGACGAAGCAGAGTGTCTAGACGAGCGGGATAGTGCTGGATAGGTCAATCAAGAACTCTCTTTCTCCTAGCAAAATAAGAGACCTTGGCCCTTATTGTCTAAAAAAGATGTCGGCAAACTGAAAAGCTGATGGAGGGCATTGCTGAGGAGGGCAGAGGTAAAACAAAATTGGCCAGTTCAGGTACTGTAAACTACATATGATTGCCACGTTGATCTTCTGGACTTGAGCTGAAAGAGGGGTACTTCCTCAGCCTCGTCATCATCTGCCTTTCCGCCCACCACACCGCTTCCTGAATGGCTATCTGTCGATCATGTTTCCATGTGGTGGGGCTTGTGCCGTTCCTAGGAACGGTTCGACCCGATCCAGAGTAGTCAGATCCAGCGAGTCTCGCGATAACCAGCCAAAGCGTTTCTGGATAAAACGCTTGAACCTTAGCACCAGAAGAGCCTCTTCTCAGCGATTTTTGCACATATTTGGAGAACAAATAGATTGCAGTTTGTTATTGATGCTGATTGATCGAGGGGTAATGCGCCGGTCTTTCAATCGCCTTTTTTTTTAGGGCCGCAGCTTTGAGAGGGGTAAAGCTCCCAGGAACCCCAGCATGGCCATCACGGCACGTCACGTACATTTCCTAGTACCTAGCATCCCCCAGACTTTTCGGCCAAAATCTTTTCACCTCTGAGCAGAGGGGTGAGCGAGGTGAGCAAATGGATTGGTTTTCCTTCACATTCGCTGGTTTCCCGCCCGTCTCTTCCACCAAATCCCACCTCCCAACATTCTGATCCTTTTACTGTCTTTCTATGTACAACATGGCACCAAGACTGCCCCTCCTAAAGCTTGAGATGATCCAAGATATGATATTGAGCGAATCACCAACCACCTCACAAATGGTCAAAGCTGCTGAATGCAGCAAGCGATCAGTCATTAACATCAGCAACAACCTTCGCTGGTTCGGAAATGTCAGAGCACCCCCAACTCAGGTCGGTCGACGACGAAGCGTAACTCCTCCGATGTTACAGGCCTTGTGCGATCATCTACTGGAAAAGCCAGGGTTATAATTGGACGAGATGGCAATTTTTTTATGGGACGAATTCCGTGTCCAGGTGACAAATTCCAGTATCAAGCGAGCTCTCGCTTCGGTCGGTTGGTCAAAGAAGGTGGCTCGACAGAGAGCAAAGGAGCAGAGTCCCGACTTGAGAGACTTCTACCCACATAACATATCGGATTTTTACTCTTACCACTCCGTCTATGTGGATGAATCTGGATGTGATAAGCGAATTGGGTTCAGACGGACAGGCTGGTCTCCGTTAGGCGTAGCACCATTACAGGTAGCCAACTTCCATCGTGATCAGCGCTACCAGATACTGCCTGTATATTCTCAGGATGGAATCGTGCTCTCTCGAGTTTTTCAAGGCTCCACTGATGCTGCTCTATTCGAAGATTTTATTGACCAGCTGCTGAGGCATTGTGGAAGGTGGCCTGAGCCAAAAATCCGTTCTAATTATGGATAACGCATCTTTACATCACTCTGCATCCGCAGGGGGATTACATTCTTCTAGTTTCTCCTCGAAAATAGGACAGGGGATTCCACGCCTGGCCGCAGAGAGTCATTGTCAAATTGAGCGACGGGCAATTTTGCAGCTTCTCGTTTTCCGGATACAATCCCCCGAAGAATCCTGAAGGATCGGCAAGTTCCTCCAGGACTTCTTCCGCGCTACGGTCTTCCTCGGCTTCCTCGGCTGCCACCTCTATATCTTCAAATAGATACCATGGAAAATTGTCGCGTGCCTGCTGTTTCGAGGGAACTTCAATTTTGTAAGACCCTCCAAGACAGAGCTCTTTCCGCTAGACTGATTGTAGACAACTACTAGTTGTGGGAAATTGATGTATTCTCTCACATTTCATGCGAATAGTTTGTCGATTTTTTCGAGCAGAGCCGGCTTGGCGAAAATTACGGTGGCTTCACCCCCTCCATGCTTGATTGTCTTGTCTGCTTGGTAGAGAAACCATATCTGGTCTAGAGAGCTTTTGATGATATAACTTGAGATATAGCATCGCATTCTTGGGTTTCCGCGCAACCATTGTCCATTCTCAGCTGTCGATCAGTCTTTTTCCTGACACCTTGAATAAAATACCTGTATGGCTAACTGTAGTAAAAGGTCGTCGGAATGCCGGGCACTTCATTTATAATAATGGCCATCAATGACAGGTAATACTGTGCAGTTTCGGTCAACTTATTCGATGGTCTTTGCTCACTGAATGGTAATCTTAGTGGTTACTCAATATGTGAGCTGCATTTCGGCCCTTGATTTAGTGCGGCCCACCCCAGTGATTGGTATGCACTGAGGCTTTGATTCTGGGCCCAGGAAAGAGTTGCTCAGCCTGTTTTGTTCGTGCCGATTCGAGCATGACTGTACAATCCTGTTGCTCAAAGCGGCAAAGTTTCTTTTCCGGGCTTTTGACCAGCCTCCTTCCCACGGTTTTTGAAGATGATGATCTCAGCATTCCCCATGTACTCAACCTAGCTGGGACTGTACAGTCAAACTATCCTGCGCATTACACTTGAGGTAAGGAGCACGACTCAAAAATTCGCAAGACCTTGTAGAATGTGACAATTCCAGGGTCTCAAATCCTGCATGCCGCATGGAACGAGAGTTGTCCCGTTATATCTGGCGTACTTCGGCCGTTTTAACCCACTTATCCCGCCTTTATTGCGAATGTCTCGATACGCCAAAATGGTGAACAAAAAAGGTAGAAAGGCTCCCCCTGCTTCATTACCCACGACAAAAGCCGATCCTTGGTGGAACACTCCGACAATAACAACCCAAGAGAGACCAGGTGCGTACACTATACATGCCCAGCTAGTTTTCCAATCGCTTATGGCCAATTCTAAGGATCAAGTTTGCTCCATTACAATAACACTCTATGGCCTACCGACGAAGTAATGCACCCAGAAACTGCAACCGTCAAAGACAGCACTTGGACCTCCTCCCAGATAGTGGATTTGGATCAAAACCATCTTTTTGCGTGGTGTATTCTTTGCTCGGCACTATTACTGGTAGAATACCCCATGGAACATCATCTGCCCTATTTCGATCTCAACTTTTGGAACGAACCGGTATCTGCCGTTGTCGCAACTGTATGTCGCTCTTGCAAACGTAAGGGTGGCGGAAACTGTGGTTCATCGCGTCTCCCTGCTGAATATTTCCGAACGAAGAAAATATACATGAATATGTGCAAAATAGCTTGTCGACCTGTCGAAGTCTCGACAGACACGGGCCAATACGTACGTTTTGTGAGCATGGAGCAGATATCAGCCTCCTTGACAGATCAGTGTGTTTTGCTAGGCCTTAAATTTGCGTCCACTGGTAATCAAAGGCGAGATGATTATCGTCTCTGTTTGTCTAGTTGCTTTATTTATTGGTGACCTCACGCAGTCAAGGAGAGCAAGAAGAGTTTAGTTTGGCCGCAACGGGTCACCTGTCGCTGCGGTCGTAGACCGTAGCGTCAGATAGGCCCGTCCGCGCTCCCTTGTAGGGAGGCAATGTGTCTGTATTGTAGTGGATCCTATATACAGAGGGAAGGTGGGAGGGACAAAATTGACACTTGACTGCGTGAGAGATGACGAGCTACCCGCAGAGGCCAGCAACTGACTCTCGTGAGGCAGTTGTAGGAGGAAGAGGCCCTCAGAAATGTCGGTGTAGATATCACGTGAGGCTAACTACAGACATAGTGAGGTTACAGGCATTGTGAGGCAACCCCAATAAAACCACTCCCTTTATTGGTGACCTCACGCAGTCAAGGAGAGCAAGAAGAGTTTAGTTTGGCCGCAACGGGTCACCTATCGCTGCGGTCGTAGACCGTAGCGTCAGATAGGCCCAAATGACCCGGGCCAAACTAGGATGGTGGAGGGGACGGTGGTGGAAGCAGCAGAGACAGCGGTGCGGGCGAGCCTGTCTGGAACTGGTGGTTGAGCTTGTACAGAACTGACGCGTTCGTCGTAAAATAGACCCTGAACGCCTCCGAGGTCCATCTCCCTAGCATCTAAATCTAGTCGTCGAGTATCCCACTATCGTGCGCATACTGAGCCGCACCCTTCCGAAAGCTATGACCTGAATAGCCGTGTGTCGGTATCCCAAGTGTTCTTAGCTTAGTAGATAAGGTCGAGAGGAAGTTGTTACGGCTAAATAGTCTTCTGCCGAAGGAGAACAATAGGGCGTCCGGCCCTCTGGGGTCGAGAAGTAGCAGTTTCCGAAGCGCGTCAACTGGGCATGCGCCATCTCCCGTCTTGGCAAGGATAATTTGCACCCCTTCGTGACGGCGGTCCGTCTTACTGCGCTTGAGTGTGAGTTGCGCGTGGTCTAACGAGGGCGAGAATCTAACGTCTGAGCGCGTTAACTTTGTGGCGGAGAAGATAGAACGTATACTAAGGTCTTCAGTCTTATAGGTGAATTCTCCGAGGCGGAGGAACCCAGCAAATGCTACCCAACACGCGGTTGCGAAGTTTAGGTCATCTAGGAGGTTCGTAGTCATCTCTGAGGGACGTAACGGCAGTGCGACGAGGCCCGCGGATAGTTTCGTAATAGTGTCACGCGAAATCGGTTTTCTGACCCGTACTTTTGTTATGGGATTAAGTCTTCTCGCGCCGTCTATTAGTCGTCGGAAATGCTTGTTATCAAAGAGTTTATCGTCAAGGAAATTGTCGATATGGTAGGCTCGGAGAGCTGCTAGGTCGGCGAGTGCGGTGTCAGGCTTGACGGCCTTTTAACTAGCGTTACCAAGGAGTCGTGCGCTTAGCCATGAGGTCAATGAATATCTTGAAACTGGCCATACGGATAAATTCTGAAGCGCGCAGTGCTTTTCGTAATTACGCTAAACGGAGAGGTAGACGGAACGTGTGTTAGCGCTGAGTCCGTTCCAGAGCAGTTTCAGGTGGCCTATATTAAGCTAAGGAGCTTATGAAGAGAACCACGCGGGCAGTTCAATACCGAGAGGTCCTGCTAGTGGGGACAAATATTAGCAATGTCTTCAAGATTATTACGTAAGAGCGCATCTGCTAATATATTTTCCCGGGAGGGGAGCCAGTATAGCACGATGTGGATGTCTCTCGCCGCCGCTAGGATAAGTAGGCTCTTCAGAGGTGCGTTGGACGGACCATAAAGAAAGCCTTTCTTGAGTCCCGTGTGCGCTATAGAGCTATCTGTGTGGATAACGAGAGTATGATGGAGCCAATAGTGGCTAAAAAGTAGGAAGCCTTGTAGGATGGCGTCTACTTCGTGAGTATTAATGTGCGCATATACGTCTTAAGCAAGGGCCAATGTGGTAGCATTGCTTTGATGAAGTTGGTGACAATAGGCCAGCCAGTAGTCTGATGTAGACTTAGATGAGAAGAAGAAGAGCCCCTAGCCTATACTAGAGGCATCTATATAGAGATGCGTGATAGTGCGGCGGCAGGGGTCAATCAGGAGTACGCCGTTGAAGAGAGACAAGGAGTCCCTCCACCATTCTAAATCGTCACATACCTCGTAAGGGATACGGCGGCGCGCGCTACTCCCATATAGGAAAGAGGCTTGGAAGGTATATAGGGACTGTAACCTTGTTCTTCCAAGCCAGACAACTCTTGAACAGAAGGCTAGTAAGCCTATAAGGCGCTCTATTTGCTTAAGGGAGAGACTCGCCGCATTCAGGGCAGCTGCGGCGTCCAATATAGCGCGGCACAACTTCTCTAGTGGCAGACGAGCTTCCATTATAATAGAGTCGATCTGGATACCTAGGACTGTAGCGCAGGTTCCTTGCCGGTCCTTTTTAGTATTGCGAGGGATACGTAGGTAGTCGGTGACTCTATTATAAACCTCGTCGAAGGGACCCGTAGGGTCGGGCACTAAGGGAGACTAAGTAATTACGATGAAGTCGTCTAGGTAATGATTGATGTAGAATAAAGGTAGGAGGCATTGGAGTATCTAATGGAGTGCCTCGGCGAAGAGGTTGAAGAGAAATGGAGCCATTGCGAGGCCGAAGGGGAGACAGCATTCAACATAAGTGGAATCGTTCCACTAGAAGGCAAGGAGATGCTGGTTATCCTCGGCAACAGGGACTATTCGGAAGGCGTCCTTAATATCTCTCTTGATGATTATGCAACCTAGGCCAGATTGTATGACTTGCTCATAGATCTTGTCGATTAACATATATTCGATAGCTAACCAGGAGTCGAGTATGCCCTGGTTAAGGCCCTGTCCAGGGGGCCAAGATAGGTCATAGATACAGCGCCATCCCTCATCGTGCTTAGGGACTAACCCAAGCGATAAAACGAAGGAGGGCCTAGAGGCTAGTCGAACACGACCGAGGTTGAGGTCCTCTGCTAGTTTGGCCGTGATCATACCAGGTTCGTGTATGTGGTGGTTAGAGGAGTAGCGAAACTGCCTATTACCCCTATAGCCGACCTAGACACCGTAGGTCAGGATGCCAGCGATGGTGGAGCCGAGATCGCCTAGATAGTAGCGTAGGAGATTGCTCCAGCCTTTCGCGTACAGTGGTGACGGAGAGGATTGTAACCTTGGGAGCTCTAGGTTGAAAACGGGGTATTGAGCAGCAGTGTTAGGTCTAGGTGGTTACCCCTGCGGTATAAGGCTTGGAGGGAAGGGATTAAGAACAACGCTGTCGGTGCCACTAGTGCAGTTCCTAAGTGCTATCACTTGCTATTTCTTCTTGCGGCAGGAGTAGGCGGAATGTTCGCTGAGGCCGCATACCGTGCACTCATAACGTCTCTTGCAGCCTTCCCAGGAGCACCCTGTTGTATTGAACTTATCGCAAATCTCTGACTCATTATTCGAAGATCTGGTATTCCTGGCTTGACGAGGCCGGATTGGAGGGTTTGTTGGTGACTTCGCAGGTAGGGTGAGATTGTGGCGGAGGTATTTCTCGCGAAATGGGCCTATAACCAGGTAGTTGTCCGTCGATAGCTCTCCTTTATCCAGTATATATTGGTGGAAATTAAGGGCAAGTGGGAGAACTGCTTCCGACCACTGATAAGTCTGAGCGAAGTCCAGGATCTGCCTCATAAACATAAGTAGGTTGGGAACTACCTTAGGATGCTTCTCGCCGAAGAGATATCCCACAACGGCCAGATAGGCAAGAAAGCAGGTCGTCCATATTTGAGGGTTAGGGCCCCAGTCCCTAAGCGACGCTGTTGCCTTCTTGAAGCCTACTATACCTCCCGACTCGGTCATCTTGAAGACTCTGTCATCCTGATCTAGCTCGGTGACTGACTTCTCTTTGAAGCGTATGAGTTCAGTCGCCTTCAACTTCCTCTCGAAGACGCGCGTAAGAAGGGCGGCGGAGACACCCGGAAATATGTCGATGAGTGGTTTGACTTCAGGGGGTGGCTCACGGTTTTCCTCGGGAGTATCGTCATCTTGTAGGTCCGCACGAGGCCTCCTGCGGCGTAGATCGGTCTCTGCGACATCTAATTCAAGGCGCCTAGCCCTGTCTCTCTATATCTGTCCTAACCAACTGGCACGGTCGGCCGCACCCATGGTTTCCCAGATATGGGCCGGCGGCCAAGCGGAGTCGAGCGGGGCGGGAGTGACACTGCTGGACTGGCTGAACGTCATGGTGAAGGGGGATATAGTCAGGCCTTAGGGTTTATCGGTGCTGTAGCCGTCGGTAAGGACGTGAAACACAAAATTGACACTTGACTGCGTGAGAGATGACGAGCTACCCGCAGAGGCCAGCAACTGACTCTCGTGAGGCAGTTGTAGGAGGAAGAGGCCCTCAGAAATGTCGGTGTAGATATCACGTGAGGCTAACTACAGACATGGTGAGGCTACAGGCATTGTGAGGCAACCCCAATAAAACCACTCCCTTTATCGAGTAACCCAATATGGACTAGGGTGGTTTCGAGTACGAGCCGATCGACAGTGCGTGTGTTCGGAGGGGAAGCTGTTGTCTACTTTCACTGTATGGCCACGGGGCGTTTCGGCAAGTATGGTCTGCCCAATGCCGGAACCAGTAATTACGGTGATTTTGGTGATCTAATTACCAGAGATACATCAAGAAAATTCTGTGGGACCGTCTCTAACCTAATTTGGCTTAACGCGATCTAAGTGGGGCGCTGGGAAAGAAAGCCTGTGTGTCCAAGGGGTAATCTGTTTTCGAATTCTACTGTAGTGCTAGCCGTTGCGATGAAATCGGTGCGAGATTCTATGGACCCTTTCCGTATTATAACCATGACTCATTTGTTACTACTAGTCGATACGATCTACAAGAGGGCAGGGATTGTTGAGAAAGTAACCACAATTAGTTTAGTGTGTTTCAGGTCAGGGTTCGGGAATTAATTCGTGAGAATATATTGGTATATCTGATTTCGAATATCACTGTAAATAAAAAGGTCCAACCCATCATTGCGGCCATAATGTTCGACTAGGCGTTCACCAAACGTACCTTGCGGCAAGATTGGGAATATCAGAAACCCAACGATGTCAGGACATTCCGAGAGACAAAGCCATCGTAGATCAAAACTTGGTTGTTTTCGTCTGTCATATACTCGAAGTACAGACAGCCCCCGGTGGCGCACCGATAGAAAACCGACCGCGGAATTCTAGTTTCTCCACTATCTGCACCTGCTATGGCTCGTCTGCTAAACTGCATTCCGTGGTCACAGGAGCATGTAGGGTTTTCTGCCAGCACACCTCGCATATCCCCAAAGCAGGCAAATTCTCCACAGCTATAGCAGGCATAAAATGGACGACCATAATTGCCGTTCTTATTATTACGCGAGCAACGCTGTTCTTTGGTACGGCGGCCACAGTAAAGGCAGCGAGGCGCGTTTCTGAGTGCAGGATGACTCATTCGAGGATTGGCAAATGCCAAGGCTGGACCGTCCATTCCTAAGAGAAAGCACCTGGTAAATGACGTCAAGTAGTTAGATGGTGACTTGTGTGCGAATAGCGGACACCAAAGGCACCAAAATGCATGGGAAAATGATGGTGGGGGAAAAGTGTTGGCCTCAGAAATGTAGCGAGATGAGCGTCCATCATTCCGCGCAGCGATTGGCTGGACATAGATGTGGGTCTCTATGAATCATTTATGTGAGGGGTGACAGGGTAGTGATAAATCACAGCCAGAAAATCCCCGAGAGGTCAACTTGCTAGATGGGGAAGCTTCGATTGCCCAGGTCAACTTTCCACCGCACCCATCAGTAGTTGACCTTGTGCAGCCCATTCTCTGAATGGCGTCCGGAGTGCATTCTTCAAAGAGCTATAAATAGCTACCTGAAAGCCCCCAATTATTTATTATTTTCGCTAAATCAAATATTTCTGAAGAGAGAAATGATTCATAATGGGTTCTCTGTAACATAAATAGGAGAAGCTTAGTGTTGGATGAACAATATTTGAAAACAAGGCCAGATATCACGGACGCCTTGACGCCACAATGCCAAATTGTTTAGACTAATAATTTTCAAGGACAGGTAAGACTTTCTTGACGCTTTCAACCCACTTCCCAATATCCTCTACGAAACGTCGAGCGATGCCTATTTTGATCCCTTTTTCAATGAAGAAATGGGGATTCTGATCCCTATACACCTGCTCAAGGTCAAGACCGTTTTCGAGCATTACATCACATACTTCTCGAAATGCAGTTTTGAGGGTGTCATTCTCGACATTCGACACCTGCCACTCCCCGTACTCCTTGACAGCTACATCTCTGAGACCAGGGATGTCGAGTGGGCTTAGAGTCTGCAAATTATCTACTGCCTTCGGAACCGAGACATCAAGCCCTTGGGGCGCAGGTTGCGAGGACGAAACATTGATGTTGATAGGTGGATATGGTGACCCTGCACCAGTGACATGGCCTCCCTTGCGCTTGTCTCTACCCAGTCTATCCTGTTCTTCCCGGTATAATTCGTCACGAACTGCTTCTGGTACGTCCTTGTGACCTTCCAGCACACCACCCTTCTCAACGTGGGTGATTAGGCGTTTGATGTGATGAGCTTTGAGCGGGTAGTGTTTTTTCCCCACTGGGTCCACCCAACAATGGGGGCCATGCTGACACGTCGACGAGTCACATCGCATCAGACTATAAACGCTGCGCCAAATTGGCTTCCCGCCAGAAGTACTTTCCTCTGCGTCAAGCTGTGCGTCCCTCTCACCGAGCATTCTTTGCGTGACAGATGACTTCCCTCTTTTCTCCCCTTTCCGACCAGCGGATGGAGAGGAATGACGATCGTCTACATAGTTGAAACTGATTTTCAGCGTAAGGTCTTTTCCACGGAGTAAAAGATCTGACCACATCAGAAGCTGCTTTTCGATTGCGGTCCAAGATATATCGGTATCGTCAAATCGTTTGGTCAATTTTCGCTTGGTACGATCGGTTGTTGATGCCACTATGACGGTATCATCTGGTCTCACTTGGCGATGGCGAGCAGTCTTGCGTCGTAGAGCTTTTTCTAACTTTTTTTCCAAGGACAGCTGCCAGAAGGCGCTAGGTGCCAAAACAACATCCTCTTCCGTGTCCTTTGACACCTCCCTGTTATTGACAGTCACTCGCCACTCTACACGGTAGTGGATGCACGTTGGCGGGTCCTCGTCGTAGGTCTTCCCATCCTCCCACTCACACAGCTGGAGAAATTTGAGAGTGTGTGGGGCGGGTTTACTCGTAGGATCGATACTAGTCTCAACTACACTCGATGGGGAGGGGCTCAGGGTCGATATCGCTGCGTAGGGGCTGCCGCAATAGCCAGGTGTCGGGGCATAATCCGAGTGGTGTTCCCATAGTTCGTGCTCCGTAAACTGAGATGTGTCATCGAGGCGATACTGGCTCATCTCACCGTAATCACAGTCCTTATAAAGCCACATTAGCTGGGAGAACCAGGTTAGGTTTGGGGCTGGTAACGAATGAGATGCGCAGTAGAAAGCAAAATCCATGGAGATAGACAAAACATCTTTCCCTACCAGGTTTAGCTTCCTACAGGATAAGCACAGCCTTCGGAATTATGACTGGCGAGCGACAACGAGGGCTTCGCTGCATGCGGGAAGAATGAGGGGAAAGAGGCAAAACGTGGCTGACGGGAGAGGGAAGCTAGCAGGCGATCTTGCCAGATCGCCAGATCTACAGAACAATTCTGGATGGTTCCATGTAACCTTACTGTACTATGACGATGACTCATTTATGGCAATACAATCATTACGATAACGGTACTGCTGGAACTTTAAGGCGGTGAGCTAAACACGTTAGCGTTATCCGGAATTAGTTTTCCCCGAATCAAGTAGTAAGAGTATGACGGTATAGCTGATTTCGAAAACTACTGTAACCGCACTAGCATTATTCTTGTAGGTCTTGCCTATTATAGCCACGCATGTGACCTTTATGCAGCTGACACACCCTGGGTTTTAATGCTAACGTAGTCCACCCCCGAGTGACGGGAACTGATAGGGACACCTCAACTTTCACTGCGGACACCTCATCTGCTTATATAATCGTTGTCTCGTGCAAATGCCACAGTAGCCACGGCAACAGCCTCAAGGTTAACTATCTATAAAAATCAAGCGTTCCTTGCTACAGGACATGTTCGCAAAGTATGCCCAATTCTCCCACAGTTAGAACATTTCACTGCTCTCTTCTGACTCCTCTCTCCATTTGCTTTCTTATCACGTGTCTCAACCACCTCAAACGAACATAGAGCACGCTTCTCTATCCTTCCTGGATCTGCGAATGGAGATTGTCTTTTCCGAGACTTGAAAAATGAATTTGGCAATCGAGGTTCCAAAAGGGGTAGATATTTAGAGCCATGCCTAGCATTCGTATGCCAGAATGAATGGACCTCCTGAAGTTCAATCGGAATACTGCGTTGAAGAAAGACGGTCAATCGATGGGCACAAGGCAAGCCCATTGTGACAGTCCAGACATTGGTGCATGCTGGTAGAGGTGAACGCTCTGTGGCGGACCTAGCTTTCTGGAACTGCTGCTCAATAAGCTTAATAGCATATCGAGTAATTTGTGTGGTGACCTTAGAGTAAATCGGATGTGATGTGACAAGTGGATTCTCTAGACGGTCACGAGCAACGTCCAACTTAAGAATGTCAATCTGGGTTTGGATGGCTCGCTTCACTTGTTCAAACACAATCAGCGTACTGGCAGATGAAGATCCGATATGCTTTTTAATAAAGGCATGTGAGCCTTCAACACGTGAAGTTGCAGCATTTCCAAGATGCAGATTTTGCCTAGTCCAGGCGACCACGAATTTTTGTTTATGAATAAGCCACACCCCCTTCACATAGTGTATAGCGGACTGATATTTTCCGCACTTAGACTCAAGGTCAGCAAGCCGTTTATTGTATTCATCTTCTGTCGGGGCGTGGACAAGCTTCATCCAAAGACCGTAGAATTCATCAAACTCATCCGAAGTCGCGAATTGACTTTTAACTTTTGCCGTCACATTCTTATTAATGTGCCAAATGCAAAGTAAGTGTGGATTCCGAGGGCAGACTTCCTCGATAGCGTTTAGTAGCGCGAGGTCTCGATCAGTACAAAGAACTGGAAGATGTTAATAGCGCTGGAGAAATGAGAAGAAAGTCTGTAAAGCCCACACATAGCTCTCAGTTCTCTCATTATGCACGAAACACAGTGCAACGCTAAAGGTAGCATTTGATGGTGATACTCCAACAATGTGAAGAAGAGGCATTCGATATCGATTTGTCTTATATGTACAATCCAAGACGAAGACCCTGTTGTATCTGTTGGCGAAGTCAATCGACTCTCTATGCGCAAACATTAGAAACATTTCACGGCCTTCAGAGTCTTGCTTGAATCCAAATTTCCATTGCTCTTCAACCAACATATTGTGAAGATATTCAAGAGGTGATTTCCCGCCTAGCTTTTCTCGGCGGATCGTCTGCCGCTTGTTGTAGATGTCACGAGATATCAATGGAATTGAAGGTTCTTTCTCCCGAAGAAGAGCCAGAATGTCTCTCGGTTGAGTCCCAATCTCCACCATTTGACTGAGGTCTTGTAATTGGTCATTTGTAAGCTGGCGGGCTTGTGGATGGCCCATGAGATCGTCAGCCTCATGGTTGTGAGTGGGACATCGGATTTGTAAATCCCATCTGTTATCCGGAAGCCTCTTTCCGTAGAGCTTGAACGGACAATTAATTCTCCTTGTGGTAGTGAATCGCTGCTTTGTTCCATCTGGAGCGGTCAGTCGATTCCTGTGTTGTCCCCCTCGATCACAGCCTAGAATGACTTGTCTGTTGGCCGTTGACCGATGTATAGTGATAATATAGCCATGCCGAATGGCATGTCGACGAACAGAGATGAGCAACTCCTCACGGCTATTGAAGATCTCTTCTTTAGGGGGTTCCATGGTTGCCTAGGCTTCTACTGGGAAATTGAAAGAAACCTGGAAATTTGTTTTGGCCCAGGGAGATGGAATGTGTGTGGCATTTGCACGAGACAACGATTATATAAGCAGATGAGGTGTCCGCAGTGAAAGTTGGTGTCCCTATCAGTTCCCAGAATGACCGTCAACTAGGATGCATTGCTCAATCTGCTCCGACATCAAGCTTTATCGTTGAGATAGTTCACTCATATATCTATTGAGGGGTCAGGTTGTCTAGCAGTGACAGACATTGTACTTCCCAGCTTCTTCCGGATGCAGAAATCCGCCGCCCACCGGCACGACAGCAGCAGTATATAGAGCATCTACCCTCTCCAAATTGAACCGAAATTTCATCGCTAATTCCGGTCAAAGTTTGTTTTTATCGCTGGACCTGCCAATGCCAGAGGTTTAATTTTTACCGTGTTGGAATGCGATTATCAATGGCTGTTTCAACGATGATGGCCATGAGATAAATCCATATTGCTTTCCTAACCATCGCGCCAACGCTCTATAATTTTGAAGTATTAGACTAGTGTGTATATAGTGCCAATTTAGCATTGATTAGTCACTTTAGATGGGGGATTAACGAACTGTAAGCAAGATCGCGATTGGTGCGCCTTGCAGGCTTACCGCATGATTTCGGGTTGGTTTCACCGGCTGCGCCGAAGGTGATTGATGGTGGAGCGTCAAAGCTACAAAGCAAGAACGCGATTGGCCCAGGGAGAAAGGAGCCAATGAGAATATCGAAGAGGCTAGGCGTAGAACGAGTCTGACCTCCACAAGTCCACCAATAGAGTGATTTAGTTATGCTATGACATTAGTACGTTAACCCCGCCGGTCCTCCTCGGGGCCGATGCCTTTAAACGCCTTAATCTTCGGATTTGAATGATCCAAAAAAGTATAAAGCTGTGGGCATATCCTAACGATAGAGCTGCTTCTAAGTCACCAACACATTCAGCTTCCAAGAACTCTGTCACAAAACCGATTACGTCCACTCCTTCAAGCCCTCTACCAGGCACATCGGAGCATTTCAGCTTAACAGCAAGTCAACAGCCACCAAAAGTGGAAAATATCACCACGACCCAATATCAGCCATGTCTGCTTTTACGCCAGTCTTCACACCGGCCGAAATTAGACCTCGGTCGCAATTCTTCACTAGCAATCCGGCCAATGCATGTCCATCTTGGAGCCTTTCTACCCCCACTTGTCCGACTGACCATCCATGCTAGTTCATCCGTGACGCTTTCACACTACCGACCTGGATTTTCCTCGGTGCCCTCCTGCAATCTACACTCTTGCTGCTTCTTCCCACGCACGTCGCCATTCTACCCGTTATCATCTACTTCATCGTCCGCTTCATCGACAGCGTTCTCATCTGGCACGGCATGCGGCCAAACCCACACATGTCTGGCGTAGTCCCCGGAAAAACCACCGCGCAGTTCCCTGGCAGCACAACGCCATCGCAAAATCCAATCGTCGTCATTAAGCTCGCGGCCCGCAGCAACCATCCGCTCGGCATTTTCCATCCACACATGCGAACCATTAGCTCCTTTTTTAATCGCATGGTGAAGGATCTCGACGACAACAGCGAACGGTATGACTTCCTCGGCGCCAGTAGCTACATGGCGAACGAGCGTGCGACAGCCAACGAGGTCATGATCTTGGCATACTTTCGCACGTACGAGGGCTTGCATGCATTTGCTCATACAGAAGGTGGTGTGCATCGCGAGGCTTGGAGCTATTGGAATACCGAGGTTATGGCCAAGGGGAAGACCGAAGAGAGCCGTATGTTCGGCATCATGCATGAAGTCTACCAAGTTCCCGTCGGAAAGTGGGAAAACATCTATGTGAACTATCATCCCAGTGGACTAGGCGCGACGACTCATAAAGTAAATGTGCATGGCCAGGAGAAGTGGGCCAGTCCGTTAGTTGATGCGAGGAAGGGGCTGTTGAGGAGCAGCAAGGGACGGATGGCAGTAAGCACAGGGGGTGACAATGAGATTTACGGGGATGACCCGTATGCGAATGAAAACGCTTGATTAGACCCTATGGGACGCGGTCGTATTGAAAAAAAGACAAAAATCAGTTCTGAATTTCGCAGTACAACAACTTCTTGTATTTTCTCTTCCTCTAATGATTGCGAGCACCTCGAAGATTGCCCAATTTGTCTTGACCACCTGCGAGAGACACCAAACGAGAGCATATGCTTGCAATGCATCGCTTGTTCCAGGTTTTTTTGGGTGTGCTGAATGATGGCTTCTCACGCGTGAATGCGGCGCGTGCCTCTTCTGTGCATTTTGGTAAGTCTTAATGTTGCTAAGGCGCGAATAATCGCTAACCTTGTCACAGTCGATGTTTCCAGCGGAAGTATTCATCGATGAAGGCCCATACACCGCCGTCCAAATTGACGGCTTGGTCAACTAGGTCACAGTTGAATCGAACAAGACGGGCGACAAAGGGGAACCTTGAGCGAGCCCAGCGTTGTCTAGTGGCGCTACCTCCGTGTCGTAATCGTCAAACCCGATGTTAGCCTACCGTCCGCTCATAAAACTTGCAAGTCAGGTCTAGGCAGTGGCCGGGATACCTTTAGATTAGAGACGCACATCTAGGCTTGTCATTTTTACCCTATGGAAGCTCCCTTCGGGTCGAAAGCCGTCAGTGTGTTTCCGCAAGACTACGATCCAGGCATTTCTCCACCTTTTGGGGTGATAGCCTAGGTTGATTGATGAGGCGACTATCCAGGTAATGGTGTCCCAAGATATATTTAGAGGCATTTCTATATTAGCGACAGGAGGCCATTTGGCGCTGTTGAGCTCTTGGCCGCTTTAAGGGACTGACGGATTTCAAGCTTGGAGATTGGTTGCCACGGGATTCGAGTTAGAATGTGGGCTATATTTTCCTCTTGGGATTTGCTATAGTTAGGACGAAAGGGCCTATGAAAGCTTGAGCCTTCTCTCTATTGCTGGCTACTTCTTTGTCACCTACCCTGAGAGTGGAGATGTGCCCCTAGGAGTCTCGCGGTTTTATGTAAGTAGCCGCTTTCCAAAGCTTTCCTTCGCCAGCCTCATCAAGGAACCGTTTCCAGTGCGATACCTTAGCTTTCTCGATTGCTCGTGTCTATGCCCTTCACCTCCCGCGCATATTACCAAAAAGCCTTATAGTACAAGGGTCGTCTCGCCCCACACGAGCATAGCTCTCCTGCTATTTGCGACGCGAGCCAATAACATCTTTTGTTAGTATTTGAGATCTACAGTAAACCATCGCTTCCCAAAAGACTTTAAGTAGCTTACGACTATTGCCAGAGAAGTACCTATACCCCAAAGGATGAAGGATACAAGAAGCGTACCTAATATATATTGTTTTCTTCAGCGATTTTCTTGTATACGCCTGCTTTGTCTCTTTCGAGATCTAGTCCTTAGGAAGGCGTGTGGTGTACCGCCACTCTAAATATGGTATCACCTATCTTGTGTTATTACCTAGCCCGTTCAACCATTCCTTATTATTTTTGGTCAGCCTAGCCGACGTGGCGACTTTAAATCGGATCACGTACCCAATCTCTATGGTGCCGATTCCAGCGACTTATACGTTCTAGGTGGATGCGGCGTTCAGCAGTACGGTTCTAATATATACGTTTACTGTAGAGGTAGGGAGGTAGCGGCCGAAGGCGTTCACATCGCCTTATGCGTTGGGCGAGTCGTCAGGGGACCGCTGCGTACTGATTCGAACACAGTTCTTTTCTTAGATTTAGGTTTATTTATACCTGCCGCCACGGTCGCCTAGGATTGGATCGCGTCGCCGTACCACGAAGTGCGTCGTCGCATTGCAGCTATTGACCAGGGCGAAATCGCGCCCGATGGATCCTTCCTACCGGTTATTGCGTTCTAGGATAAGAAGAAGCAGCTCGTTTGGCGGAGTAGTCTAGCCCCGTTGTGCGCACTAAACTACTCAAGTCGGCTGTTGGGAAGAGCTGGGCTAGCGTGCGTGTTATTGACTGAGATGATGAGAACGATATTCGATTTAATCTTCTTGCTATTGAAGATCATTGCCGGTATATGTTCCTTGCTCATACTGAGGGACGCAGATTCTCCGGTAGAGGGAAGTATCTCCTAAACTGTCGCTCTGTCTTTATCTCGCATCCGCTTGTGTGGAAAGAGGCTCATCATGCCGCACTAGTATTGTCTGGGCCTGAAGCAAACTATATCGAGGTCGATCAGGGGTTTACGGATTTGTCGTGCAAGATCGCTTACTTAATCGATAAATCGCGAGACGCGGAGCGTACTGCTAATAATGCGGTGCGCACTTTCCGGGATCGGTATCTTACTCCTGCTGCCGAGTGATGCTACTGGTGTGATTTAATAGGCAGAACGCGTCGTCGTCTGATTTTGAGCTTGTTCTTTTCTCCGCCGGTCGTATAGGAAGCAAAAGGCTAGGGGTGTGCCCTTCGAGACGTGGTTAGTTATGCATTGATGATTTTCGTATTTTGTTCATGATGATGCATTAAGCGGTGTTTTCTCTGGCGTTAGAATCCCAAATTCATACCTTTCAAATCTTGTATAGGGCTAAATCCACACTCTTTCTGGCCAATCGATTTTAGCTCTGCCGTCGCCAATTTTTGCCCGACCGAGCACGCACTAGAAAACACTAAGGACAATTGAGCATAGCGGGACCACGGGCCACAATTTTAAACGTCGTATAGCCGCCCAGCTGATGCAACCTTTGAGCTAGAGCCCCGGGGCTTTCTCCAGGGAAACAATTGGTCAGATCTCGCCGAGCCCGGTCAGACAGCAATATCTTACCTACGAGGAAGGGGAACGAGCCCACTACAAGCCCCGCCTCCTGAGCCAATCTTAAGGCCTCACTGAGCCATTCAATCGGTATTAGCGACGAGCGGTGTGTACAAAGGGCAGGGATGTAATTGACACGAGCTGATGACTCGTGCGTACTGGGCATTCCTCATTTTAACGCCGTATTCCGCCCTGGGTCCGTCTTCATACCCTCCCCTTGGGGACGCTTTGTACGTTTCTCTTTAAAGCCCTGGCTTCCCCCATTGCTCCAGAATCCATCCCCGGCTTTCTTTGACGTGCAGGAATATTCCAGTCCTCGAGTTAAGGAGCAATAAAAAACATGCCTAGCATCACCACTAGTGATGGATACACCTTCAACAACTGGGGCCCTATCACCGCCACTTTCACAGCCCCGGCAAGTTGCTCTACCATGAGCAACCTTATGATCGGCTATCGCGGTACTAGTCCTAACTTTATGTTCGCGGAACAATGCTCGACTACCTGGAATTATGATTGTATCCCAACAGGTACCATCACGCCCACAACGTCATACAATTTAAACCCCACGGAAATTTATCAGGAAACATACTTCTCACCAGGACTGTACTGTCCAGCGGGATGGGCTACCGTCGGCGTTGCGGCCCGTGATGCCGACAATTCCCTGAGCGCCTGGGGTATACTGAGCACCTCCCAACGTGAGCAGTTATTTCCAAACCCAGCGACCCTGTTAGTTGAGCTTTTGGACCCGAAAGAGAGCGCTGTCATGTGCTGTCCGCGGTGAGTCTGTGCAAGTAACGAATTAGAGATTGTTTAGCTAACGTTGTCCTAGCTCCATGACGGCAGACGTATCTCTTGGATGCTACTCTATAGTCTCGAATTACAAGGTCACAATATGCTGTGAGGGCCTGCCACCCGTCTCGGATGTCGAGGAAATAACTATGACCAAAACGTGGAATGGGACAGCTGTTACGGAATTGTGGAACACAATCACCGCTACCTATCCCATTTCGTATGTCGAGAAGACTTTTGCTAATGCCTCAGTCGCGTCTTCGTTTATGGGTATTTCCGTTATGCCAATGATAACTCTTGTGCATCATCAAACCGATGCCCAGGCTACTGAGAGTGCTGCTTCTACGACTGCTACTACCGGGAGTGCTTCGTCTACATCAAATGCGGCATTAAAATTTGGATCCAGGTTGACTTGGGATGGACTGAGTGGTATGCTTGGGGTTTTTGCTGCCGCGGTGGCTTTGGGGGCCTCTATCATCCTTTGATGGCGTGTTCTCGATGAGTAAAAAGAGTTCAGAAATTTGAATATGAAATAATGCTCGAGTCTCATTCTATCTTTAATACTACACCGCTAGATTCCGAGCTAAATACGCTTCCACATCGCCGCCATACTGCAAAGGGCAAAATGGGCTGGCCGAACGCACCAATCGTACTATCCGGGTGGGTCGAGCTCTTGGACATGGTGGTCTATCTGAAATTACGCGCGCCAGCATCGATCTTACAGAAGAAGACACCGTTTGAAGTTCTATATGGAAAACCGCCCTCGTTCTTGCATCTGCGACGGATCGGCTCCCGTGCATGAGTCTTAATCCCAAAAGAGCATCGAGCAAAACTCGGACCGAGATCATCCGAGTGTCGACTGCTAGACTATTGTGAACCGAACCAGTACAAGCTCTATGAGATACATTTTGGAAAGACCGTCTTTTCGCGTAATGTCGAGTTCGATGAGAGGACCCCGTTGGCGCCACTCATCGAGGGGGAAACAGGCAACGACCTCCTGGACAACGCTCCTCCATCACTTGTCTTTCCACCGAAGTTCAGCCAAAGGGCTGCTAACACCACCGGCATCGCCAGTACCTCTGGCGATTGAGCGAGAGAAAACGCCACCTAGGCGTGAAGAGGAGACACTTCCAGTGGCCAATCCAAGCCAGCAAGAAAACGACCTGACATCGGATCTTGGGTATTCGATCTATGGTCGCAGACGAAGACCGTCGAGGTGACCCCTGGAGTCACTAGGCAAGGTGTACTCGGCAGGCACTTTGAATACCGCACCGGCCAGACAAGTCGACCCGGCGACCTTTCGCGACGCTGTGTCGGGCCCAGACCAGCTGGAATGGTGGGCCGCCATCCAGAAAGAATATGCGTCGCTCCTGGAACACGGAACCTGGGACAAGGTTCGGCGAGAGGACGTCCCCGCCACAGATCATGTGATTGGCTGCAAATGGGTCTTCAAGACCAAAGCCAACGGAACGCGCAAAGCGCGATTGGTCATCAAAGGCTACCGGCAGAAACATGGCATCGACTATCACGAAACGTTTGCTGCTGTGTCCCGGATGGACTCGGTCCGCTGCATTGTCGCCAGCGCCGTGTTGCGCGGATGGGAACTCCACCAATTCGACGCGGTCACCGCATTTCTTCATGGTGATGTCGACTCGTCCATCTATATGGAGTTGCCTGAGGGCTTCGAAGAACCAGGGTACGTGTGTCGGCTGCGCCGTTCAATGTATGGGCTGAAGCAGGCCCCGCGGATTTGGTACCAATGCGTCCACCGCGTCCTGGCTTCTCATGGTTTCATCATGGCACAATCGGACAACTGTGTGTTCTATAAACCGAATTGCGTCATTTGTGTTTATGTCGATGACTTTCTCGTTGCTGCAGCAAACACGCACGAAATAGAACAAGTGCAACAGGCATTGCAAACAGAGTTTCGATTGAATGACCTGGGCATCCCGCGTTCATTCCTCGGGATCCAGTTCGACTATCATGCTGATGGGTCCGTATCCATTCACCAACAACAGTACATCCAGAAGGTGCTCTCCGAATTTGGTATGGAGACCTGTCAGCCAAAGTCCACGCCGATGAATCCCAAGCAAATCTTGAATCATCGTCCAGACGAAGAAATTTTGGACGAGGAAGCAAAAGCACGGTTTGCGACCGCCATCGGTTCGTTGATGTATCTGATGGTCGGCACGCGACCGGATATCGCGTTTGCATTGGGTACGTTGAGTCGCTTCACGTCCCAGCCGCAATCGCATCATCAAGTCGCTTTGCAGCGACTGCTTCGCTATATCAAAGCCACGCAATCTCATCGTATTACCTACCGCAGTGGACAGTTGATTGGATACACGGACGCCGACTTTGGTGGTTCCGTCGTCACTGAAGGTGCGTACTCGACCTCTGGCTATGTATTCCAGCTTGCAGGAGCGCCAGTGTCCTGGTCGTCCAAGAGACAGGGGGAAGTGGCCACGTCTACCACTCATGCCGGATACATCGGACAGTACAATGCCATTCTGCATCTGCAGTGGCTCCGCACCTTTCTGACCGAAACGCAGCTGTACCGGTCTCCGGTCACCAACATCATGGCTGACAACCAGTCCGCCATCGCGCTATCGCGCAATCCCGAATTCCATAAACGGACAAAGCACTTCAATGTGAAGTTTCACTATCAGCGAGCCGTGCTGGATACAGGCGAGATTGGACTTCAATATGTTCCAACTGAGGAACAGGCCGCAGATGGTCTCACCAAGCCATTGGGGCCTACGTCCTTTGCCAAGTTTGTAGCCTCTTGGGAGTCGACGCCTTAGAAACTCCAAGGCAACATGCATGACAGCACAGGCGCTCTTTCCACTTCATTTTCCCGCGACGGTTTTTGAGGAGTTTTACCGAGGCCTGCCTGCTCTGCGCAACTCCAGTATCGCCCTGCCAGCAAAGCGATCCTGAGGGGGAATGTTGTGATATGAGGCTGGTGCAGACCAGGAACCAAGCCGAATCATCGGAATTAATCCCGAAGTATGCATACGAAGAACCAAGTTGATTTCCAATCAACTTGATCTTCTCGCTGTATATATATAGCCTCATGTTTCCCTCTGAATAAATAATCAATTCATTCCTCTGAACTACAACAGTTTCTTATTCCCTCAAATAGTTTATATTTTACTTCAAGTTCATCCCAATAACCTACTTCAAAATAAGATATGTGGATATCCCTATAGGGACTAAACTCAAAAGAAATGGACTATACACTGCACATTGAGCCAGCAGTGGAACGAATGCTTTGGAACGGCAATTGAGGAGTCCAGATTACAGCGTCTTGGAAAGTCACTATTAGCTTGCATTAAAGCAACCTTCGAAGTATAAGCAAAGGCAGCTGTAGGGAGCTTAGTCAGAAACTATAACATTCGTCAAAGGCCGACTCTTTTTGAGCTTTTCTAATAGCTCTGGAGCGCAGTAGCTATCTATTAGGTAACACTCTCCCCGCAGTCTAAATGGCGTGCACGCTCTGAAATCAGCCCTAGTCAATCCCGGTGGCGATGATAATAAATATATCTGCCCTATGTAGGTCGCCCTGAAAGGTAGTGGTGTTATTGGGGTTGCCTCACAAAGCCTGTAGCCTCACCATGTCTGTAGCCTCACCATGTCTGTAGCCTCACCATGTCTGTAGCCTCACCATGTCTGTAGCCTCACGTGATATCTACACCGACATTTCTGAGGATCGCCTCCTCCTACAACTGCCTCACGAGAGTCAGTTGCTGGCCTCTGCGGGTAGCTCGTCATCTCTCACGCAGTCAAGTGTCAATTTTGTCCCTCCCACCTTCCCTCTGTATATAGAATCCACTACAATACAGACACATTGCCTCCCTACAAGGGAGCGCGAACGGGGCCTATCTGACGAAACGGTCTACGACCGCAGCGACAGGTGACCCGTTGCGGCCAAACTAAACTCTTCTTGCTCGCCTTGACTGCGTGAGGTCACTAATAAAACTTGTTATTGTGCGGGAGTCAACTACCTCACTAGCACTGGGGGCCTGAGATCAATGCCAATCGGGTGAAGCGGTGTCATCCCAGTTGGCCTGCCCGTGAAGTATGCCTATGGAGCAAACTGAGAGACACCCATGATGAGAGGCATGGTGAATTTCAAGAGAACAGAAGCCTCAATTATTGGGTGAAAAGCTGTGGTAATGGACTATACAAGTAGGCCTGTCAGAGCTACTTAATTTCTTCTGGAGTCGAAACACCGGCAGCCAAACAGCACGAAATGACTATAGTAGTCTCCGAGATAGCTTTATACAAAGCACCTGGGCCAGATGGCATACCGAACGCTGCGCTAAACAAGTCGCTCGAGATGTCGCATTTTGCGGTCTTCCTGGCCAGCCTCAGACTACTCTAGTCCTCCCATTCTACTTATGTCAAACAGCCGCACAACGCTCTACACTCTTGCGGAGAAACAGTGGGTAAGAGAGTGGAACACAGGCGAAATCGGTGCCGCAGTACGGGTTCTCGTTCCAGAACCTATGAAAGCCATCTTCCTCATCCATGGGATTTCGACGAGTGGCGAGCTCCATTGCCATTCAGACGGAGACTACCAAGGGAACAGTCCCCGGCTACCAGGAAATGTTTGCAAGTGCGTAAGCAACAGCAACCCTCAGGGACCCCGCGCCCTGTCCGTGTGATTGCGGCAAATAAACTGTTCGCCTCGTCCTTCTCGCTTGTACCCAAAATGCGTAATTTAGAACCCGCATCCTAGAATTTCACAGAATCACCGCCCAAGATTGACGGCAGTGCCTCAAAGGGTCAAATTGACGGCCTTGTCTGGTGTGCTGCAGGTGGAGCTCCTTGTCCAATTCGGGAGCATAGCCAACAAATATCGAGTCCACTGTTAGACGGAGAGCTAAGGTGTTGCCGCACTTGCTATTGGAGCTTTCAAAGTAACGTATGATGGCTCATTTGCCTCTTATAGTGCGGTTGTCCTTTATCTGGTAGATAACGACGTAAAAAGGCCTGCCATCAGTTGATTCTAGCGTCGGCGTCGTCAGCTTCTCCGAAAAAGTGCACGCGAACACAGTGAGGAAATAGGTTCTTCTTCACAGGAACTTCTTGAATGAGACCGCGAGAGTTATTTACGCGTCGAAACTAACCAGAGAGAGAAACTTCAAAAGCGTGCGATACCCACTAGCGTAAAAAGACTAGTCGAGACAATTTAATCAAGAATCACTGTCAATCTAGATGCTGCAATATACCAAACAGAGCATAGGGCCTCGCCGCCTGCGACAGTGCCCAAGTGTTGTGAATAAGAAAGAGAAAAAATAGATAAAGAAACAAACAAAAACAAAACTTTCGGTTGCTGATCCCTGTTGCTATACTCCTCACGTTCAGCAGAAACAAGTCGAGATTTGTTGGTTCCAAGGCTTGTTGTCTTCATCTACGTGAAGAAATCTTTATATCCATTTTTTGAAAGACTTTCCAAAATTCATGTCATCCTGAACAATGATGTTCTGTTCCTTCGAATGCCTGATATAGCTCTTTGTCGCCGCTACGAACTCACCAAAAGTCGCATTGTCCATGCTTTTCCAAGGCGTATTTGGGTCAAGATCTTTTTTCTCCATGAATATCTCGTAGAAGTCACTTATGTTCTCCGTTTGATTGGCTTCTTCGCTGAAAGATTCTTGCTGGGCATCTTCCTCGTTGCCATGGCTCAATATAGCGTGGCTGGGGGAATGCTGGTCCTGGCCGTTCTGAGCCTGGTCGTTTTGAGCCTGGCCGTTCTGAACCTGGTTGTTCGGAACCTGGCTGTTCGGAACCTGGCTGTTCTGAACCTGGTTGTTCGGAACCTGGCTGTTCTGAACCTGGTTGTTCTGAGCCTCGGCCGAAATTTGCCCCTCGGGCTCTGGTGATTCTGGAGGGATAGAAGGACTTTGATCTTTTCCTTCTCTCTTGTTTCCTGCCCATTCGTTGTCAAGCCGCTTTCCTGCCCAATTTCTGTAGTTTCGCACTTGATTCAAAGCCACCGCATAGATTCTTCGATCTATTTTCGTACTTTCCGCTGAGCTACTCAATTTCTTGCAATCCGAGCGGCTAATCCAAACATCAGGCAAATCGATGTTCGCCTTCCAGTCAACAAGAACCGTGGTGAGTGGATAGCGGTATTTTGGATTTGTTTTTTTGATTTCGGGATTCAACTCTTCCACTGATTCCACTAAGTCCAGCATGGTAATACCTTCTTCCTTGGGTTGCCAGGCAACTCTCTTGATCTTGCCAATTTTGCACTTGTACAAGAGTTTTCCGGTTGTGTCCGGATCCATTGCTTTCCGGTGAGGATCGCCTTGGAGATATGTGCATTCTTTCACTTCATTGGGGGCTGCACTCGAGCTCCAAATAGTCATAGCGCTGTTTCTGGGCCCATATGAGTTAAGATAGCTAAGTCCGCTCCGCGAATTCTTTTTCAAAGTTACCGTACCGTCTTCAAATAGCTGATCTGGGTTATCTTCGTCATCCAATGTCAAGTCAACAAAAATATAGTCTTTATAATCTTTAGGTTGGCCCAATGCTTCTTGATCTAGACCTTCGTTGTTCAACGACGACTCCATCTGATTGACGAAAAGCTGCGAATCTTCATTCGTACTCGTATCACTTCCTTGAGTTTCATTGGTGTTTGCATCGTTCTCTTGAGATTCTATGTTATTCGTATTGCTTGTCTGGGTCTCATTGGTATTTTTATCGCTTCCCTGAGTCTCATTGGTACTCATATCGCTTGCCTGAGTTTCATTGGTACTTGCATCATTCTCTTGAACTTCTATGGTATTCGTATCGCTCGCTTGGGTCTCATTGATATGCGTAGGCTCTTGAGTGGTATCTTCATCAATATCCATCAGATCGTCTTCAATTTGTTCGATCGATTCGTTCAGTTCTCCAACTGATTGTTCGGCTCCCTGGCAGCGGGCGAGCTTTTCTTTGAGTTCATCCTCGAGTCTATGCTTTGAATCCTCGGAAACCTCCGATTTCAAGCGAGATTGGATATCTTCGACTTCTTGCCGAAGAGCCTCGAGATCTTTTTGCCTTGCATCTCTGCTTTGCTGTGCCTTGGCTTTCTGCTCGAGGAGTTTTCCCTTCTCTACTTTTTGCTTGTTGATTTTGCCTTTGTTTTTCTGGATCCCAGACGAGTTTGCGCCTTTCGCTTTTGCATCGGTAGACTTATTGTTCCGCAAAACTGGCATATTTGGATGTTACAAAGATAATTGTACGTGAGGTAGGAGTAATGAAAGAAAACCTGAAAACCGTTGAATTTATAGGCTCAGGTGAGTCAAGGAATAAGAAGCGATTTCATCTTTATTTGAGGCCTCGAGTCTTGTACCGAAGATCTTCCCTCACATAATTACAATCCTCAAAACTTTATAATGAGACCGTCAAGAAAGTGCCGGACAAGATTTGAGAGCTGCTAACGAGTATAACAAATTCGCTGAAGACTTCCACTCGCGTCCCTTCATGATAACGATGGCTTAAGATAATGACATTTCTTCCCGCCTGTTTAACTTAGCTCCATCCCGACCCTCAAAGTAGCTACATGGTAGATACCCATAAAAGGGCTACTGAACAGGGCTCTAAGCCTACTTCAGCCTAACTACAAGACAAAACACTTCTTAATCAGCCAAATCCTCACATCTTTTGTTACTGTTGAATTGATTTGGAAAGGCTGAGGAATGTTAAATTCTTTACGATGCCTCAAGATATCCGATGCTCAAACAAGGAGTTAATAATCATCATCTATTTCTCATCTCGGGGTATTAGGCATAAAGCAGTCCGCTGCCTAATTTTGCGGCGAGGATTTGATCGATCATGCCGTGCAATTGAATCCAAGATCTCTCTGGTATTAAAGCAGCACAGATGCCTGAGGGGACCTAAGGGGCTTTGGGATTGGAGAACTGTTGACAGGTGGATCGATGATCTACTTGGAAGCCACAAATTGGTGAACGAGTCAATCTCTTTCACACCTGAGGTTGCTGAAGCCGTGTCGTTGGTAAGCTGATTACTTTGGTTCTACATACAAATTTATTGGTTATGTCAGATGGATACGGGAAGTTATATAACTATACAAATAGAAGACCAAGTTGATTGAAAATCAACTTGACGCTTCACATGAGAATTCCGGGAATTATTTTCGATGGTGCGACTTTGTTCCTGGCCTGCACCAGTCTATTATGAAAGCAGAATTGAGTTCCAGTACATACTTCTAAGCCTGTTTCATTGGCCCCGAAACGGATGTGCGATTACTCTTTGACCAATCTATCTTGCATTTTATTGGTGACCTCACGCAGTCAAGGAGAGCAAGAAGAGTTTAGTTTGGCCGCAACGGGTCACCTGTCGCTGCGGTCGTAGACCGTAGCGTCAGATAGGCCCCGTCCGCGCTCCCTTGTAGGGGGGCAATGTGTCTGTATTGTAGTGGATTCTATATACAGAGGGAAGGTGGGAGGGACAAAATTGACACTTGACTGCGTGAGAGATGACGAGCTACCCGCAGAGGCCAGCAACTGACTCTCGTGAGGCAGTTGTAGGAGGAAGAGGCCCTCAGAAATGTCGGTGTAGATATCACGTGAGGCTAACTACAGACATGGTGAGGCTAAAGGCATTGTGAGGCAACCCCAATAAAACCACTCCCATTAATTATTACTCTAGCCTAGAGTGCACGGCATGCGGCCTCAGCAAACATGGCGCCTTCTCCTGCCGCAAGAAGAACTAACAAGTGATAGCACTAAGGAACTGCACTAGTGACACCGACAGCGTTGTCCTTAATCCCTTCCCTCCAAGCCTAATACCGCAGAGGCACCCACCTAGACCCCACACTGCTGTTCAATACCCCGTTTTTAACCCAGAGCTCCCAAGGTTACAATCCTCTCCGTCGCCACTGTACGCGAAAGGCTAGAGCAACCTCATACGCTACCATCCAGGCGATCTCGGGTCCACCATCGCTGGCATCCTGACCTACGGTGTCCAGGTCAACTATAGGGGCAACAGGCAGTTTCGCTACTCCTCTAACCACCACATACACGAACCAGGTATGATCACGGCCATAACCTCGGTCGTGTTCGACTAGCCTCTGGGCCTTCCTTCGTTTCACCGCTTGGGTTAGTCCCTAAGCACGATGGGGGATGGCGCCGTATCCATGACCTATCTTGGCCCCCTGGACAGGGCCTTAACCAGGACATACCCGACTCCTGGTCAGCTGTCGAATACATGTCAATCGACAATATCTATGAGCAAGTCATACAATCTGATCTGGCCCAGGTTGCACAATCATCAAGAGAGATATTAAGGACGCTTTCCAAATAGTCCCTGTCACCGAGGATAACCAGCATCTCCTTGCCTTCCAGTGGAACGATTCCACTTATGTCGAATGCTGTCTCCCCTTCGGTCTCGCAACGGCTCCATTTCTCTTCAACCTCTTCGCCGAGGCACTCCATTGGATACTCCAATGCCTCCTACCTTTATTCTACATCAATCATTACCTAGACGACTTCATCGCAATTACCCAGTCTCCCTCAATGCCCGACCCCACGGGTCCCTTCGACGAGGTTTATAACAGAGTCACCGACTACCTACGTATCCCTCGCAATACTAAAAAGGACCAGCAAGGAACCTACGCTACAGTCCTAGGTATCCAGATCGACTCTATTGCAATGGAAGCTCGTCTGCCACCAGAGAAGTTGTGCCGCGCCACATTGGACGCCGCAGCTGCCCTGAATGCGGCGAGTCTCTCCCTCAAGCAAACAGAGCGCCTCACAGGCTTACTAGCCTTCTGTTCAAGAGTTGTCCGGCTTGGAAGAACAAGGTTACAGTCCCTATACACCTTCCAAGCCGCTTTCCCACATGGGAGTAGCGCGCGCCGCCGTATTCCTTACGAGGTACGTGACGATTTGGAATGGTGGAGGGACTCCTTGTCTCTCTTCAACGGCATACTCCTGATTAACCCCTACCGCCGTACTATCACGCATCTCTATACAGATGCCTCTAGTATAGGGCAGGGGTTCTTCTTCTTCTCATTCAAGTCTATATCAGACTGCTGGCTGGCCCATTATGACCAGCTTCATCAAAGTAATGCTGCCACATTGGCCCTTGCTCAGGACGCACATACGCACATCAATACTCACGAAGTAGATGCCATCCACCAAGGCTTCCTACTTTTCAGCCACCATTGGCTCCATCATACTCTCGTTATCCACACGGATAGCTCTACAGCGCACACGGGACTCAAGAAAGGCTTTCTTCATAGTCCGCCCAACGCACCTCTAAAGAGCCTACTTATCCTAGCGGCGGCGAGAGACATCCACATCATGCCACACTGGCTCCCCTCCCGGGAAAATGTATTAGCAGATGCGCTCTCATATAATAATCTTGAAGACATTACTAACATTTGTCCCCACTAGCAGGACCTCTCGGTATTAAGCCGCCCGCGTGGTTCTCTTCACGAGCTCCTCAGCTTCATACAGGCCACCTAAAACTGCTCTGGACTAGACTCAGCGCTAATACACGTTCCGTCTACCTCTCCGTTCAGCGTAATTACGAAAAGCACTGCGCGCTTCAGAATTTATCCGCATGGCCAGTTGCAAGATATTCATTGACCTCATGGCTAAGCGCACGACTCCTTAGTAACGCTAGTCAAAAGGCTGTCAAGCCTGACACCGCACTCGCCAACCTAGCAGCTCTCCGAGCCTACCATATCGACAACTTTCTTGACGATTAACTCTCTGATAACAAGCATTTCCGACGACTAATAGACGGCGCGAGAAGGCTCAATCCCATAACAAAAGTACGGGTCAGAAAACCAATTTCGCATAACACTATTACGAAAATATCGGCGGACCTCGTCGCACTGCTATTACGCCCCCCAGAGATGACTGCGAACCTCCTAGACGACCTAAACTTCGCAACCGCGTGTCGGGTAGCATTTGCTGGGTTCCTCCGCCTCGGAGAATTCACCTATAAGACTGACGACCTTAGCACACGTTTTATCTTCTCCGCCACAAAGTTAACGCGCTCAGACGTCAGATTCTCGCCTCGCCCTCGTTAGGCCACGCGCAACTCACACTCAAGCGCAATAAGACGGACCGTCGTCACGAAGGGGTGCTGCAAATTATCCTTGCAAAGACGGGAGATGGCGCATGCCCAGTTGACGCGCTTCGGAAACTGCTACTTCTCGACCCCAGAGGGCCCGACACCCCATTGTTCTCTTTCGGCAGAAGACCATTTAGCCGCAACAACTTCCTCTCGACCTTATCTACTAAGCTAAGAACACTTGGGATACAGACACACGGCTATTCAGGTCAAAGCTTTCGGAAGGGTGCGGCTCAGCATGCGCACGATAGTGGGATACTCGACGACCAGATTCAGATGCTAGGGAGGTGGACCTCGGAGGCGTTCATGGTCTATTTTACGACGAACGCGTCAGTTCTGTACAAGCTCACCCACCGGTTCCAGACAGGCTCGCCCGCACCGCTGTCTCTGCTGCTTCCACCACCGTCCCCTCCACCATCCTAGTTTGGCCAGGGTCATTTGGGCCTGGGTCATTTGGGCCTATCTGACGCTACGGTCTACAACCGCAGCGACAGGTGACCCGTTCCTGCCAAACTAAACTCTTTTTGCTCTCCTTGACTGCGTGAGGTCACCAATAAAGCAATACGTAAAAATCATTGTGGAAAAGAACTTTTGCAGGCAGGCGACGCATACAATAGCTGCGTGCTAGATAGGGACAGAAGATAATCAGTAATCTCTGAAAATATGTCAAAGCCTCAAAATCATTTGAGATTATGTCCGGTGTGTCTTGCAACAGTGAATAGAATCTGCGAGCCAAGTCCAGACTGATCGATTCACAATGTTAGATATCTGGCATTCTGATCTAATTTAACATCCATTTAATGCTCCCGACGCATTCTTTGCCCCTTAGTTGACTCGGAGCATGGGTTTCACCTTGTACAGTATACCTCACGAATCGATGTTCGTCCGTGGAACCTACCGAGGAGGCCCAAGGCTTGCCCCGCTCTTGGGAATGAGAACGGGTTTCAGAGAAGTCTGGGAAAGACTCCGCGCCTGGTAAATTTTCGGGTGAAGTTTCAGAGAGACGCTCAATTGCAAAATCCTCGCTGGAAGAAACAGTGTGCTGGACTTCTGTTGGGTCTGCATGCTTTTGCCTGAGCTTTCGTAGACCTGGGAAGCCCATTGAGCGAGCTTTGCGTGCAAGAGAAACTGGGTTTCTTCCTTCATTAAAAAGCTTTTCATATTCTTGTGCAGCTTCTTTCCAGCTAAAATGCTTCCGGGTACTTAAAATCTCAAGTAACACTTGCAACTGCATTTTCTCTGATGCTGTCCATCTCCTGGAAGCTCTAGGCACGCGAGAATGCAGGTCTGTCTCTACTTGGCCAAAACCTGCGGCAAAACCAATCTTTCCTTTGCGTTGCGGAGCGGTCGTTCTTTGCTTTGGTTGATGTATGAAGCGACCACGTTTGGTGATTTTCGTGGTGCGTCCCTGGCTTTGGACATCAGATGCAAATGACGCCGGTGCTGCTGGCTGCATCTTGTTATCCACTTCTGGATCTGCTTCCCGTAATGCTCGAGATATTGTGATATTATTGCCGAGCACTGCTTCCGTTAACTACAAAGAACACGGAACTTCATATCATTAACGGCTCTTACCGGTGAGGCATTTCTGAATCAAGCACGTAAAACGCATCGTCTCATATGGTTGGAAATCGTACTTTGTCGTGATGTAGACATTACCATAGCAAGCACCACCGATTTGAAACTCAGCCCGATTTTCAATGAGCTTATGTCGGATTCTATCTGTCCAACTGAGATGGTCGTCGATCTTTGCAAGATCCATAACAATTGCGTGAGAGTGGGACTTGCTGAGCGTTGGGATAGTGAAAAGCGTCACATCAGTCTCGTTGCTAGACGCAACAAGGATGTATACGCCAGTAATTTTTGAGGATCTCTGAGGTTTCTCCGGTGGGTGCTTAGATTTTGCTGGCATTTCACTTCCGGGAAGCCACACTACTTCAGACGCGGAACCCCTGCTGGGCAGGGGCTTCAAAGAGGCCATGGAAACATTGTATGGAGCGAGAGCATCATTACGTTCGTAGGTACACACTCGCTTTTCGGTTTGAGTCCCGACCGCTCGCATCGCGGTGCTAGTCGCTGCGACTGAACTCGATTGGCTCCCTCTCACCGAGTCGCACAACGAGCCGCGCTGCCCTCTTTCGAGACGATATTCGATATTGTGCGAACCAAGACCTTTTTGCAGTTTTTCATTTTCATCCCGAAGTGACAGTGGCATTTTACCCTCTGGTTGAATAGCTGCGTAGGCTTCGGCAAGGTTCTTGTTCTCTTCCTGCAAGCGTGAAATCTCATGCTCAAGATATCGCACGTACTGCTCCTTTCTTTCGCGATGTGTTCTGTACGTTATCAGTCTTTGTGATTTTGGGCTTGGAGTCTGTGTTTCCTCCACCTTTGAGCCTGGCGATTTAATTGTTGCCTCCGTTTCAAGGCCGGTTTTGAATTGGGTTTAGGCCCTCTACGTTTCGGAGGGTGGCCATCTAGATTTTTTTCAGTCATCGCACTTATCACAGCGGTCGGAAAAGCACTTACCTAAAGTGGGTTTCTGGCGTTCTTCGAATGGCGATACAACCCGCTGTGAATTCACTTGGGAACGTTCAGTCATATTTTGCGTGAGAAAGTGCATGCCTCGTAGAAGGGCCTGAGGGAAAGGTCTTTCCGCAGCAGAAGATGAAAGCTACGAAGCTGTCGATTCAGGTCGGGGAGTACTGACCGTGACTTTGTTCCTGCATGATGACACCGATGAGAAAGTAGAATGGAGGAGAATTTAGGCAGTCAGAGTAAGCGTTCAACACGAACAGTGCAAACCTTCGTATGTGTAGAATATCAAAGATGCTCGCCACTGCTCGAGAGAGAAATATTTTCGGTCACTTCAGAGTTAGATTGCTCCAATAGACCGTCCTTAGTGCTATTGGATCCACTGTATTGAACGTATTGGCTTGTCATCATGATGCGCACTACTCATGCATGGGCGTTACATCTGGCTCTATCTCGTGACCCACAGTACTTCCTAACAATAGGCACATGCTACAAGAAATGCATACCTGACCAAGTATACTCCTGGCATAGCCGAGTAGCTCGTGTGCCTCGGCTGGAGTCTGGCGTGGGTACGGAGCGAGATATCTCGGCCCATCTTTCATGTAACAATAGAACGGACTATTTCGAAGCTCAGTCAAATGAGGTGGCTCAGGCCGTTGCGCTAGGAGCTGTCTGTGGGGCTTTTCTTGCCCGAACCGTGGTATTTTTCCACTAGATATTTAGACCGTACCGCGCATAACACAATTACGATGGGGTGATCTCTAAATGACCGCTAGCGGAGGCCGGCATGCGGGTCCCTGTCGGGAGAGTGGCAGGAGGCTCTACTGTATCAGCTCTCAAACGACATGCCCGTTATGGTAATTTTTGCTTGAATTTGATGAGAAGGTCTCTCCCGAAGATTAATCGACCAGGGATGGTGATATTTTCAGAGAAATTGCTTTATCACGAGAGCGACGACAAATTCCGGCAAAGGCTGGGAGCGTCCCTGAGAAGCTTGATGGAGACGTGACGAGGTGTATTCCCTGCCAGGTATTACCACTGGGCCATACCATTTTCAAGCCAGAGCATTCGAATCTTGTTTTTTGCTTTCTAAAATCGTGCGGCATCAAGATACGATGACACGCCGCTCCTAATTCGGGCTTTATTTGGAATTATGGGAAATTAGTTTTTTACCAACCAGCCGCATCCCCACTGTACCCGCCGAAACGCCACTCTCCCCGCAAATGTGCCTTCCTATTGGCAGTACCACAATTTGACCGCGGCGATCTGTTGAGCCCCAAACGGGCTTCGTGCATAAGTAACACGATACCCTCTGCGGATCCTTTTCCATCACATGCGTATCTGAGCGCAACCTAGAGGCCCACCGCGAGCTTTGGCGCCGAGACCAATCTTTGCTGGGATGTGCTTGTCCTCTTGCTTCAACATCCCCCAAAACCGCTCCAGGCTCCCAGCACAGCATCATGGTCGCCGATAAACACAATCAGAACGTCTCATTTTTCCCGATCCAGGGTCCTCTGCCTCGACTCTACACACTCTATAACCCTGAGCCATTACGTCAACCTCAGGCCGGAACAGAAAGGCTCGGATCTCAACAAGCCGCAAGGGGCTCGACAAAGTGAGTGTTGTGCTCAATCGCGTGCGTTTGTCTGATCGTCGTACCTTACCAGGGATGTCCCCAGCGAGACTCAAACTTCTCCTGCCGAGTTTGCTTGCAAAAAGAGCCACGGAAGCCAACCCATCCATTAACAGTGTAAGTTATTCTCCGCGGCAGCTCTCGCCTCTGTTGACCAATGGCAGTACGCACGGATAGAAATCGCTGGAAATAGATACTGCACATGTGCCATTGTATATAGAGATGGAATATTGAAGCCTGCTATCAGGACGAATGCCAGAAAGACAATTACTTGACTGTATTCATATTGTACATCTTCGTGCTCCTGCAATTCATTCTTCACCTTTTCCTGTCGGTTCCTCCAATGATATAATTATAAATCTTCCAGAAACTTTGCGACGAGTAGGGCGAGTGGCCGGACGGCTGGTAGGTAGGAGAGTTCTCTATTTGATCACAAGAGCCGTAAGTGGTGTGTCTGCAAATTGATGCTCGTATATTCAGGGCTCACCTGGCTTGCTCCGGGCCTGTGGGAGGGGAGATAGGTGATTCTCCGCGACGGGAGGAGTATCCGCTAATACGTCCTCTCGACAAATGTCAAGCCGCTGCATCTATTGCAGTAGTCGACGAAATCGAGGATCGGATTTCTTAAGAATAAGCGGTGGAGGAGACACTGGGAATATTGCCATAAGCCTCTGCTCCCGTCGACGTGCCCGGCGTGCTGCTAAATGATGAAACTCAGACGCCCTCTAGGAGATAGGACGCTAGCGTTCATGGCCCTTCTGCAGCTAGTCCAATTTCCCTCGCAAGGAATGAATTGTTCGTGGGATTCCAAACTCTCGAAAATACTCCTAGCTTATCTTCCACCAGGGCAGATGCTGAAGACGTGACAGCCACGCCAGAAGCCGCTTTTCCTCTTCGGAGGTCCAAGGTATGTACCGACCTCGGGACATTGTATTCGCCTAAGCAGTAATCAATCGGAGTGCACGATAGACCCTCAAGATGGATCGGTGGGAGATTCAACTGCACCCAGTGCGTAAAGATGTTTTCAGAAGAAGTGGGCAAATCGTGAATTTAATCCACGCAAAAATTGCCTTCCATTAATATGTTAGCCGATGCCTACGAACTAGATCAAAGCAGGGCATCTCGGGAGTGTTATGGGCCCACGATAGTTACCCACCAACAGCCCGCTCCTAGTTAATTGAGGTGGTCAAGTGGGGATTTCGTATAGTATTATGTTATACAGTCTAGCTACAATGGTAGTAAATGGTATTATCGCAACAACGAGCAATTAAACAGATTTACTACCTCTTTTCTATCATTAGCGGATTAGTCAATTAGCTAAGGAACACCAGAAAATGCCCACGTCGGGTCGCTAGGTGGTTCAAGACGCTATTTTACGCGATTGTGGAAAAGATGCCCGTGATTTTAGCTTAAATTGCACATCCACACTGGCCCCTATCTCATTCCCAGTTCAGCAGCAGCAGATAATCAAGCGTATACATATCTCCCGCAGATTAGAGAGGGGCATTAATCATACTCCTGCAGTAGTCACCTATATCCCCTCGCGGTCTCAAAGGTGCTCGACACTAACAGCGATATGATTAGGCTTAATTTTGCGCGGTATCTCTGCGTTCCAACTGAGGTCACGGCTTATAGGCATATAAATCGAAGACCCAAGACCCCTGTACCCTGCGTTTGTTGTTCGGCGTAGGCCGCTCGGAAAACCAGAGGGCGTGCAAAAAGGGCTAGACTAATGGCACTCCAAGTGTTCAGTGGGTCCTGGTATAGCCCCCAATTTCTTGGGGTATATATTCTATCTCGGTTCCTCTACGTACTAAACCCTTGCCTAGTTCCTAGCCTACGACGTGATCTGCCGAACGATTTGAGTGACTATATCGTACGATACTCTTGACTAGCACTCGGGTTACGAGAATCAATGGTTCATAAGGCGTGACACCAGATTATCCCGAGCCTCCGACCTTTGGAGTGTTCCCGAATCTCGTGCTGTTTCGGAGGATCTAGATTGTGATTACGAGGAGGAACAATCTTATATATACGAGAATCAGCCACCGCTAGACGGTGCCAGCCATAAGCCAGCACAGAATGGATATTACGCCTCGGGAGCCCACTACGGCGACGGATTGGCTTAGGATGGAGCTTTCAAGCCTCCTGGAAACAACATCCTTGACCTTTGCACCCAGTATATCTCTGGTTGACCCTCCAAATAGCCCCAGCCCCAGCCCTAGCTGACACTTCTTCTAGCCTACATAATCGTGTAGAGTGAGTATAGCCTCAGCTAGTTTGATTTTTATGAATCGCTGCAACTTGATTTGAATTAGTTATGCTAACTTAATGGGACAGTGGTCTAGAGCAACAGTTCCTACGACAGCACGACTGGAACCAAAATACGCAGCAAGGGATAGAGACAGTGGCCCAGCAATATAATGAGATCTCTACCCTCCAAAAAACCGTGGCCATATTAGAGGCAAAGATCAACGATCTATGTAAAGCCAAACTAGGTAGGCCCAAGCGTCAGCCGCAGTAGGCCAAAAAGGACAAGGTCAGGAGTCAAATGAATCGAGGAGAGACTCGACGTGGAGAAGAGGGAGATCCAGACCCTCTGCTTTGATAAAATGATTTCTTAGCTACTATATTTGTATCACACACAGCCAGATTATACCCACGCCAAAGCCAGGTCGTCAAATTTACAGTTTGGTCTATTCCTATTTAGGAATGGTGTAGTTAGTCTTGGCAGGGGCGAGCTCTATCCTTGTGGGCCCACTGCATCAGTATTTGAGTATATTGTAGCCAATCATACCATCCAATTGGCCCCGTCCGTGGGAGGCATGCCTCCAACGTACTAGCGGCCTCGACGATCCTTTAACGAACGTCTCGTTATCACCTCGGGGGCAGGGGCTTGCCAGCCGAGAGACGTGAAGTGTATTTTAATATTTAATTGATGCACCAATCAAGAAGGCCGCTCTTGCTCTGGCCAGACTCGATCTCCCTCTCCGGATGAGCCTACATTTCGTATATTCTTGGATGGCGTCGCAGCACATAAGGTATCTCTCTCCAAGCATCTCCTCACGCGAGCTCGTTTCATAATGGAGATCCAGGGCGGGCTATGTCCCCCAGGTCCGTGGCAAATCATCCAGAGCAGCCCTCGCTCTTGTCTAAGCTCGGGCGGATATCTAGCGCCTATATCCGAGATGAGGGTCCACCTAAAAGCCGTCTTCTTAATTTAGATCCGGCCATTTCGCGTATATATCCGGTCACGCCAGATGAAGTATAGCTTCTTCACTATGTCCCGATCCTCGACTGCGCATTTCCTTGGAATCATAGCAGTCGAATGAGGACAACTAGAGCGTCGCCATGCTTGTGTTCCCTGGCAGGGAGGCACTGTAAGCATAGTAATGACAAGGCATCCTCGGAGCTTGCAGCGTCCCTCGTTTATC